CCTGTCCGTCATATCCACTGTCTCTTTATCGCTGACGACCCCCTGATTTTTTGAACACCTTTCATCATGATCTTGTGTTCGAGCAGATTGGTTCAAAGCATAAGACCGACAACTCGTGGATTCTCCCTTGCGCTATGCGGTCCCGGACGAAGATCGCTCTGAATGCATGGGATAGCACACCCAATACAACTAACGGCAATGAATCACAGCATGCTTGGACGAATCAGCAGACGGGGACAGGGATGTCACTATTGGAGGCTATCATGTCGTCTGTATTCTCTATCACCTTCGTCGCCTTCCTCACTACCTTTGTCCTCTGCTAATCCTGATTCATTCTGTCGTTTAGAGCGCAAAAGGTCGACAGCCAGGTTGCTGCTGAGCTTGCAGCGGTTCGTCAACATGGTGGTGTATTCAAGAACAAACACAATGAGTACAGTGATCGTATGGGTAAGCGTATCACACGTAACCAGAACACCGCTCGGAAAGCTATGGCAGCTGCGGGTGAATCTCGAGAGGTCGCTGCACTCACAGACCAGTACGAGCAAGCAAAGGCAAGTAGAAGGTTGGAGTCTGAACGTGAGAAGGCGTTGAAGGCAGAGCTCGATGCGAAGAAGGGGAAGGCCAGCCGTACACGTGTAAGACGAATAGAGGTGACGGAAGGAGAGGCCAGCTCAAGTAGCGGGCGTGCCCCGAAGAGTCAGACGTCGCGGGGCAATGCTCGAGTGCACCCATATCTCTCACTTGAAGCTGACGGTGGGTTCATAACACTTTCTCTCTTATTTGTTTCCACCTCTCTTGTTTATACGAAGCTTACTATTCCTGTTATCATCTAGCAACAGCTGTCGTGGCGGCACCGGAAGCCAATATGCACGACTCGGACTCGGACATGATGATGAACCAGGAGCTGTAAGTTCTACAGCTTGCATCCTGTTTTGTATTTTTTCGTTTCTCAGAACCTTTCTATAGATATCTCCCTACCCAAAACGACTACGATCCCCCCTACGACAACATGTACGACGATATGCTCGTAAACCCGTACGCCACGATACCCGCCAACCGCGATCCCGAGAGCATGTTCGAGGATGAGACTGCAGAACTCCTCCGCAATCGGCCAGCTGCCAACATACCAGCCCCCGCATATGAAAACAATGGGGAGCTGTTTTCCTTTTTGGCAAACAACCCGTTCGCGTACGAGTTGACTCCCGAGGGTGAGTTCAGATTTACGGGTGGCGAGGGCGAGTTCAGATTTACGGGTGGCATTCAGTGAAAAGGCCGGGTGGTGCCGAGTTGTAGTGCAGGAGCATATATCGTACAGTTTAATGTTGTACTCGAAGAACAAATGCATAGACATGTGCAAAAACAATTTCTCTGACACATATACAGCCTTGTGAGTACCCATGAACATTTATGAGAATAAAGGAGGCCGGAAAGCGCTAGCAATAACTCTTTCTTTACGATGGGTCTGTCGTTTTGACTCTGGTATGTAAGCGGCACGGCGGATATCCGGACCGGGCTCGATCTAAGGCCTCCTTCCAGCTCGAGCACAACTCTCATTGTGCTGTAAATGGCGCATATGTAACTCAGAAAACATATATATACATTACTTGGATAAGTGGTTTATATACCCGTACACTAGTTACACAGCGGGGTAAACGCTAAAGGACGATAATGCATGTACGCCACTGTGGTGTGCCGCCGGCACAACATGGCGCAAGTTGGGCGATTATAGTGTGCCTGGCCACTGTGACTGTGGCGTATTTCGTCCACCCTCCAATAGCGGCCATCTCGTGTGGTTTGGGTCGAATGACATCAGCTTCGTGTTGAATGATGTTCGCGAGCATCTCGCACGCAAAGTATCGAAGGTCGAGGAGGAGCTTTCGAGCTTCGGAGTTGGTAGTTAGAATACGGAGAATGGTTCGGGCGTGGGATATGGCTACGTATTACGATTTCAACATCACACAAAGTGCGCCACAGGCCGTCAGCTATGGCCACATGAGACGTGAAGGTCAGGACATCGAACGTACATTGTTTTCCTCGGTCTTTTTCAGAATCTACACTCTCTTGGCCTTTCTTCGGTAGGTTTAGAGACGCAAGCTGTGAGAGTAGATCTTGGATAATGTCGTCTTGATTCTTGTCGTTCAACCATGCTTTCTTAGCCGCCAAAAGCTCATGCAGAGAGGAAACGAGACGTGTGAGGTCCTTCTCGCCCGATGTAGGTGCGGTATCCGAGAATGAGTTCCTATCATCTTGTGCGATTGGGAGGAGATATGCAAGGCGGTCGATCATAGCTACCACTTGGTCGTTTGAAGGGTATTTTCCGGATAGTAAAGACTCTAGAGCTGCAAAGAAGCGAAGCTATTGCGGAGGTAAGCATATGAGGACATTTACAGAGCTATAAAGACATGTTCGTGGGGAACGATAGTTATCATGTAACGAAGATGCCGGCCCAAATCGGGTCTATAAATCGGTGGCGACAAGCACCTCTGCTGATATATGTTCAATATGAGTCCATACATCAGCCATATAGCTCATACTCCCCTCGACCGTATGACTGGTCGTTTTCCCAACGACATAGCGAAATGAACGCGTTATCGGTCCGCACGGGTCATCAGTTGGTAGAGCCTGATTCGATTAATATCACCAAGAGGACAGACTTGATAGGGTACAGCCGCGAAAACACAATGTGTGAAGAGAGCTAGGTGCATAGGACTGCAGTCACAAAAGGCGCAGAATATCCCATGGAAAAACTTGCCTTTTGATCTACATCGAGAAAGTCACTCGACCTTGCCGACGAAGTTTCTTGGTGCATGTCTCCGTTCAGAACCTCAGTCAATCACGCTACCAGAGAAGATAATGTCAAGCGTAGCAAGCTATAGTCCATGAGTACGCAGAATCAGTTCGAACTTCATGAGGATCGTAAAGAGTCTCAGTGGTGCAATGGTAAGAACGTTTAGTGATAAGTTAAGACAGTACAGATAGTCTCAGCGCAGCAGACCAGAACGATACCGGTGAATGTCCAACAGGCAGGCTGGGGGGTAGCGAGCTTCGAGATGAGAGTGTGCGCAAAGGAACAGCCCAGAGAAAAACAGATGCATGACGCGGCACCACCCGCAATGAATTGGAAATGGTCCGGAAGGCAATACCTTCGCGGCCCGGCTACCGCCGTTTTGTGCGAATGTTAACTACATTTTACGAACATTTTACTCACCACTGTCTCGGACAGCATCTCAAGTTGATCTCAAGCTACATAGATTTAACCAAGTGATTTTTCTTCATGTCACCACATGCGGCGGCCGTACATTTGTGTTTGGGACTGATTCGAGAGTGTTTGGATTTAATTTGTATGCACAATGATCGGATTAGGTTGCGATATGAACAAGATATGACAAGCATTGAGGCCCAAGATAGAAAAAAATAAGAACAATACAGAACCCGAGATAGATAGTGAATACCGAGATGAGAAGTTCAACGCAAGATGAAGCGAAATGAAGGTAAAATGTCCGAACAAACACTCTGGCTAGGGGGTGAGGGAACCTGTTTTCCGAAAGACACCACGGTCGGATTTAATGCTCGGACGGTGGCAAGGCGTCATAGGTCGGGCACAAGGAGTCCCAATCGCTGTTGACTAGATTAGTGGACGCGACATCTGGGGCATCCTCGGCGAAGACGACAGCAAAGCCGAGCTCAAGATGCCAGTCGATGTGGCTACAAAGTGCAGTTATCACCTCGTCAGTATGCGCATGCTTCGATATTAAAGGGAGTCATACCAGTGCATGATCCAAGGTCCAGGGTTGTCCGTAGTGAAGCGGATGGTAACGTTGTCACCCGCCACACCAATGTTGACGACGTCACGCTTGACGGGGTTTACGTAGTTGTAAGTGTCGCTCCCAGCGCTACGAATGACATCGAATGCATGACCATGAAGGTGGAGAGGGTGCTGTATGAGTACAGATTCGGTCAGTATTCCGGATGAGGTAACTTGGAGGGTCAGACTACTCACGCCGCCACCAGCAGCACCACCTGGGATGGAAATCTCGACGGTCTTTCCGGGATCGAGGACATAGATAGAGCCAGAGGGAAGGAGGTCTTGTGCAGTCTGGCTTCCGGAGAGTATTTGGAGAAGGACTGGTATCGTAGGCGGAATAAAGGGCGTGCCATTGACAGTGAACTCGAGAAGAGTGGTGTTCTGCAGAAAAAACAGAAAGATCAGTGAATCGGAGATGGAAATGAGAGATCGTGAACGTAGGAGACATACAAAGACGACATCGAGGTTTATGTTGATGTCCGCTCCTCCAGGTGTAGGGTCACCGGGAACACCGGTGGCGTCGAGGCTCTGCAATATGCATATCAGTCATCTAAGACTACAAACGAGTATGGGTAAGGACCTACGTTGAGATCAGCCTCAATAAGTGGTGCGACGCTGGTGGTCTGGTTCGTGACAGGGTCGACTTCATCGGCTCCGACGTAACGAAGAATAGCTACGTTCAAACCTCCATCGAAGGTAGTAGTACCGACATCAGGCACTGCACGAATCCCTGGAAAAGTAGAGTTTTAGACTGCCGCCCACGTAATGAGTAATGAAGTATCACACACAGTAATTGTCAACTGCTTGGTCGGCAGTGACGACAAGGGAGTACCGCTGGCCTGTACATACAATGATCAGCGTCCATTGGGACGAAATCAACAGAGAGGCTGGAGAGCGTACCGGCGTATATGGGGACAGAATCAGCGACGACGGGGACAGTGTTCTGAGCGTCCGCCTCAATGACAGTCATGTTATGGCCATCGATGGAGAAGATGTAGTTCGGGTCACACGAGATGTTGGCGAGACGGAACCGATACCTGCAAGCACGCGGGCAGTACGATCAGCACTCACGGCCTCTGCCTATACAGGATTGTGAAGGTCGTAGGAGATCGGATCGGTGTGTAAGAAGCAAGGCACCAACCTCTTCCCAGATGTGACGGAGATCACAGCAAGATCTGAAGCCGGACCGCCAGCATAGCGTCCGAGACCGTTGATGAGAGTTGAATCGGGAGTCCTGGCGTGAGCAGACAAAAGTGACACGTGAATACCAATAAGTCGAAAAGTGAGACGGGTAGAGACGCTCGTGCTCACGGAATAAGCCCTGCACTAGGGGCAAATACATGGTACCTAGGGGAATCGGAATATTAGCCACGTAAGGTAAGCAAATACATGTATCTGAGGTAAACGTACCAGTCTGCTAGAGTGATGACGGTGGAGTCTGTAACGGTCATGGAGCGTTGGTCAGGTAGGCTCTAAAGTTCCATACTAGATACGCCGTTTACCGTCATCGATATCATACAGTGATGCATGAGGGTCATCCGGATCGTAGATGACCAATGCACCTCTCAAACCGTCACAGTACTGGGTGGCCAGGTGTGAATGGTACCAGTAGGTCCCTAATTCGAGATTTTAGCATTTCAATAAGAACGTCTCAAGCTATTCCAGATATACCTGCTTGCCCAGGAACACTGAAGTCATATAAGAAAGAATTTCCAGGTGCGATCGGGCATTGGCTAACGAATGCCACACCTATCGGTGGGGTCAGGGCTAAAAGCGAGATATTGGAACAATAAGATGTACATACCATCCATTTCAGTGGTTCCAGCTTGAAAGAGACCGTGCCAGTGCTGAATGAAACGTATCGATCAATGTCTAGATGGCAAATAATGGCGAAAAACGCACTATTGTTGTACTCTGGAGCATGTTTGCGTCGGTGAGCTCATCAGTGACATTTAGTTGGAAGTTATCGCCCTGAAGTATCGCATTGAGCTGGTTATTGCCTAGGAATAGAGAACAGACCACGAACCATGGAACCAGTGATGAGAGGACCGGGAAATGTGCCTTCGGCAGAGACGGTGCTATATTCAGAATGGTGAGCAATATTCATCAAAAAGGCAGCCTTCAACGACTGACTCGCGGGAGAAACCATCCGGGGAGAGGATAGCGTTAACGATATGTAGATTGGTGGAAGGGCCAACGGCGGCTAAGGCACTGGCGGCGAATGAAAGGAATACAAAGGAAGGGGTGATGAATGCCATTCAGAGTGAAAGCTCAGCGACCAAGAGACGGATAGACGGAACACAGACTACCGAGGGAGAAGACTGTGGATGTCGGCCCAAGGCACTCAGGCGAAGTATTTATACAGTTGACGATATCAAGATCGCATTCGGGTATCACCCATACCTTTTCGAACGTCAGGCTTTTTGGCGACAGTCGAGAGCAAGGTACGAAGCTTTTCCCAAGGAGCGCGCCAATCATAGCGGTCGTCTTTTCACCTGATTAGGCAATAAATATGGATTTTAAATCAATGAACATGTCTATGGTGAAGCACCGTCAAGTGAATTCGTGCGTACTTGGAATTTCCATGGGTTCCTGCCATCCAATAGCTTGAGGACTGCATGAACCAGGCACTTCGACGCGTATGAGGCACGGCAGCGGCGACTGCACAAGAACAAGATACGTATCCTGAGAGTCAACCTCAGAGATGGCACCGGAGAAGTCCCACCTGCCAGGGCGGAGTTTGAGAGCCTTGAGGTAGAGCGGAGATCACTCACCCTTGTTCAAGACTGAAGACGATAGAAGTGCCCAGGGGTAGACACAGCTCCGTAGACGGCCTTCAAGTTCGCGTTGACAAAGTCAGGAACCACAAGCAACACACATAGGACAAAAGACACCGTCACCTACGGACTGAGTGTGCCTTTCTCATTCTCCGGGAAGCGTTTAGTCAGAGGAATTTGGGGCTCGCACGAGCATCGAGCGAAACGTAGAGGCCAGCCCAGAGCACTCCCGAAAGACTAGGATCAGCGCCTTTCGGGGAAGATGAAGAAAAATCAAGATCGGAAATAGAGCAGTGCAGTATTGAATAATTCTCATGGGCGGCGTGACGAGAGAACATCTTCCATTGACTACAAGTATAGGAAAGCAGACAGGCCAGACGCGTTCAGAACGGATTCGCATGCTTGTCGTCGTAGTAGTAACGAGGCAGGCTGTTGTAGAACGGTGTTAGCACCGCGTACTCGAGAACGGAAGGACAACGTTCGATGGTTTCGATATCGTGGGGCGAAATTTTGAAAGGGGAAGTGGCTGAGGCCTATGCGCAGTTCCCGCGGAGTTCAGCAAAATGACCGCTTCCACGTGCGGGTTCCGGTGCCAAAAGATTCACACGGCCCGTCCAACTCATCCATCGAACATCCGACCCTCGCGGCAACTCGAATGGCCTCTCGACCCTTCGGTATCGCTCAGCCCCCTCTTGAGAAAGGATTCCAGCTACGTTTTCTGCTACCATTGCTCATTCGGCTTCAACAAGTTAAGGCCACCTTGTTCTATCAAACGTCAACTCTGCTACAAATAACTGAGCCGCAATCACACCCATCTTACGACAGGGAGACAAGGACATCTTCCGAGAAATCTGTTGCTGTTGAGTATGTTACGCAGACACCACACGACCCTCACTCTATTACCAGCCGTAATATGTGATCCCTAATCCACGGGTTACTGGAGCTTCGAGGTGCCTTTCTTTCAATTCGTCGTTCATCCCAGCTGTGGGCTTCTGACTGGTTTCGGCACCTTATGCTTAAAAATAGGTACCCAACAACTCTGTTTGCATGACGGGACTGCCACTTAGCCATATTGCTCGTGCCCACGAAAGAACGGATCACTTTACAGCGTTTTGTGTGAGTGTACAGAACGCCCGACGGAGTCAATGCAATCGTATGCGGTCAATTCCCACACAACCTTTTCGTGCCAGACCGTTGCGGAGAGATCTCGGAGCGTTTTTCGAGGTGCTGCTACTCTGCTACCTTCGTCTTCAGTTAATCATTGATCAGATTGAGAGTAACATACCGGCTTGTCAATGCCATATCCCGTTTATCACCGTCAAGACCCGTCATAGATGCGCTAGTACGTCTCTGCTCGCCGCTCTTTGTAGCATGGAATCATCTCACTTCGCCTCCCGTCTAGCCGTCCACCTGCTCCGTCCAAAGATGTTCATACTCTCGACTGCGCACGTCTACCCCTGTCATGGAATTCAGTCCTACATCATGATCTCGCTTACTTGGCAAGGTTGTCAGCGTTCGCCGCTCGGCATTCAACACTGAACCAGTTGTGACTGCTCGCTATCCACACGACGGTCGGACGAAGCCACATATATGAGTGCCTTGAACTCCTGAGACCTCCTTTCCTTCGGTTCATAACTCTTCGTAAGGGGATGGAGCGGCGAGTATTGCGAACTCACCCGGCTCCGCTCACCATTGTTATTCTCATGGGTCGTGTAGGTGTCTCCGTGATGTCGCATTTCTCACATCTCGGGTTCCTGTTCGTCAAAGCTTGCTCGTCAGCACCGGATTCTACTTAGAACTCTACCTTTGTCATGTAGACCATTTCATGCTCAGTTCTTCTGCTTGCGACTCATAAACACTCTTCCCTGTGGGCTCTGACTCCAGGATCCCATATCACCCTACCCACATTCTCTTCTACCGCCTGTCTCTTGCCCCACATCCTTCGAGCAGTACGATGCAGTCATCCTATTTAATCTCAATTGGCGCCATGCTCCTAGCCGTGAGTGTAACTCTTGAGCTTTTTACATCAAACACCCCCGGTTCTCTTTCCCCGCTCTTTCATCACTGTCTGAAGAGTGTACATCACGTTCCATCCAGCACCTCGCATCATCCCTGTTTCTATATCATGTCCAGCTCGCTAACCTTGGATTCTGCGTTCCTATAGGCGAGCCCAGTGCTCAGCGCCCCCACTGATCCGACTCCGGCCAGTGCAAGCTCCAACGCTATCGTAACCGCCACTAGGCTTGTCAACTCCCTGGTCGACGTGGACCCCTTCTTCATCACCGTAACTGAGGTCGTTGTCTGGACTCAGACGGCCGAGGCTACTCCTTCTGCCTCTGTATGAACCATTGTCTTCGTGTCATCGGTGAGTAGGGCTTTTAACATAGGGCTGAGGAGAGACGCTGACAGAATCTTTCATATCATCCACGTTCGTGTGTTGTCTCAAGCGTCAGATTGCTGCGAAAGTTGGAAGAAATAATGTAACTTATCAGTGTACATTGCGCTGTCACATCTCTTCCACAGCCTCGTTTTTTGGACGCGAATTGGAAGCCTTGCTTGCAGTGGTCTGCCGCTCTGATTCCTAAATATTCCGACCGTATCTTCAGTGCCACGTCGAGCCGCTCAATATTCCAGTTATTTTCCTATTTTCAACCGGTCAGATATATGCAGCTGGGCGGACCTCTGTTGTACAGCAGCTACTGAAGAAACTTCGATGATTCCGTTCATTTCTAAGTATATCCTCTGTGGCCCCGATTCTGTTCGCCCATATCATGATGGTGGCCGGGCTTTTTGAACAGAAAGATCATCAAATTTTCAATATACCGAGGGACTGCTTTATTTTTATGTTGCATAATCCCCGTTCAAATTGCACACGGCCTCACCGCTCTGAGTCTCGTCTCCCGCATATTCACCCAGAGAGTCGGTATGCGCTCGTCATCCGCCTCCGTCGAAATGCACAGAAGAGAAGGGCGCACACGAGATATCCTTTCTCCAACTAATCCGTCCCATCCATAGTCCTGATAGCCTGGAACGTCGTACATCACAGGCTGCGTGTGCACCGGACCTTGTGCGATGAGGATCTCCGCTTCGAAGAGAGAACGAGAGGTTCTCGATAACCGTCAAGGAAAGTATGGAATGACGTGTATATCCCAACAAGCTCCCATTAAGCACGCAAAGTGGCGTATTAAAAGTGGAGGCCAGCGTGTTTGGACGAAGTGGCGTCTACTTGGGATTCGGAGGGCGCGATATTTAAAGGCGAGTTGGGCTTAGAGCAGCTAATATTACGGTGGAAAGGAATCAACAGTTCTCCAGCTCAAAGATCAGCGAAAGTATGTCCAGTAGTAACGCCAAGTAGTAGAGGGTCCATTGTTCTATCTGATGCCGAGGGAAAGGGTAGTGTTTGAGTATATAAGAAATGAGGTAGGGCAGAGAGGGACTTGAGAGGGACGTAAGTAAGCGCTGTAGCTAGAGACTTAAGCAATGAGCGGCTAAAGCCGAATGATCCCATCTCCGACAAACTCCAGGCAAAGTGCGACGGATATTGTGTTCTTCGCCACACTTTTGCTTTCGTATCTCGTCCTCCTCTAGTCTTCTAGTCTACCTCGATCGCCCAGTATCGATGCCTCCCAATAAACACTTTGCTCCGTCCCCAACTCCTACCGCCTCGCCGAGCATTGGCGCTGTCACTGGTGAAAGCGAATGGGAACCACTGTCTTCCGGTCCCATAGATTTTGCTGAACAGTCACATGGCAGAGTAGGAGGGCGGGACGATTCTCTTGTCCTGCCACATGAGGTTGATGTCGATGAAGGATCGGAAGATGGAGGTGCAGGACGGCAGGATGAGTCCCATGTCCTGCTCAACGAGAGTGAACTTGATGAAGGGATGGAAGACGATACTCGCAGGCTTGACCGGACGCTCGATGTCAAAGACGGTCATCGCCTTAGCGCCATCAGTCCATCGTTACTCCCACAATTCGAGATCGCGCCGACTGTCCAACTGCATCATCATTCGCAGAATATATCCTCGCGACGTACATGCACTATCGGCAGCTTGAGAAGGCAACGACAGACTCCGAGATAGAAATCGTGGTCTCGAGGTTGATTAGGGAGTGGCAATCCGTCGGAGGATGGGTGCGTCTTACATTTCAATGTGCTGACAACCCGCCCGTTATTCCCTGGCCTTTTTTGATTTTTTATTTCCATACATTTAGCTACTCGCTATAGCCGCGTGAGTACAAAAATCTTCCTGTGCTCTCAGACACTGAGATCACACTCTCGCACCAGGGTGGACGTGACCTTCTTCGGATTCGCGCCACAATCACAGCAAAAGCTCTTCGACATCGAGGGCTCGACCATTGGTGCAGTCTCCACCTCAGCCACCACGGCTGCACTGGGGATCTTTTACGACGCATGATATCTATTTGAATACAGCAGTATTGATGTACAGAAGCTTAAGGTTCGTCCTTGTTGCACGCTCGTCTAGCGTACGATCTCAGGCTCATTCACGGAAATAAAACAGGCCATCGCCAAGGACAAATCCTGCTCCTTCTTCTTTTTCTCCATTTACTCCGGATTACCTGGGCTAATATTCCTCTTTGCGAGCGTTTCTACCTCGATTGCATTGATCATTATTGTATGGCAGACTCATTGATTCAGAGCCGTTATCGGTTTCGGTGTTTTTTGCTTCATGATGCGTTTCTCTGAATTGGTATCCAACGTTCTCCGACATATCAAAAACGGTATCAGGTGGTTATTCGTAGTCGGCGTTCCTAAAGTGTGGTCTTGGGCGTATAAGGGTGTGGTGAATCTAGGATAGTTTGTATGGCACGATGTATTGCGGCGGTAGTTCAATGAATTTCACGTTTATAGTAGAATCCTCAGTGAGCGAGAAATTTAAACAAACAACCGCATGTACTATCTTTGCGTCCCAGAGATGCAAGCTCCTATAATCTATTAGACCACAAGTTGACCACAAGGCAGCTAAATCGGAACCATGACCAGATGCGGGAGTAGGTACGAGTGACGAGGTGATTGGCTCACATTAGACCTTATATGTTTCAAATTTACTTGGAACTCGCTGGCGGAAGATCTGTCCGATCCGCCAATGAGCTTTCGCAAAAAGTTCCAAGTTTTTACTAACATATAAGCCCTGTTGGTGCAGACTCGCAAACATTCCTCTGCCCTCGATTCGTGTCCAATAGTCGCAAATAGAGAAGAATAAAGTATATTGGACTACATTATATGCCTTTGGTAGCCATTCTGCCCGCTCGATGCCTGTTTCATTTTTTGTATTCCATTGGAAACCACTAAAATAGATTTTACTTGAGAAAAAATGAATCCATCGAAGACAATGAGCGCGAAAGGTGTCCAACGGTGTCCAATAGACCTTATATGTTTCAAGTTTACCTGGAACTCGTTGGTGGAAGATCTGTCCGATCCGCCAATGAGCATTCGCAAAAAGTTCCAAGTTTTTACTAACATATAAGACCTAATAGCCAGCGAGTTCCAAGTAAACTTGAAACATATAAGGTCTAATGGTGTCCATTGCTGTACATTGTTATCCATAAAACATAATTTTAGCTCACAGATTTTGACCTCCATTGTTGCCGATTCGATTTTATTCGAGTTTAATCGCGTTGGATCGTTTTAAATCGTTTCGAATGTTGTCCAATGTTATCTAATCGCGTCGAATGTTATCTAATCTTGTTTGATCTTGTCTAATCACAACCATTCGTGTACAATCTACTACATTGGTCTCCAAAGAACCACAATCTTGCTGCGAAAAACAGACTCCCGGTTTAAAGTCCAGTAAAAGCCTTCATAAATTCGGGAGCCTGGAAAATCAGTGAACCTTGTAGTGAGAGTGGGAATCAAGGGCTTACGAACCTGAAATGTCTTATGAAGTGATTCTTTTGGTACGTTTTCCCTCAATCGGAGTTGCGGCAAGTGAGGAATTGTTGATATACTGACTTAGCTACCCTCCTTTTGTTTGTAGGGTCCGTTCGTACCGTTTGACGGACATCCCTGCCGTCTGTCCATTGTACCAAATGTGTTCTGCGTCGTCTGGCGTGCAGTACTGCAGCAACCCTCGTTCCTCATCTGCGTATTTCTCCCCTTTTATATCAAACGTGTAGCACTCACTATTAGCTCACTATCCTCCTCCTCTTCTTTAGATTTTTTTTTCGCCCATGTCTACTTGCTACTCCCGTACTCGTAATATTCGGCATCTGGGTTGTGTGTCTCACGGTCTCCCAGAGAAAGGGAGCACCACGCCGTCCAAACACATCCCTAGCCGCTTCAGTATCATCTCGGCATGTATCCACAGCTTATGTACGTGCTCTTGATCATAATCAGTCAGGCGTGCTCTATACAACACTGTAACGAACCCATATCTTTCATCCGGAGACAGCCTCGCAGACTCCACATGCTGACACAGGCTGTAGTCAGCTTTGTTCTAACCTCGTTCTATCAACGGGCGGTGCATCAGCGTTTTCTCAGCTGATGGGAATCAGTGGTGTTTCCTGCGGTCCTACTCTACTCTGTCTCGTTCATCATCCAACACAGCGTGAGCCTGAAACGCCACCGCCCCATATAACAATGTTGTTCTGCTCTCGGACTACATTTTGGAGCCTGCGTCCAGCCGTTGTTCCTTTCATGACTGTCTGCCCCTATTACTGTTCCCTCGTTATGCATGCAGTGCCACCTTCCAGTGCAAACTTACCTTGGTCTAGCTGATTGTGCCACCCTTGCTGATTCGGGTACATTGAAAGTCTCTCTCAGTCTTATACAGACCACATTCGTGAATAGTCGATATGTCTGCTGTGGACCTACTGTGATGAGATCTCTGATAAATATCACCATCTTACCTGCAGTCTTCGCCTGTTTCCTAGTGGTCTTTAGTACAATGCGGGACAGCGTCCTCGTCGGAGGTATCTTCACCAGGTTGGTTTGATATTAAGCCTGTTATTATTCGTTAAGATGTCTTGTGGTTCCTTTCACTCATCAGTGTGACTGAATCCCTTGATAGCTCTGACAGCCCACGAATATCTTGAAATAGCGTTTAATTGATATTGCATCCCCGCTAGAATGGGCCGCAGTTGCTTTTCGTCTCCATGCAGCACCACGCGGCGTTACACACAGAACCAAGTGGCCGTGCTCATCATGAGGTGCGACTTCTGGAACATAGGTGCACTTCAATCAGCATCGACTTCGACCTTCCCCTTATCCAATTCGTTGTGGAAACTCACCTCACACTTCCGGACTAGCTTTGTCGATGGTGATGCATCTTTGAATCCAAGCTACGTGAATGCCCGATGAAGAACTTTTATGAACTACCTCTTTGCATACTATTTCGGGTTAAAACTATCATATCACTTCATTCTATGATGTGATTGTGATGTCTTCCGGCACAGCCGTCGCAGAGAGTCAGCTCATGCTCACCATTTCGCATGCGAACCGCTTCTTGACGCGGAGATCGCCCTCCTTGCGGACATCAAGTGATTACGACTGCAAATGCGACTCTCAGCTGCGACGCAGAAGAGTTTCTGTTCTTGCTTGCATCCTGACCATGGACTACGCCGAAAGCAGCTAAGAGCTCGGGATAATTGTAAATGCTTTGTATCACTATGGATTGCATGACCACCGAGAGAATCATATCTTGATCTCTGGAAACCATCACAGAAGTGGGGCTATACGTGTTCAATATGACCATGTATGACTTCGTGAGCTCGCCCTAATGAGAGGCTTGATGTTCTAGACAAAATGCGCAAGAGGGGAAGTGGTGACTGCTGACTTGCTGGGAAGGAACAGTATTCACTGTTATTCCGTTCGGACTGAGGTATCACCTACATTCTCCGCAGAGAGGACATTGTGCGCAGTCGTCACACACAATGTATATACAGTTCATGCCTGTGCAATGACGGTAACCTAGACTTTTTTGCGGGGCCAGAAACTCTCTAGGACAGCCTATCATGATGTCTATATCTTCTCCATCTCGCCCGTGACCACTGAGCTATCATTATTTGTTCTAAGGACGCCATGACTACAGAAAGTCTTTGGTCTCAAAATGTGAGCTAGTGTTTAGTCTCTGCGCTTGAACTACAGGGTTATACAACTGTGAACTATGTCGGCTCGTTCTGTGGTAGCCTCTGCCTCTCATTTGAAACGGGTCGCATTATGCACTGCACACTAGAGAGAATAGTATCCACAGAAAAAGGGCCCAGGACAGTGAATCCGCCCACGAACTTCCATGGTCAGTCAAAATACGTTTTTACCAGTGTTGGATTTAGCTAGTTGCAGCTCGACGTCGCGAGAGCTTTCGCGAGCTTTCGACGGACACGGATGACTCAGCAGCGCAGCTGCTTTGCCACTCTCTCGAGTACTGTAGAATATTCTAGTATAATTTGTACAGTAGTATAAATACATGAAGAGTTTACCTGTGTAGGGCATCGGTTTGCCCTAACACAAGGCAGCCTCACAGCTCAGTGTGATTGCAAACCCTCTCTGATTTCTCGTGCTTTTTTCACTCGCTCACGAAAATCCAACAACCAGTGTATCACAGTACGTTTTGCTTTAGCGGAAGCCTTTGGCCTTTGGCCTTGGATCCCGGCATGGGAGCCCTCCATCGAATAAAAATATTCCCAATGCAACGGACTTAGCCACGGACTATATTTCGTCGGCATCTTCCTTCCTTCCATGGGCCAAGGTCAGTATTTCCTCTTGGGGGTGCCAAGCCGGAATAAACATGGTCCCTTCGTTCGCCACAATGTTTGCAATAGGATGATTGCGGGCTGAATATGTTCAGACTATGCACTAGATCGAATACAAACTTTGCTGTGGACTTCCACTGATAGTGCGTGCATCGTATCCTCATACGGATAGACTGTGATATCTGGAGAGCACAATAAATGGGGAGAGATTTCAGATGCCACAATCAGGCCGCTGGCAGAGATGTGCGAAAGACGTGTTGCCACTTGGACAGAGAGAATTTACAGTTTAATCCTCGTCTCCTTTTATGCATGATCAGTAAGCTGTTCTGGCCCAATTGTTAGGCAACACAGAAATATGGCTGCCCACTTGGCCACAGAGCCTGTGAAATGCATGTAAGCGGCTGAGATTACATCGCTCTAGGAGCGCACTTTGAATCGTGAACTCAGACCTGATGTACCAACTGAAATGTATATAAGCCTATGAGCTCAGTACTCGAATACTACAAGGAAATACGCCTCCCACAGAGCTCAACACCTCACTCCCTACCTCTTCAACACTTTCCCCCACCTAGTTATATCGCAATGCTTTCAAAGATTTCTGCTATTGTTGCCACTGTTTTCTTTGTTGCTAGCATCCCCAGCGCCATAGCGGCCGGGGACGTCAATTTCTTCGGAGCCAAGTCTTGCGCAGGAAACTCCCAGGACAGTTTCCAGAACATTGGATGCAACACTTGCCTCGACCCCCCTGGCGGTAAGTCATCCTCTGCTACTGACGCTGCGAGCTCTTCTACCAAATATTGATGAATTTCTGCCCGCATCCAATGTTTTCGTTAGATTTCGGAGCCGTGAACTTCTCGGGGCTTGGCTCTGGTCAGCGTGTCGAGATTCATAACGAGGTACAGTGTTCATACCGCCAACGACTGCGATATTGCGTACACTGATAGGAAACATACCCTCTAGGACGGATGCACTGCTGCGTCCCTCACTGGACAACAATCCGGAGATGTCTGTTTCATACAGGGTGCGACGGCCATCCGCTCTGCCTTTGTTGCTTGCTGAGCTTGAATATTTTTCCTACTTTCGTGTGAGTGCATGTGTTTCTCTGCTTTTGCTCGTCATAAATGTTCTAACTGGGATTACTCATTTGTCTCAGCTACTATGACGACCGCGTTGACGGATTGTTAAACTCAGTGTATGTATGATTACGATATGATGTATGTTCGCAGTCTGAGGAGTTAAAGGGCGAAGCATCGAAACATGTTGATTTTGGTTGTGCCAGTGAATTGGCAAAGAACTCGATATTTTTATATTGCCCGTCAATATTCTCTTGGCGTGTCTTCGGTGTATTGAGTAGAAATACCTTTAGTTGCAAATTGGACTACACGAGGGTCCCGCCAGAGAAGTATAGAAGTGGAAACGTGCTCTTCAACACGCATGGATATGAGTAACCCACATTGAGCAGGAGATTGGACACGTACGGCAGACAGAGACTTGTTGTCGATCATGTATGCCGAACCGGAACGATACTGGTTCCGAATATCTGTGCGATTCCGCAGAATATTGGAACAACAAGGGTGAAAACCTGGCGCTTCAGTATGGCTACCGGAATCATAGACGAGTTCAGATCGAGGTAATGAAAAAATAATTAATGTATTTGTCCATCCCTTGCTTGAAAATCACAGTAGATGTTGAAGAAAAGATTTGGGCCACCTGTGGCTGTACGAAGTCAGCTGAGAAGGACACCAAGCTTCATGTCGGGGATAACTTACACGTCGGCATTGCTTCGGTGCGGAATAAAATCGTATGGACGAATCATCTGAATATGCGTGTGTGAGCCTCCACTGGTCTGCCATCCCTCAGCGATTTTATGGGACTTCATAAGACGCACTAATATACACCGCATGCACTCGGAGGGATGCGAATAGAGAAGATAGGATGGGTTCTACGGGATCCACTCAGTTCTGCTATCACGAGATTAGATTTCCAGGTGCACGTCACAGTTATAAATACGAAAGGCAGCAAGACGAACACTCGTCTGCAAAAGCAAGTGTCACATGGGGTGAGGAATACCGAGCCTCGAGGAAAGGCTGTTCGGGAGAATTTGAAGGGTGAGCGTTATGAGCACACTGAGGCACTAAGATCTAAGGTCTATTGTCGGCAAAGTAGACAGAAATATAATAGAACAGCCGGAAGAGGGCATAGCGGGGTGCTTGAAGAGCAGGCAAAGAGGAGCTGAGTATAGCAACGCCATCGGAAATAAAGGGATAATATAAGACCACCAGGCTACACTGCTCCAAGCACGATGCATCGCGTTTAGACTGAGGGTGGTCGCGGTATTGCACTGAGCTCGAGGGACACGTAACTATCGCGGTTCACATTTAGAAAGTGAACCAGGTCATGGTGCGCATCCTATTATTTGGCTCTGAGAGGTTCAATTGTCATCAACAATGAGAGAAATAGCAAAAATTTCGAAAGAAAACGAATCAAAGAGTCGCTTGGAGAAGTGAACGAGAGAGTCGCCGAGAATGTGGAACCTAAGATCAAATCCGCCGAGGCGGATGGGATTCTGGCCGGAGCGAAGGATCGTTATTAACATCAAGACACAGGCCCAGAGATTGATGTTCCTCCCACTCGAGGGACGGTAGCTTTGAGAAAAGAACGAGGAAGAAATATGATTGGGTAGGGAGGTGTGTGTGGTGGTTCGAAAGGAAAATAGTGTGGCGACCCAAATCGGCCGAATGCGGTTCAAAAGATAAGATAAGATCGCCACGCGAGCAACATACCTTCAGCTCTGCCATTTCGATGTTCTCCTCGTTCACTTCCACGACGACGAAATACGGATATGTTTACTCTCCCAAGAAACATCTCCTATAGCTAGCATGTGCCTTGTTCGACATGGAACCATATCTCCCTACTCAACCTGCCACGTCGTCGACAGACTCTCACGCTCGACACCTAGTCGTCTTGCCCCGGTTTTCGATCGTACGCACCTTCCTGTCCTGTCCTCCTAACGTTCAGCACCTCACTCCTCACCGGTCTCACCATCCTCAGATAGCGCTACTGCACTTGTTGTGGTCTCGCCATCTCCGACATGCACCGCAGCCACCTCTAAGAACCCCACGTCATCGTCCTCTCAGAACATCTCGATCTCGTCTCCACCCTCATCTTCGTCCTCTGCCTCTTCCCTCTTCCCTTGTCCATCCCAATCGCCAATTCCACCCCGTTCAAGCCCCGCAAACCTTCTCTCCCTATATTCACCCACGCCACGACCACGAACTCGTCGTTCTCTCCTACCCATAGCCTCGAGCGGCGTTTACTCATATTTCTTCGACACCAAATCCCAATCACTGCTCGATACCAGTATGAACCTTCTCTAACGTCTCTTCCTCCGACTCTCGCACTTCAACGTCAGGTCAAGCGTCGCGGGTTCACTCCCCTCGTTCTTCATCGCATCCGCTTTCGCCTACGTTCCAAAGCCTCGTCGATATCGAGCACCACGGACGACGATGCGCATCCGCATAGTCCGACCTCTATCCTCAGCTTTACGTAGCTTTCTCTCCTCGATACGTCGCGTTTAGGTTCTAACACTTCTTCCTACACGTCACATACGCATATAATCCCGCCCTAACTTGGACCCGGAGCTCAAATGCGAACGAACGGTCCAACCCTCGAAATCGATCCTTCTGCCCTTCCGTGTACACCCATACACCACCTCTCAGCTTCCCTTCCGCTTCCTTTTTCCTTCCTCTATCTCTATCTCTACCTCCCTCTAGCAGACGGAAAGAAGAGCAAACCTAAAAAAAGCAGCGAAGGATAAGAGGGAAGTACCGCATCGGGGCAGTGTGCGGAGAAGAGAGGCTGATAGCCGGAGACGAGGCGGGGGATTGGCGGAAGTGGTCGTGGTCGTGCAAGGAGTGGATGATTAGGACCAGGAACGGAACGAGTTGCGAGGGGGAGCTCTAGAAGGAGAAGGAGAAAAGTATGCGGGATGGATGTCCGGAGCGGGTTATGCGAGATCGGACGGGAGAGGAGTCCATTCCTCGACGGTAGCAGTGAGGGTGATTGCCACGGCAGAGGGTGTAGAGGTTAAGCATCGTAATGGTCTTCTATGCCGGAGACTGACGGACGTTCTGCCAGATTAGAGTCCGTTCGGCCAAGACGCGTCCTCAATATTGGACGAAACGTCGCAGACGACGATGGAAGCCGGACATTCGACAAGGCAGAATTACGGGCGTTTCTGGCGACTGGCTCCAGTGGGTTTAGTCATGAGAGGAATTTGAGAGAGAGGATGTTCAAATGTCTGCTACGTCTTTTACGGCTTTAAATTGGAGGCATGTTTCCTCGTATATCTCGTCCTTCGTCATCCCTCTTTCTCTTCGGTTATCTTTTTTCGAGCGGTTTTATCTCCTTCGAGAGCTTCGATGTCGGTCGTGCTTCGGGTGTAGGTCTTTTACGGGCTGTGCTTCCCACATATAACGCTTTCGCAGTAACATTTGTCGTGACTGCCGTGTTCATCTCTATTCTATTGTCCTGCATTAGAGGGCCCCAGTATCCCTATGCGCTATGCTTGACCTCACAGGACAGGCTGAAGGCGACAGTTCTGTGCATCTATCACAGATGCGTTTAGCGGAATGGGTGCTTTTAATCTTCGTATGGCTGACGGAGGATCATAACGAGCGTCCTTGTCCGTATTTTATTCTCGTTTACTTAAGCCCTGAAGATGAGCTGAGTTCCTCGAAATTGCAAGGCTGGTGGCTCGGTTTGGTGGTTATATGCGCTATCAGACGCCTGACAGCAGTTTCTGGGATATTCCCATGCTCTTGTCGTGTTTGTCTCTCCATCATCTCTGGACGGACGGATGGGCGGATGCTTCAGCGCGGAGTTTCTGCGGCCGTGGTTCATTGCGCTCCAAAGCAGGTCCTTTCATTGAAAGACGAGGAACTTAATCTCGTCTTGTGAACTCGATTGAGTGCTGCTGCATTTGAGGAGGAAGACCGACTGTGTAGCAGACGGCCGGACGTGAGTGAGTGAGATGTGCACTCTTTGTGTTGGATGAATGAATGAGGTACCGTTGGATCTGCACAGAAAGGCGTGCATTTCTGACCGGCCTGCTTCGTGGCCCAAACGCACGATAAAGATGAGCATGTACTCTTTGTTTCATACTGTAATAACCTAATAGGATATCTACATCGTCATTCACAGGTGCCCAGTAGAACGTCCTTTCTGGATATGACCGTGGGCTGGGACTCGGCTGTTGTTCACCATAGGTCTCATTTTCTTCACCACGGCCTCCTGGTTTCCAGCTATCACCTCGTCCTGTCCATGGGCTCTACACTAAGGAGGCCTGATACGCTCTCTTATAGATAGCGGGTTGCACGAAGGGTTGTACTGCTTCTCCCGCTTTTTATTTGTACCTTCTCGTTTTTGTTCTTTACGTACTGCTATCTCCGACTCCTTGTCTGTTCGCATCTGCTATCACTCTATTCATGATACATATTCATGATACGACTTGGAGTCCCAGACCTCCGAACGCTCTTCTTTCCAGCTGCTATGCCCCGTTGTACTACAATCAAACTGATGTGTTGTTGTTCTTGCCTTCGAATCGCGTCCGGAATCATTGCATTTCTCCATTGTCGTCTCTCATCCAAGTCTAGTATGAGCTAATCGTCAGCGGTATTCACTACAAAATCCCTTCCCAAATTTCTCTTCATCTTCATCCTCTTCGACCTGGACCTTTGGCAAGGTATCATCGGCCTTCTGTCTCGAGCATCTCAAGACTAGAATAGTATGCCTATCCCACTAGGCAAGCAAAATGGTGTGCTAAAAATAATATCAGCGTGTTTGGACGTTGCATTTTTGTTGCATTTGCTTGGGACTCGGAGAAGACGATATTCGAGATGTGGAGTTGAACTAGGCTGAGTGCTGCTAAATTGCGGTGGCAGGAGTTCCAGTTCTCCACGCTCAAGATCACAGTAGCAACGCCAAGTAGAGAGTACATCGTCGTGAACTTGCAGAGACGAATGACAGCGGAGGAGCAAGAGGGAGAAATAGATTAGTGTGGCGGAGGTGAGGCCACGCGCTCGACGGAATTGATCCACGCGAGCGATCCCGGGATGATAAGATTACGATCGCCTCTTTTCCCCACCCTTCCTGGCTCATTTCCTGTTTTTCCTCGTTCTCGTTCTCTGTGAACTGTTAGCTTCCTGAGTAGAACTGACATAATGTGGTCCTGGCTGGTCTTATTGCGTAGTAATGGTTACTTATACCAACCTCTTTGCAGGACTGTCTCGATGGTCTTAGGTGATCGGCACAGAGGTCGTTTTCGAGAAACTTGCCTCAACTGTATCTCGGTCAAACCACGAGTAGATGAATAACCGGGTGCATACATTTAAATGGCATGACACAGTAAGACTGGCATACTCAAAAGACTATGGCTACCGCTACTACAGAATTATCAACGCAACGACTCAAATGCGGAAAACTGCGGGATTCGTTCACGCCTTGACCGATCTTTCACTCCCACAAAGTAGACCTAATGACGGAAAGGCCAGAAAGACCGACTGGAAATATCTGTTAGGAGTATTCGCGAGAGTGGCGAAGAAAATTCGGTGACATACCATGCTCAGCGGCGTTATCCGCGAAACCTGCAAACACGAAGGGACCGGAGAAGTGGTAGGGCTGGCCAGCGTTCGCCTTATCACTGTTCCCGTAGGGCTGTGGCGATGCATCACGAAGTAAAATTCCCGTGAGTAGTTTATCTTTGAATAATGAGCAGGGAGGTGGACCTACTCCGGCGACGCGCATGATACCCGTCTTAGTGTCGAGGATATTGAAAGAGATGGTGCAGACGAGCGCTTTCTTGTAGTAGTTATGGTAGCCCGCCATGCCGGAGACGTCAGCAATGACCTCGGTGTCTGCGAAGAGAAGATAGTGAGCATCTCGAAGACTGGAAACATTCGGGATAACTGACCACTGAGGGTAACGGTGGCCGTGACAGTCTTGCTACCGTGCTGGACAGCCTTCTGCGTACCATCAGCGAGGTCGTACGTGACGGTGATCCCGTCAACCTGGTTATAAAAGCAAACATGAATGAGCCAAGACGACGCCAGAATTGATCGTTGGACTGAGAACTGACGATCCAGCCAGTGAAAATATCGATCTTGGAAATGGGATGATCACGGCGAATCTTGTTAGCGGCAGGCCATCCGGAAACTACAATTTATGACGCTGAGCAAGAAATGACGAGCAGATAACAAACAAAATCATACGCACCCGCGTCGGAGTCGTTGAACTGGGCGCCATCGTTTCCACCTGTAGAAAGTCGAGCGTGTAACACCATGGTAAACATACATAGACGGTAACGCCGAGTCACGAAGTACAAGCATTGATAACAGTGCTCACCAATGAGACGAGTCTGGACGCTGGCACCGTCTGGAGAAATCATTTCGATCGTTTGTGGATGGGAGTGAGTGAGAGCTGTTGTGGAGAGAGATGAGTAACTGGGAGCTTGGAGGCGTGGACAGTCTCGTATTTATACTTTTGCTTCATGTGGTCCAGGGGCAAAACTCGAACCTTGGAGTCCATTTCTCTGGCTTGTTTACGTCGAAGAAAGCGGAAGAGGCATGCATGTCAGTGAAGTTTGTGCGTAGAATGAAGGACAGGTCAGAGGATCGTTCTAAGTCGTAAAATTATGGAACGGCGAACTCACGGCGAGCTGGCAGTATCCGTCTGCTTACCCCCATTGTCGCGTTGAATACCCTTTTGTTGCGGCCTCACAGTTCTACAGCAGTCCTTGGAACCGAAGCTCGGTCCTATGCCTGGAACCTCCGAAATGTGACCCTAGCCAGGCGCCCAGCATAACGCAACTGTGTGATCATGATGGTCATGCATTTTTCGTCTTGCGGAACAAAGATTTATGACGGTGCTGCAGATTCCCAAAGCTACTAGAGGTTCGTTATTCGAAGGACCTTCAGATGCATGTATAGAAGAACGGAACTCGCATCACGCGACTGCTGCATCTGACAGGTCCCACCGGCCTGACGACATCATCGTCTGTATGAGCAGTAATACCCTGGGGGTGCGTGCATGAGTCAACAGTATTTTTACCTCCGCAGGCTCTGCAGACTTCCTGGACTACTCATTCGCTGAATATTTGATTCAGAGCATCTGGTACTTGACTCCGAAATGCGATTGCAAAGCATTCGCGACTTGTGCCCGACGCGAGGCGCCGATTTTGACCTTGGTCACAACTACGCTGACGTCGAGAAATTCCCAAACATCGGTCAAGGGCATGTATGGTGCCATTTACAGATGACATCTTCGATAAATGCATTCACCACCCTGGTAGATGCATCTGTGCGGAGTGCAGACGTCTTAGGGATGCATGTATCCCCCTTTTTGAAACCCGAACAACGTCTTCGTGCGTCAACGCAGAATACTGTACTATTTCGACCGTAGGCCATGGTCACAGGTCACAGCGGGCATATGGCATGGCCTAAACACATTTTGTCACAGGTCACAGGCCCCCTGAGGCATTATTTATTCATTTTTTCGTCCAGGCTTCGCCCAAAACGGCAATTTACTTGCCTTTTAAGGCAAGTCGGTCACAAATTTTGGGGGCCGATGGCCTATTTACACCCATGGCCTAAGTGCCACCCTTGTCACAGGTCACACCCTGGTGGCCTACGGTCGAAATAGTACAGTAAGTCGTGCTCCATATTATTGGTGAAGACGTAAGTCACCGGCTCCAGGAAGCTGCTGATCATGACTGCTTGACGGGTCTCTGGTGAGTACCTCTGGCATTTAATTAGTACGGTGGAAGTTTGCTCTAGGAGAATACGACGGTGACAGAACTGCCATACTTGTTATTCACAGGGCTTCACAGCCTTGGACCCTCCTACACAGATCGATGATTATTGAAGCGAGTGGTCGGTTCATGACTTTAGAACAGGCGACATGAGGCTTCAGACATGAGGCCCTATGCTTGACAGGAAGAACGAATACAACCATTCGATACTACATCGAACGGAGGGAGAAATGAAAAATGCGCAGTAGAAAGAAACGGGGTAGATCCTACAGTAGACAGGCACGTTCGAGGCTAGGAGAGGATCGAGGTCGACGGCGAAGGCCAGGAAATCGTGTATGCCACAAATACTATGCCACATCTTCGATGGCTGTCACAACTCACTATAACTTACAGTGCACATCGTTCCCCAGTTCTCGTTCCTCAACGACCTCGCCGGCCTCAATAACCTGTCAGTCACGGCTTCTACTCCTCCATACCATCATACTAAGCCACTGAGCACGAAGCTGAAACGGACACACAACAAAGTCGAATGACAACGACATACTTCCTCTGCAGAACGCATGTACTCATCCGCGAGAGGATACGTGTACGTGTCATGTAGTGCAGCACCACACAACCATTGCGGGTACGAACATGAGCATCACGGCGACAGCGATTTGTCCCAACGTACATGATCTATCGGAGCTCGAAGGTCTAATCTCCAACGTGAAGCGATCGTCCAACGAAACATCGTAACGCCTGAGCAATGACCACCGAAACCACAGGATGAAAAGATCTAAAGGCGCCTGCATGGCAAGAGCATGGACAGGGAAAAAGAAAGCAAGAATCGCGTACCGGTCATCTAAACATTTGCTCACTCACACTCCTCCTACTCGCCACCACGCCACCGTCACCACCCGCTGGAGTCAAGTCCTCGGAACGATCCTCGATGGCGGTGTAGGGGTCCTATCGTGTTTCTTCGGCAGTCGACGATCGATCTTTGATCATGAAGAAAAGACTTGGCTAACGCTTGCCCTTGAATAGTCTCTCATCCTGCCCACGCCTCATTTTCACATCCATAACAGCGTCAGGGCCACCCGAAAGGGTTACTTTTGGGAGGAAGACAATATGGGCGGAAGCTCGTGCGTGTCGACAATTGCGAGGCTGCAGTACGTGGAGTTAGAGCGCTGTCGATGCAGGCATGGTCATTAGCGAGGTTCTATATTTGTGAGAGGATGGTGCGTACGATCGTTTGAGCGTGTTCGAAGAGAGAACGTTGGGACATCTTGTATGGATCTGCGGAAACGAGGCTGACGGAGAGAGAAGTGGTTCAGCATAGAGGAAAGGATGTACCCAAGTTATTGATCTATCACACCATACATCCACCCCATCATCTATGCACTGATGTCGTACATGACTCATTGTGTACGCATTTAGGCCTCGTTTGACGAGGCAGGGCTTCGAAGAAAGAGACAAGAGGCTAGGAAGGGCTCGGAAAAAAGAGGATTGGGAGAAAAGTGTTCATCGCCAGCGGAGATCCATATGTTCGTGTCCATGTCGAAGTTCGCCTCGTCGTTGTCTCGTACTAGGCGAGCAAACAAAAAGAGGGATCCGAATCGAAGGTGATATTTATTAGAGTTAGCTTGACAGCTCAGACCTGGAGGTGTTCTCTTGCCCGTATCTCCAAGTTCAGTATAACCAAAAGCACAGCCAGTCATACCGAATAAGTACCGAAACCGTTGTTCGAGAGGCAGATGACGACAGGTAAGCAGCAAGAGGGACGTTAACGTTGTTCGAGCGGTGGATACGAGCGCGGAACTCACGCCACGTGGCCGACGGAAATGATGCACGCGAGCCAACCCGGGCTGATAACAAAGCGATAAGATAACGTTTGTCAACGAGCGCTCATTTTCGCGTCGTCTCGTCCTCTACCTATAGCTACTGCTAGCTCCAACTTCTCGTCTGCTGACATCTACAACCACTCTACTTTCGTAGATTTGAAGCTCGAAGCTCGAAGGAGTAGGCTCTTGAACACTCCATTCCAAGTGATGTATCGCATGGCCTGCTCTTGCCGATCTCAACCCCACCGTCAGCCCACTTTGTATATTGTTACTTCTACGGCTCTCTCTCTATGCATCTGTCCAGCGTTATATAGGCAGCGTCACTCACTCACGTTTTACTTCCTTCCCATCCATGGTCCCAGTAGCAGGCCACGGGTTTGAATGCCCTCGCTTTTTTCACTGCAGCGCACTCAGTGGTCTCTGATATGCACTCCCGACGCCAATCTACAGAAGGAAGTCGTAAACGCAAGGTGCTGCTGATCATTCGGGATGACTGATGGAGATTGTGGAGTTCGAGTCTGTAGGGCTTAGGACGGAGCCACGAGGAACGGCAGCGGAGAAGGGAGATGTAAGTACGTCGTCACACTTTGATCCTTGCTCACATTATTCACATCGTCATTCGTGTTGTTTATTTCTCGTTCTCATTTACCTCTAGCATCACCTATCCGCCGAAACACAGTACTGATCATAACTCTTATCCTCTATTTTTCCTCCTCACCCCTTCTCTCCATCGCTTCTTCCCCTAATCACCCTCCCGCCATCCTTCGTGGTTTCTTATCCGTATTCACTCTCCGTCAGGACTGGCACCAGCGCAGATTCTTCCGAGTCTCCGATGCGTACAGATGTCTCGTGTCCCTGTTTTTCGAACCGCACCCTTCGAAAGTCTTGGTCTGCGCGCACGTATACTCCGATTGGGTGGATCTGCTCTGTGTGGTACATATTCCACGTTTGTCGGATACAATCCAAGATGATACTGGCTGCATTGGTGAACGACATCGACGTGGAGGATAGGTGGAGGCTTCGTTCGGATACGATTGTGTCCGGGATGGTTGGTGGAATCACCCTGATTGCGACACCCTTATTCCTAACCAGTCACCCGTCCGCAAACCACGCATTTGTTGCATTCATGCTTTTCGTTGTATCTCTCTCGCGCTGTCGCTATTTGCGCACGGTTCGGAGAATGATCATCTTGAGAGTGCTCTGCCGTTCTCGTCCTAATTCATCTCGTATATATATATGTCTCTAGTTGTGCTCCCCCGGCCAGGCGCTGGGGAGGTTCATCGAATACCAGAAAATTCGGACCAGCGCTTCTCTACGGAAGAAGTGGATCGATGGTCACACGATGTCATTCTGCACCAGACCGAGTCAGTCCGTGCGTGCGTGCTGGTGTTTCTATCTCAGGATCTGATAGTTTCAGTGGCGCAGGTGCCTCATGCCCAGTGCGATGGGTTCCAGGATAGCTATACGTCTTTAGCAAAGCCACTTGCCTTTGTCCCCCCTTCTCATGCCCACTGCAACCTCCACCACCATGTCTACCTCATTTTTCGATAAAACCACTGAGGGCGGATTGCACTACGTGCTCAATCACGTTTTCCTACCTCCGAGGCTACCACAAAGCGACGATAATGCTGATCCAGATAACGACTGCGACCTAGATCTTTGCGGCCTCCTTCTTGAGGCCTCTTTAGATTTCTCAGAACATATTCAGCCGTCGCAGAAGGAGCATTGGGGCCGTATCATTGGGCTGCTATCCGGGCTCTTTGACTCCGTTCAACTCTTCGACAAATCTGCGATTATGAAACAAGCATTGGCTCTTGAAGAAGGAGGTACGCATTCTATCTCGCGCCGCGTTTACTCCCCCCTTCATCCAGAGCGAATGCTTAGTGACTGGGTTACAGACGTTATGGCGCTCCATATCAAAGCTCAAAACGCAGCTCTTATGATGCGTAGGCGCTCGAACACCGTCATCTTCGAGGTCTTCGAAGTTTCACCACCACCGGCAGCCGTCATGAACACCGAGGGCAAACTCATCTGCTCCTATCCTGGACCTGCTGTCGAACTCCCCGTTTCCGTCGCACAGGACCCATCCTTCGTAGAACACCTCGTCTCATTCCTCACCCATATGAATGCCGATGTCCTCGATGCTGGAGCCACCACCACCAAAGCCGGGTCCAAAGTCCCAGAGACTCGAGGCACGACTCATCCTCGCTACATCTCACAGCTTCTCGTCATGATTCTGTATGGCACGGGGGTAGAAGCCAACGTCAAGCGTATCGCAAAGCGCATCGCAGACGACGTCTGCTTTGAGAACGGCAAAAACCCGTGGCGCAGATCGTCGGTTTGGCTCGTGTTACGTGTAGCCCTTCAGACCTCAGTCGAGTCTCGCGAGCTCTACAAGTCGTTCATGATATATTTCCAAGCTCGACTTCTTCGAGCGTTTCTTCATCATAACTTCTCCAGCGACCTGCTTCACGCGGCTCGCGCCAAGACCAGCAGGCGCGTCTACAAACTCGCCGATGCTGCTCCTTCCTTTGTGCTTGAGGAAGTTGAGTTCGTCAGTCGTGATATAGAGCAGCTTATGCAGGCGAGATGGACCGAGGCGCAGCGTTTACAATCGGCGTCTGCATCATTCACTCCCGATCCTTCTACATTCGAAGACGACACGATCATCACACTCAAAAACTCCCGCTCCTATCTCACAAAAGTCCTCCAACCCGATCCTCACACACATACCATCACGACATTCCAACCATCTCATCCTTCTCGTCTTCGTGATATCCGCGACTTCGGGAGATTCTGTCCCACCCGGTTGAAGGAGGCCGTCGAGATGGATCCCTACGTTGCCCTCGCTGACTTCGAGTTCGTTGTTCAAAACCATCTCACCCTGTGGGCCACGGAGAATCAATGGGCACAATCCGCGTATACCACATTGGAATCATGTCTCGACCAGTATATATCTTGCTCTAAGAGCAGATACTCGTCCAACCCAGAAGACGAGTCTATCATGCTCTTGACCATCTTGGAGCTATGGGTGGCACTCGATACAGTGGCCACCGCCCAATGCCCTCTCCTCGCGCGATACTCTCCCGAAATTCCATCGGACTTCTTGAACCCTCTTCTTCTTCGTCGTTTGAAAACCATTGAACGAGCGGCCCACGTTGAGCGTTATCTACGATCGCGCCACACCGGTGCTACAATCAAAACGTCTGTCTTTGCCAGTCCCGCGCAGTACGATTCTTTCGCTGTACGGTACTACGCACAAACATCATCTCTCCGACATCTCCAGGCCTCTATCGAGCAGACCGCTCGTGCAAACCGTTCCGCTAAACGGGACGAGTTAGAGCAGAAGAATCGTAGACATCAGTGGCTTACCACAGAGATTGCTCGCCGTGGTTGTGACTATTTCACGACATATTGGGGTGGGACACAGCATTCATCCAGTTGCCATCAGTGCTCGCTGAGGTACGAGGCTGACCACATGACCATCGACGTCCACGAATGGCCATTGCCCGCAAATCATCTTTTGGCCCAGGCGACCGTATTCGAGCTACAATGCCCACCCGTATTCGCTGTATGGAGAAGCAAGACGTACGAGATCCTCCGAGACTTTTCTATAGCTCACGTAGATAGTTCGTCGAGGTCCCAAGGCGAGCGTCATCTTCTTGAGGACTACGAAGGACTCTCGCAGTGGTCGAAACAGGGAACATCTGGTCGCATCTGTTTCGCCTCGACGACGAAATCATTTTTACACTCACATTATCGTAACACTGCCATTCCTACGTCCGACAGCAGCGTCTGTGTCAACAATGGACTGCGTTACGAGCTTTACGATAGCGTTAAAGGAGAATATGTCACGCTCCCCTTCACCCCAAACCTTGGTCCCTACTGCACTCTTCGTCTTGATCGGGGTCCGGATAGGTTGTACCAGCATCTCCAGTATGCATTATCCCACACGGCTCACTCGCACAATGAGACGATCGTCAACCAGGAGGATTGTCCAAAGAACCTTAGCCTGCACGAGCACCTAGCCTTCTCAAATTTGCGGTGCGGGGCACTTCTTCAGTGGAAGAATATCGCTCGAGAGCTCCGGACGAACATTCTTACCTTCGGTCGTGAGGAGGTCCATATGCTTCTTGCGCAAGCGGCCTGGCAAGTCGGACCTTTATCGAAGGATGGCGTATCGAGGCCGTGGCATTTTGAGCTCACCCTTGCCGATTTTGGTGCGGTGTTGATACGTGAATGTGTGGAGCTGCTGGCCCGCGTCGAAGCCAACTGGCTGGAATGTACCACAGTGAAGAGCACAAGTACGTTACCCCACCGTTTTGAGGTGCTTATATTGGTGATTCTAACTGTGATCGTGTTTCAGTATACCTCATAAGCCGTCTCCTCGTCTCCACGGACCCGTCTAATCGACAATTGTGTCAGGATGCGTACGCATTCCTCCGGAAAGCACGTACAGTCACGCACAGGTGGATGCGTGAAATAATCGACAAGCTACAAAGCGCAGAAGACGATGAAGAGTCGAGCGAACTCCAGAGACGTACTTGCGAGATAGCGGCCACTTGTCGGGCCACCTTCGACGTCGACTCGCCACCTCACCTCGATTGCCTCCTAGATACTTCATCAGACATCGCAGTTCTCGTCGAATGCTCAATTGTCGTTTACGACAATACACCACCTGATCTTTGCCACGCCCCTTCTCATATACAGAGGCTCCTGTATCGTGATAGGCGTCTGTCACACTATCTCGAGGAACGACTTCTCGGTCAAATTGATGCCAGTGGAGGAGGTTTGGATGCTGCGATCACATCAGTCTGGCTTGGGTACCGCCCCGGACGCGGAGGATGGCAGCAGCTGGCAAATTCTGAATCACGCTGGCTGACGTCCTTCACTGCTTCGAGTTCGCAAGCATCGCAGAGATCTCAACAAGTTCATTATAATGTGTTAGAAGGGAAATTGCTAGTCGACGGAAAACCTCTCGGACGACTTCCTCGAGAAATCACAAGTCATTCGACGTACAAACGTGTTCTTGGCCAGGTCAGTACATTACAAGACTTCGATGTGTACTAGACAATACTTAGCATATGCTTCCATATCGCAGAAAATCCTGGATGTGATCCCAGCGGATATGCCGACGATGGACTATGCGACTCGAGGCAAAGTTCACAATTATCAGGTAGTTCTTCTAGGATTACTTGTACTTGTCGCGATCTCTAATACAATACACATCTAGATCTTCTTCGCCCTACGCGGTAGTCCGCCAAATCTTGTCATCCGTGCTCAATCACATTTGGGCCAAATCCTGGAACTTGTCCCCCATACTGTTCTTATGGGCGACTTTCCGACGTTTCTGGTAACGGAACATGTGCACTGGATGAACGTCGGCAATGACACCGAAACAGGCGAAACTGAATTCCGGCCTCTGACTCAATTGTGGGATACTTCCCCTCATAACTGGCGACTTCACCTCTCCATCCTTGGGTCTACAACGATGCGCAAGGAGAACACTCTGCGCCTTGTTGACGTGTGTAGCGCAATGTTCCGAGGTATTTCAGCACGCATAGAGCCTTTGGAGTACTCCGAGTACCTTACGGCGGTATACGACTTCCGATCGCGTACCGTCTCCGTTGAACTGCCTCGTTTTCGACTTTCTTTCATTATCGTCGACAGCGGTGACTTAGAGTCGCAGAACCTACCCGGGATGATCATTGACAATGACCAATGTTCGGGGACTATGATCGGCCTGAGCAACCAGCTTGTACTACGACACAAGGACCTCCATTTTTCCCGCCTTCCACGGTCTCGATTTACGCTCATTCCGTACGGCGAAGTGCGTTACTCGCTGTCTTCCGAGTCCGGGCAGAACCATGTACATGTAGACATCAACACCCGCAACAAACGGCTGGTCACTTGGTTCAATTTCAAGATCGACACTGACCTCGGTACACTCGTTGGCGGCGTTGATATTACCTCCCGTTTATATCGAGTATATCTCCACGCGCTATGCAGCCATCCGCTTCCAGACCCCTTGCTTTGTCAGACTGGAACAGACTACGCACTTGGAGAACTCGCCGCTGCCGGCTCATTTTCGTTCCAAAAGCTCACCAAGTTAGATGTGGACCTCCTTCGCCTCATCGGACGCATCACCCCTCGACGTTACTTCTATTCCAAAGGCCTGCGCCTTATGCAGACCACCCAGTGGTCTTCTAACCTTCCGTCTCTATCCCAACACGGGACTTTCTATACCGCGGCGTACAACATCGTATCATACGCAAAGTCTCTTTCCATATTCGAGGATCCGAACCATGAGCAGCTGGACTTCAACCTGGAATTTGATGGCAGCTCTTTCCTTGTAGATCGTGCAACACATCGTGCATCCATCTATTATGAATATTGCACTAGTGTCTCCCCGTCACCAGATCACGACGGCCAATATCATTCTCGAGACCATCCCCACGATTCTGACCACGACGTTGACGGTGTTGAGGCTCTCAAGTCCGCACAACTGATTTACTCCTGGCCTTCCGGTATCACTCAAGCAGTCGGGCCGGACGAGCTGATGAGCACATTCCTGCGGTGGAAAAACGTAACTGGACCCGAAACGGATTTCTCCATGGCGTACACTCGAGGGTGGCTTTCCCTCAACCTCGCATCCAAATGGCTCAGTATCTACAGTGTTTGCCGGAGGAAAGAGCATTCTCGGTCCGCTGATAGATTCGAACTTGTCTTCACCTTTGCCGCCGTAGCCTACACCGTGCCCGACCTTCGATGCTTTATCCCTATCCTCCTAGCATTCTCCACCATTCATCAAGTTCATCTTCCACCGCCTCCTCCACATGCATTTTATAACCTTTCAGACGGGTTTGCTCCGGTCCGAGACCAAATCCAAACAATCGTTACTTCTCACACCCGCTCTTTGAGGGAGAGCCCGGCTGCCGATCTTTCGCGCAGAGTGGATGAAGGCCTTCAAAATTTTACATCCCGACAATCGGCATACTACGATCAGCATTCCAAGCAAAGGATCAAGACGGTAGTCGAACATTTTTTGAGCCATCAGCGCTTTCACTCCCCGCCCTCTCCCTTCCACACAGACGATTCACGCTGGTTTAACATCACCGAGATCACGGCCGCCATCTCTCAGTATTTCACGAGCTGCATTCACAACACGGAACTGCACACATTTACTGCCGCATTAACAAGGACTTTACAGTCATTCTTCTCTCCAGCAGCACGACATTCTCTTCCCCGACTTGTCTGCTCCCCCAATTTCGTTCTTGATACCCTCCGACTGGGAACATTCTCCTCTTCGTCGTTTTCGTTGCAAAATCTCCTCTCCGATCGCTCTGACTCAACACTCGATTATCATCGTCGGGCGTTTGGAGCAGGGGTTCCACGAAGAGACAAATCTTCTGGTGATCCGGTCGACACGCAAGTGTTGACAGATTTAATTTCCCAATTCAACCGCAACAGCGCTTCTTCCCTTACTCGCATCTACGGCGAACGTCTGGAGAATAGCCGCAAGCAGCTTGAAGACGAGCGAACCGTCATCGTTCCCAAGGAGATTCCTCCGCTTTCCGAGTGTTGTCTTTATCGGGACCAGTGTCTAACTCGTATGGAGGACATGAAAAAATTACTCATAGCTACTGTGCTATGTCCGGTCAATTCGAGAGAGAGGATTGCGGAACTGGGCGGATTACGGCCTCGCCTGCACCGTCGTACCTTCCTACAGGCCCTTGCGTCGACTTCACGATTTGAGATGAGTTCCAAGTGGACTTGCGCGTTCATCACGCTTGCGAAGCTGTTCATTGAGTATCAACACTCGCAGAGATTGGTCAACTACGCTCTTCGCTCTCAAGCGGACAATTTCTTCAAGGAACTCGACAGTGCATGTTTCGACTGGGATGAAGCTGATTCATACCCTGATTGGCTGCTGATTCAGGTAAGAGGTGACAATATTACCCGAATAACAGTACTGACACCGTTGTTCACATCTAGATCCAAGGCGATTTTCTCATCCGTGCTATCCAGACAAAAGTCGCCAAGGAAATGATTGCACCCTCATCCGGAGACAGCAGCGTCTATCAACTCAATATGGGCGAGGGTAAATCATCGGTCATAGTTCCCATCGTAGTCGCAGCTCTAGCCGACTCCAACAAGCTTGTCCGTGTCGTCATCCTCAAACCACTCGCAGGGTCGATGTTTCACCTCCTTGTAGAGAGACTCTCCGGCCTTTCTAATCGTCGCATATACTACTTGCCATTCTCACGAGGAGTCACGATGAACATGTCGCAACTCACTCTCATTCGGGACCTCTTCAAAGAATGTGCGCATGCACGAGGTGTCCTGGTGACTCAGCCAGAGCACATCCTGTCGTTCAAGTTGATGGTGATCGATCGTACCCTTGCGTCATCGTCTTCTCTCGAAAATGTCGCCCGACACTTGCAGGAAACACAGATGTGGCTCAAGTCTCACTCACGGGACATTCTGGACGAAAGCGACGAGCTCCTTCACGTTCGATACCAGCTCATCTATACCATGGAGCAGCAGCAGCCACTCGACGATAGCCCAGACCGGTGGACCACTACCCAACAAGTCCTCGACCTCGTGCGACGGCATGCGCTGAAACTCCATGAGCAGTTACCGACAGAGGTCGAGGTGACAGATTTGCATAGCGATACTGTTCTGGAGGGACAATTTACTCCCATACGCTTACTCGGCACCTCTGCATCTGAGAGGCTGGTATCTAGAATCGCGGAATCTGTCCTCGACGGTGCAGTGGATAACATCAATTTCGTTGGCGTGAACTACGACCAATCACTTCGAGACAAGCTACTTCGTTTCATGACAGAGCACTCTGTTGATCACACCACATACCTCAGCATCCGGGAACGGTATGAAAGGTCGGCCTTATGGAAAGGTCTTCTTCTTTTGCGCGGTCTCCTCGCACACGGTATCCTGGCATACGTTCTTGGTCAACGTCGATGGCGTGTCGACTATGGGCTCGATCTCAAACGTTCTCTTCTTGCGGTTCCGTATAGGGCAAAGGCGCGTTTCTTTCAGGTTGTTCCTTGCGCATATATCAGGAATTAATATGCTCTTTCATTGGTTTTTTAGGATGTTCCAAGTCTTCGAAGCGAATTTGGACATCCAGATGTAGCCGTTTCTCTAACAGCTCTCAGCTATTACTACGGAGGGCTATCGGCACGTCAAGTTCGGGACTGTTTCGAAATCCTTCTCAAGCTAGACAACCCCCGTCTCGAATACGGAAAGTGGGTCAAAAGGGGTGGCGCGGACGTTCCCATACCCCTTCGGGAACTAATGGGTGTGAACATGAAGGACCTACAAACATTCGCCCATGATGTCGTTCCCGTCTTCAAAGTGAATCAGTACACCATCGATTTCTACCTGTCCCAAGTCGTGTTCCCGAAGGATGCCAAGGAATTTCCCTCCAAACTCGGCACCTCTGGCTGGGATCTCGCAGAACGAAAGGATAACTTTACCACCGGGTTCAGCGGAACTAACGACAATGCGGATCTGTTGCCGACCTCCATCTACCAGAGCGATCCCGTCAATCAAGGCCGTACGAACGCCCGTGTTCTGAGATACTTGCTCCAGCCAGAAAACGACGAATACATGTGCCTGGAAGGGGAAGATGGTCAGCCATGTTCTGCCACTGAATTTATCGACTTGCTAGTTTGTCATGAGAAGGAAGTGAGAGTATTGATCGACGTTGGTGCTCAGGTCCGTGCTCACCTTGACTGTACCGTGTAACTATGCTCATGCACAGTGATATTTCGCTAGATGCTAGAAATGACGAACCGTCAGTTGATCGAATGCTGGCTTGGGAAGAGACCCGACCTCGACGCAGGTGTATTTTTCGATGATCTCGGCATCCTATCGATCTTTACCCGTGATGGAATGGTCGAACCATTCCATTCCTCGCCATTTTCCCAGCGTCTTGAACGGTGCGTTATCTACCTCGACGACGAGCACACCAGAGGTACGGACCTCAAGCTCCCGTCAGACTTTCGAGCGGTCGTGACTATGGGTCCTAAGGTAACGAAAGATAGGCTGGTTCAAGGTTAGTAACACTGTTTCTAATAACCCGGGAATCTTGATGATTAAGCATTCGCTGCTGTTATCAGGTTGCATGCGTATGCGAAAGCTGGGCTACGGTCAATCCCTGATGTTTTGCGCTCCGCCAGAGGTAGACAGACGTATCCGAACTTCCCAAAACGTCAACCTGGAGTCTCAGGTCCAAGTCATCGATGTTCTCAGCTGGGTTATGGGAGAGACATGTGCGGATATCGAGCACCACATCCCTCACTGGATAGAACAAGGACTCGACTACAATAAGCGAAAAACAGCAGATGAAGCATTCTCTTCTGTGGACGACATCGTCATCGAGTCTCTTCGCCGGGTTTGGCTCCAACCTGCCGCCCGATCCCTGAGCGAGATGTATGGCTATCAGTATGGCACGACTTCGTTGGTCAGATCTGCTAGGACTATTCCTGCCATGCACAATCGTCTCCGCTCGCTCGGTGTTACCACTACACGCGAGGCTCGCATGGAGGAGGAACAAGAACGAGAGGTCAACCATGAGGTCGAGCAAGAGCTACAGTTGGAGCGTCCTCCGAGAATTCCCGCAGCACGCCATCGTTTGGACGAGGAAGTCGGCCGTTTTGTCCGTAGCGGAGTTATCAGCACGAGCACAAACACTTTCCTACCGCTCATGACACCACTACGCTCGGAACTACAGACTCTCAGTCCACCGAATCCGTGGTCCAGGCACTTTTTGGCTACTCGTGACTTCGCTACGACGACGAGTGGCGCCATAGAAATGTCTCGTCTGACGGATTATCTGCGTCCAGTCAATTGGATTCTTTCAAGCACCAAGAGTTCGGCAATGGAGAGAAGGTTTGTAGTACTCAGCCCTTTCGAGGTGAACGAGCTTTTGCCAGAGATTCGCGCGAGTCGATACGTGCGCCTCCATATGTATGCGCCGCAGACCATACAGACCACGAAGGCCTTCGATGACCTCACGTTCTACTGCATCCCTCCACTTCCACCTGCCGGGCCCGATTTCGTCATACCATCAATCGATATACGGTGCCAGCTCAACATCTGGGCCGGACAGCTCTACCTGGACCAATACGAGACGTACCTTCGCATGTGCCTTCTTCTAGGGGTGTCCTCGAGCGACGGAGTTGGCTCTGCCGTTACGCAGGGGGACCGTTTTGTGCGTGCCGAAAACCGGAGTGGAGAGATTGCACAAGTGTGCTTGTTCGAGGAGAGTCCTTTGCCGCTGCTGATGAGGTTGTTTGTGCTGAGGAGGAAGGGTATGAATTACGCACCAACGCATATGGGGAGGATTTTCCACGCCAGACTGTTATCGAGGGAGGACTTTGAGGAGTGAGGATGGCGGTGGCCAGAGTTGCGCGAGAGCAACAGCTGTTCGAGAACGATTCTGGCACTAGCAAAGGAATGTAACCGATGGGGAGGATAGACGGACTCGGACTGCGAACTTACTTAGATGTCATGTACAGTTTATTTGCCACTTGATGATGAATGTTTTACGAGAGGCTAGGATGATTTGCGCGTTCGAGATATGCTTCGGGCAGAGGCGCCAAATGGCACAAGGCCCATGCAAAAAATACATGCAAAGAAAAAAAAAGTCTACTAGTCTGCGTTACAGCGAAGGCAATCGAGCATGCAGGGCTTAAACGTCGTATGATTAAAACTGGAACTCTTGAGCTCTGATCACGAGAGGGAAGGACAACAAAGGGTCCGGAATAAGAGACACGACTTCTCCAGACCATGAGAGACGGACTGAGGGGAAAACACGAATCGGACATCTAACTGCATCATCTCCTCGAACTTTGTCCTATGACCAGTCCCTTTCGCCACCACTTCATCGCCATCACATCATAACCGTTGTGGCAGCCTGCAAAATGAGCGAAACGAACTCGAGCGTCCGACATCACCCACCACTGTATCTCTCATTGGTGTGTGCGACGACGATAAGGTACCTCTATCTTCACAGCCGTCATATAGTCGCTCGGCCTGTACTAAGGGCAGATAGTGTAGTGTCAGTATAGAGGAGGTGATGCACGGAAGAGCAGGGCGCACGCGAGAGATCGTTTCGCCAACTAGTCCATCCCGTCTATCATCATCATAGCCTACAATGCCGTATGACTCGCTGCGTATGCATTTGAATCTCATGGGATGACGTTCGTCGCTTCGAAGAGTAGTGTACTCAAGGAGAGACCAGCGTGTTTGAATGTTGCATTTGTTCGGGAGTCGAGATTCGAGACCTAGAGGTAGAGTTGAGTTAGGCTGGGAGCCCTAGCTTGAGGTGGTATATATGCCGGTTATACAGGCTCAATATCGTAGATAATATGTCCAGTAGTAAAGCCAGGTAGTAGAGCGTACATCGTAGTGGTGGATGACAACGGACGAGCAAGAGATAATTTCTGGCGGAAGTCTGGCTACGCATTGAACGGATTGGGCCACGCGACCGATCCCGGGCTGATAAGATAGCACCGATCGCCTCTTCCCGCTCATCATGGCTCTTTCTTTTGTTTCCTCGTTCTAAACTCATTTTGTCCTCTACGTACTTCTTATCTGCAAATTCTATCGTCTAGATTCCTCCTCAATCAATGTTCAAAGGTGCTTTCCGCTATACAGCTTGGGCTAGTCCTGATTTACAGCACAGAACGGCGCAGCTCTATGCGTCAATATCTGAGTCCCAACAGCTTTTTGCGCTTGTCGAACTGAAAATCGAACTATACGACGATACACATAGTGACTCTCGCACTTACCATAGTGAGGATCGGAACTAGTGGGTACTGGCAGAGACCGCGGTCTTCAATACATTTCTTGATATCTCTAGGAGTATTCGGTTATTTGCAACACTATTTCGAGAGTCGCTTACCATTGTGCTACACAGTAGGAGATATTTATCTTTAGATTCAGTCCAGCCACACGGGCATCGTTCAAGAGAGTTCCCATAGGCTTTAGGCTCACACGAGGTACGGATACTTACGCTGTGGCACGAAGCTCTCTACGCTCAAAATGCACATTCAAAGGATCAGACCGCACTCATCATCTTCTGCAGGAAACTAGGCGGCGCGATCTCCTCTGCACCATGCGACTTCTCATCGGCCTCAATAATATCGAGGTCGCTGACAAAATCTATCTATCAAGCACAAAGGTACTGTCTCAGCCCCAACACATACATGCAGCGCAAAAGATACGCCACTCACCTCATGTGGCCTCACGATCCGACTCTTCAAATACCACTTATACCCAAAATAAAACACCCCAAACCACGATATGGGCAAGTAATTCGACACAAACGTTGAAGTACTCCATTCCCCCGGCCTGAACACTTCCCATCCACTAAACACCGTAATAACCGTCATCGTAAAAATGACCCACACCGCCGCGGGCCACCCGAACCTCGTCCTCCAAGGAAGTACAGTCGCCCGATCGAGACCTTGTGCGGCCATCCCACGACGGAAGCAGGTATATGTTACCGCGATGACGAGCCAGGTGATAGTCCCGGAGATAGCGGTGAGGTTGACGAGGAACAAGAAGACGTTCTCGGTGGAGGAGTTGAGGCCCAGGAAAGCGAGACAACCGAAGGACCAGGAGAAGATGACGGAGATGTATGGGACGCCGGTGCGGTTGGTCGTTCTGAAGATGCGAGGGGCGTGGCCTTGGGTGGCGAGGGAATGGAGAGTGCGAGAGGTGAGGAAGACGTCGGAGTTGGCTGCGGAGAGCGCGGAGGTGAGGATGGCGGCGTTGATGATGGAGGGTAAGACTTTGATCCCGGCGGCTTGTATGGCGATGACGTAGGGCGAGGCAGAAGCAGTGGAGGTGGACCCGAGGGCAGTGTTGTTGGAGGCGACGACGAGGCCTACAACGAAGGAACCGAGGAAGTAGATGATGACGATGCGGATCCAGACGGTACGAAGGGCCTGAGGAAGGACTTTGCGCGGGTTGCGAGTTTCGGCGGCTGCGAGGGCAAGAATTTCTAGGTATAACAGGCCAGAATGTTTCAGAACAAAGTATCTTAGAAAGCTAGGTAGACTTACCGGTTCCGCTGATGGTGAACGCTGCTTGAGTGAGAACGGAAAAGAAAGCGAGAAAGCGTCCTTTAGATCCCGGTATCCCAAGATGCTGAACGAACGGCCCAGGATTTCTCCAAAATTGAAACCCTATCGGTTTATGGTCGGGTCCACCACCCGCATCCAATATAATCGAGAGGATGATAAGCCCGAGCATCGTGATGACCTTGAGGCTCGCAAAGCCGACTTCCGCCTCTCCATAATACTGGACGCCGAATAGATTGATGGCCAGAACGAGAGCTAAAGCAATCGCTATCCATACTCCGATGTTGATCGAGGTCGTCCAGAACGAGATGAGTACGGCTGACGCGGAGATCTCTGCAGCGAGGATGAGGACCCAGCAGAGATAATAATTGAGGCCCAGGGCACATGAAAGTGCAGGGTCGACAAATCGGCCTGCGAGTCGGACGTGCCCTCCTTGTACTGGAAGAAAAGTCACCATCTCGCCGACGAGGAGCATGACAGCGATCGCAACGGTGCACATAAGGGAGTATGCAAGCCACACGCCTATCCGCGCCAAATCCAAACTTAGAGTCATGAAGCATAACGGTATATGCAATGATTGTGCGTACCTAATGGTCCACCCTTTGCCAGACTTCCTCCTATACCCAGAAATATCCCTGTGGCGTCGACGGATATTTAGTCGAAAGGTCCAGTCAAAGTCTCAGTACCTCTACACACCTGTTCCGATACAAGCACCAATAGATATGAACGTAAGATGTCTTGGGGCCAGTCCTCGTTTCAACCCCTTCACATCATAGCTGTTGAACGAGCGAAGGTCGTCGGAGTCTTTGTCTTTCTCTAACGTGGCCTGGTGTGGTTTGTCGTCCGTCATGGTATGTCGGAGATACAGCGCTGGGCTCTGTAGGAGGAGGAGGTACAAAGCGTATGAGTCTACGCAGATGGACGTCAGCCTAAAAGCAGTTGACAAGCCCTGAGAGCAGAGTCTTATCGAAGCCAGAAACAGTCCGAATTACGTTCACGGAATTCTCACATTGCGCAATGGAGTGCCCTCACTGCCGGAAAACGAAGTCATATGCGTATTCGCCGTGAGGAAGTAATTCCCCAAATGACCAGATACGAAATGGCCCGAGAAAAAGCCACACCTCGTTCTTGATCCCATTCGTACTCTTATCGAAAGGATGTGGTTGGACATTTGATACCTGAAAATAGACTAGACAGATTGTTGCGGGGAAGGGTGACTAGAAGATACGAGCGAGGACACGGAGAGCAGAAGAGAATACCGAAGTGTCCGCTCTCAGTTTGGGTCCAAGATATCTCTAGACAGTAATGCGCGATAGTCAGCGTGAAATTGCGAGGGAAATGTCTTGTAAAAGACGTTTATGGCGATTGATGGTGAAGAGTCAAGCAGCTGGAACGACAACGCGTCGGCCATTCATGGTTAACTTCAACCACAATCACAGGTTTGGAAGAGATGTAAAGGATCGTAAGGACGGCATCAGGCTTCGTAGACTTGAGATCGCAGACGTATGAGTCGGCGGCGACTATCAAAACAACTCGCCACATTGCCGGTGCCACACATGCTTTGACCGTTGAAGGTACCCAAATGTTCTGGATCGAAACAAACAAGCTACAGCGCCTGATGGAAAGATCAGACATATCAAATTTTCCAAAGAGCAAACTTACACTCGTACATCCTCTGATCCATTAGCGTCCGAGTCTCAGATGTCAAAGGTGGATCACCCGCTTCCCGTAGAATTCTAAACATGAAGAAATGAACACCGCCTGGTGTTGGTGGATCAGACCCCAGCAGACGTATATGAAGGTTTGTGTTACATTTCGATTGGGCGTGGAAGAAATGATGTTGTATTTGAAGAACGTCCGAGGATGCGGGTACGGCAGAAAAAAGGGTTTGTATTCATGGCGATTATCCAGGGGGTAGTGGACTGAACAGGGTTCGCAAGGCCAAAAGGAGCGTAACTGGGTTACCGAACTGTCTAGCAAAGCGACGGAGGTAGAGATAAAATGGGTCGAGATGGACGAGAGTGCTCGGTCAATATAGGGGAGATGAGAAATGCAAGAGAGGTGCGCACTCGACAGATCCGTCTACCGTCCAATCTATCCCGCCCATACATTTGTGTCTGAGTACTCTCCGACGTCGCTTCGTATGCGCTCAAGAGTCATTCGATGAGGGTGTGAAGCTGACAAGAAGCAGAGGAATGAACACGCTCCAGACATGGCTGAGTCGCCCTGTCTATAAACCAACAGCATGAAGATATTCGAGAGTATGTGTATTACTCAAGAGGGATATCATCGCCGCAGTGAGTAGGAGTATCGAGGGCAGATAACTAACGACAAGCGAGCAGCTGAAGTTTGAAGACGGTGACAGGAGCAAGCCAGGAGGAGCGGGTGCTGGAGGTTGCTTGTTGACGGAGGAGGCCACGAGGTCGACGGAAGGATGCCACGCGAGCAACACGGAAGCCATCTCGCGCTGATAAGATCGACGCTGTCTTGGCGCTCTCCCCGCGGAATCACTTCTTCCCTCGCTCCCTCATAGTAGTCCCTCATCCTGTTCTCGTTTTCCCCTTCGTGCTCGTTCTCTACGTACTGCTCGCTTCAAATATCTGCTTTATACCTTCCTGCTAGATCAACACCACCATTATATCTGCCGTATAACTTTGGTTTGTCCTGCTTGTACATAGGACCGGGTAAGATCCGACGTACGAGTTGACCCATTTTCGCCTACGCTTGTCGAACTGTCTAATCAATCAAACGGTACTATTATATTCAATCTATGTCTTTCGGTGGCCGTATCCCACAGTCTTCTCATATGACTGAAGAGCATCTGGCTTGGTCTGGTCTCGAACGGGTTTCATGTCCAGTTCGATTACTTATGCGCGAGCATTACAATCAAGCTGTAGTGCTGATAGCTACAGCCTAAGGGGATACATTGAGCTGACTTCGCGAGCTCTTGGTTACTAGAAATTTCCGACTATATTTTATCCCAGCCCATTCCACCTGCTCCGCCACTGTCCAGCATTTTCACGTTTCATTTTGTTCCCAGCTGGGGATCAGGAGACGACGCATGGTTTTCTCTATTCAGCTTGGACTTAGGAGCGACCAAGGCGCAGTACTAAGAAAAGTGTTGTGGATATCCGTATATACTGTTTTTGTTGATCATTTTGTTTACCTTTCGGCACCTTGACACCTTTGATGGTTGCTCGAGATAACGATGACGCGAATAGCTTTCGGCGAGAAAACGGACAGTCACCATCTACTTCATATTCACCTCGTGGCTCTTGTGTGTATCCACCACCATTAACTTTTCCTCCTACAGGACGAGAACTCCAAGTACATGGTAGTAGTGATTGGCCAGTACGATGTCCGGAGTGGAGAGTCCTGATGAACCTCATCATTCGTTTCGCATCTTGATACCATCCATTTATCCAAAGGTAGTATCGCCGCGGGTCCAAGCCGAATTTGACCGATCTAGTTTTAGGTGTCTATGCCCTGCGTCCCATCACCATCGGAGATTTCGTTGGATGTTGCGCTGTGCACTATATGATGGTCGCTCGAGATAGCGATCAAGGGTGGAGTATGTGGTCGTATAAGAATCTGTCCAATTCCAAGTCCGTTGAAACCTCCTCCTTCCTCACCGCTCGTATTGATTGCGAGGCGTATCCGCTCCTTTTTGCGTGCTGGCATGTCAATATTTGTGCTTGTCGACGACTCCGACCCGAGTATTGAATACTCGCCCCAATCTACTAGCCAGGAGGAGGCAGCGAATGGTTGGCTTGTCGGTCAACAAGGTATGCCATCTGCTATATGCATCTTTCACTCGATGAATTTACGTTGCCAACCTAGGAAGTTCAACCGAGTTTTGGGGAACGACGACGAGTACTGCGAACGTGACATCGACACTGACTTTCAACTTTACGGGTACGTTCCCTGAAGAATGACTGTGTTCTGGAATCATGCTCAGCATTGTGCGTAGGCATATCAGTCTCTGTATACTGCAAGACAGCAGGCGCAAACGACGGTCTTTCCTCCAACACGACCATCGCATTCTCTATTGATGGAGAATCCGTGGATTCTCCATACACGGCCCATGCCCAAGGAAACACTCGATACCATGTCCCTGTATTCAGCGCCTCCTCCTTGTCGCCCACGCAACACACACTGTCAATCACGGTCCCCACATCAGACATCGCCCCCCCGGACTTCCAGCTTGATTACATCATTTACGAAGCAGTTACGAACACATCCATACCAAAAACGGACCCGAACTCGAAGACCTCCTGGGTTTTCATCGACGATACGAGTCCGTACCTGATTTCTCCAGGCGGCTGGACACACACGCTCCCCAACTTCCCACCTGCCGGAGCGCCTCCAGACTTTAATTTGACGGATGCGTCGTTCAATTCAAGTGTGATAGGCCCCACGATGCCATGGGCAACCATGTCTCTCGATTTCTGCGGTGAGAATCGTTACTCACTCTGCTACTCTCCTGTTTTAATCCTCGCTGACCATGAACCCTCAGGTGCGACTTACATGGAGATGCATGGAATGCTCCTAAGCAACACCTCCTCAGGCGCACTCGGCTCGTATACCATTGATGGCCTCGGCAACACCACATTATCGTACCCCATCAATGGTACCTATCCGTTTTACAATTACAAGCTCATGGATGCCACGATACTAGACCCGAACACAGCCCATAATCTCGAGGTGGTTGCCTCCGAAGGACAGGCGTTCTACATAGACTATATCATCCTGCGATCCCCGACGGCATTTGTTACTTCATCTCGATCATTGGCGGCAGGTAACGGCTCGAGCTCGCACAAAGGCGCAATAGCGGCGGGGGTCGTCGTTGGTGTTCTCCTTTCAGTTGGAGCGGTCTTAATTTTTCTCTTCCTTCGCCGAAGGAGACAAACACGGAGAAGGGATCGCGAGGGACGTCTCATGGGGGATGACGTCTTATCTTCTGCGACTGAGCAACTGGGTGTAGAAGGAGAGTCTGATGCGCTAGAGCAGGGAGGATCCGTAGAGACTCATACCGAACGAAGTAAGTGTTCTATTACGCTTAATTTCCCTTTGCCTATCAGCTGTTTGCTGTGTACATGCGTGCAAGACAGTGCAGAGACTAATCTTGATTTCCTTTTTTTTAAGATCCCAACCTCATGATCACTCCTTTCACGGCCGCTGCACTGGACCCCGAGTTTTCTCCCATCCCTATGACTAGACCAAAGCCCGGTTCTGCAACCGTCGTCATCTACAATCGACAACGCAGCAACATTGATGTCAACCTGACTACTACTGCGGCGGACCCAGTCACAGATTCGTCCGATTCGGAGAGCCGCATACGGCCGCTACCACCTTTACCACCCACTCAAGAGCCAAGCGTCATCGAGGAAAGTGATAGTGGTCTGAGAGGAGCGGTGGTAACAGCCAAGTCTATGCGGCTCCCACCTCGGTATACGGAGACTTGACAACGCTTTCCAACCCACATTCTACTACTCCAGATGTATTCGCTCATTCATACTCGTTTTATTACGTGCGGTGATCCACTCATAGTCAACTCAAGGATGTGTTCTGTGTGGTTCCATGAATGCAAAGCGATCGTGATCCCGTTTCAACCCTCTGCTTGTGAAAATTCGACACAGACCTCCTTGCTCCTCTTTTCGTCACACCGCGACTAATGTCACCATTACCACCGCCACCACCACACATTCTTCGCTTCTTCTCCTTCCTCCCAGCCTCTCTGCTTCGCACGTCACGGACCTGGCCGCTCGCCTCACGCAGTTTCTGCTTCTCACTCTCCCTACTCTCCTTGCTGTCCTTACCTTTCGCTAATGTCACCTTCTTCTTCTATCTGCCTCTTTTCGAGTGTGCACATGTTCAGCGAGAGAAGAGATCGGGAGTGAGGTCGGGTCGGGTCGGAACTTGGGGGGTGGAGAACACGGATTGATGGAAGTAGGAATGGGATTGGGCGGCTGTGTATTCGTTGCAGTTCCGGTGCCCGTTTCTGAGAACATATCTCGAGGTCGTGCTTTCTCAATTGAGATGTGGACGGATCGATTCGTGATAGTAATGTATAATCGACTATGGGACGTCGGAGGATCGGAATTGAGGGTAATCGAGAATGCAGGCGAAAGGGGCACAAATGGAAAGCAGGTGCAGGCTAAGACAGAAACCGGCGGCACTTAGTTTGGTCGATGTTTCAGATGCCCAGAAGAAACATAGAAAGTAGATAAAATTCCTGAGACTCGTAGCCTGTAAGTAGATTACAAAAATATAAGCCATTGTCGATGGATCAAGTCTACTGCGTAGATGGACTGTCGTCTATATGAATCTAGTCAGCTCCAAAGAAACAACGAGCTTAAGCTATGCTCACGGTTCAGTATGGCCAAAAGGACTCCCCATATAAGTTGCCAGGGCTTCTATTAAAATAATAAAAGTGGATAAATGAAAAGAAACTCGTGCAGAAATGAAAGGATAAGGTGACGCACTCTTTGACGAAGCCATACATTTCCATTTTATCCATGAGCTCAATGTGACTCCCACGACCTTTGGCTTCAAATACGGTGCGATGTTCGTAGCCATGCTCAATGGCTGCTCGAATGAATTTTGTGTCCATCGTGAGCCTTGTATATCCACATTGTTCTGCCTGGCTAAAGACACCATCAAGTTGATACTGGACGTAGTATGGTCGATGCGTGGTGACACCGATAAACAGTGCATCGCCTGCCTGCTGACGGGATGATGCGGACTTGATGAAATCGAGGAGAATGGCAGAGATCAACGGGCGCTGTCGAGGATGAACCCAGGGGCATTGCCAAACAATGTTCCGCGTGGATATCGAAGGATGAGAGAGGAAGAAATTGTCTAATTTTGTGCCGTCGGCTTGCAGACTGAATAGTTGGTCGAACGGGTCGAGACAGCATTGGTCAAGATGTCTCTCGAAACTGGCTAGACTTTCCACGACCACCGTTTTGGTGATGACACGGGACACTAAGAAAGAGAATGTCAGAATCCAATCCCTTGAATGAGAGTATCACTTACTGCCCCTTCTTTCGATCTCGCTGTCATTCTTCTTGATACGCTCCTTCTGTATCCCAATCACATCTTCCCGTGAGGGAACATGCTGGTCCACGGGCTTGGCATATGTCGAGGCGTATACTCCTTCGAAGCTTCCTCTCATGATCCCAAGAGCTATAGGAAGCGATCTTGTCTGTGATTCGCCAATGAAAAGTACGGGCTCTTTGTCGTTTATGAGTCTCCTCCAAATAGCTGTGCAGGATGCGGATTATATATATACGACTATGATGATACGGAGAATGGAGCGCACTCACTAGAATCATAGTCCACTACCCTTCCAAAAATGTAATCAAACCAGAAAGGTCTCTCGGCGGTCCCACTCATAGTGTTGGAAAACATAGCGGGCGTGTAATCACAAAAGTAGATGATAAGCAGACTCTTAAGCTGCAAGTAGCGAAGAGGAAATATGGCGTTTCGGAAACCTTCGATTTCAATCTTATAGATGCTGCTGCTAACGCCACAGTATCTCTTTTGAGTTCGTGATGAGCACACGCACTTGTACATATGACCCAGGGCGACGTGCGAATCGGAAATACATACTCAACCTCTGCGCTACCAAAGCACTCGATCATTTTATTGAACTCCCATACAGTATCTTGGTTTACATTTATCACATCAATAACATTTATTTTTTGCAGTGATCATGCATCTCCAATTCCGGTCCCGTGAGTTGCACACCCAAATACTGAGTATGACACGAGCCCTATGAACCTGAGTACGCCTCAAAATAGCAGTCTCGATTACAGCAGTTCTTCCTGAAGCCTACAGCTTTCACCCGATTACTCTGAGAAATCAACGCGGTGTCGTCATAGTTCTCAGTGGAAAGGCCCGAGAAGGGCGTGCGAGAGACGTCGGCGAGGCTACAGCGGCGTTAGGATTCAGGGAAGACTAACGTCGAGACAAGGGCGCCGAGGACAGCAGGACAGCACAGATATGAAGGAAAATGTAACAAAATAACGAACAAAAAACCGAAAAAAAAAGGCGGAGAAAAAAAAAGATGACAACGAGGTAGGGATGTGGCGTGAAAGACCTAGGCACAGTACATCCAACCGTCTCTAGATATAAGAGAAAGGAGTTAAATATCGTGAGGTAAGCTGATAGAACGGATCAGACGCGATCGAATAATAAACCGAAGGAAGTTAGAAGGTGAGACCCATGCTGAAGTGTAAGACAGGGTCATGAGGATAAGACACCAAGTTGTACGTCTTCCTTCAGCCGGCCCCTTAGCGCCTTCAACGGGCGGGATATATCGTAGTCTGCGCTGTGAGAGCGACGGTGCTCCATCCCCACTCTAGGATACACAGACTCACACACGAAGGTTCGAGCGCGCCTTCTAAGTCCATTTCCGCTTCAGCAAGAGAATAGTTCTCGAAAGAGCGAAGCACAAGCTTTCACAAACTTAGGTGAAGCTACCTCATTTATCTGTCCTGTAAAGTCCACCCACAATGAAAAGTCAAATACCGACGGAGCACTTTCGCATGCCAACCGAGTTCGATTGTTAAATGAATAACTCCCAACAACCTACAAGAGCACGGACAAGGACGCTCGCTATGATCGTCCGTCGCGACATAATACCGGTCCCAATTGGGTCATATACGCCCGAGACGGATGTAAAGAACGTAACCTTAACGCGCGTTGCCTAGGTGTGTCTCAAAGCATATACTCTGCCACAAGAGGGGTGTTATATGTGTCGTGTATATTCCAGAGGACCGCTATACCCAATATTGAGAACGGTACCATGAAGGCTTCCGATGGCGCATGAGTCATCGAAGCTCGACGGACATCAGACCGCTCAAAAGCCCAAACGGCGACCACGAAAGATAGAACGAAATGATGAAGACGACATCTTCGATGCCCTCAGATGGGACGGTAAAAGTCACGTACCGAGGATTTGAAAGCCTCCTGTCTCGACCTGCATCCAATGTCTATGATCGGTCCTACTCGAGCCGCTCGCCACAACGCCACCCGTACTCCCGCATATGCCTGGAGTCACAGGTGCCAACACTACCCCCGCCGCCTCCCCCGATGGTTGATCCGGCGTGGAGAGCGTCAGTCAAGGTCGATGAGCTCTGCCGGGCGAGATGTTGTATTGGCCCTAAATACACTTCTCCGTCCGCCGACAGTAGTCTCACCCTCACCCTCGCCCTCACCCTATTCCTCGCAACTTCGACCACGTCACGACCTCTCACGTCCCCAACAGAACGTTCACCTCTGGCGGATTAGGAAACTGACCAATCCGTCTTCACCTGCCCCTCTTCCTCAACCTTCGACTCGCACCGTTCTCCGTTCCCGATCCTATTCCGCCGATCCTCATCACACTCATCCTCTCCTTCCTCTTACCGTCCGCCCACTGTTTCTGAATCAGGTACTTCACGAGCCAGCCAGCCTCGCCTTCCTCTCCTTCGCCTTCGTACCCCTCCCTCTTCCCGCATGCGTCGCGTCCATCTCCGTATCCGTATCCGTCTTCCTTCCAGATTCTGACTTATTCCTTCGTCCTGCCTCGCACGTTTCCGAAGCGGGTGGAATCGGAAGGCTAAGCATTGAGGTGTGGATGGAGTGAGGGATGAGGGATTGGATTGGGCGTTACAGAAGTGCGATTTCGGTTTCCGGCGAGAGATCGGACGTGTATATCGAGGACATGTTGTCCCCGTGGACAAAAGAGACGGTTGATCCGTGATAACGAGGAATGATAGAGTATGGGACGTCGGAGGCCCGGAAATAAAGGCCGTCGAGAATGCAGACGAAAGGGGCGCGAGTGGGGAGCCGGTGCGGGCCAAGACAGAAACTGGCGGCGCTTAGTTCTAGATATCAGGGACAAGGGACGAGAGCCGGAGGCGCAGACGCCAGCGAAGGTTCGTACCGACGAGGTTAGAGTAGGGCTAGGGCTAGGAGCGCTCGACGGTGCGGGTATGAGAGGAAGAAGGGTTCGGATCGGCATTCGTAATCATTCGTTTGGTGGGAATGCGATGGAGAAGTCTGCGAAGCCAGAATGGAGTCGAAATATATGTTGGGATCGACGAGGGAAGAGGCGGCGAGAGGCGGAGCGTGGCTGGAGACGAGGTCGGTCTATTTGGGGGTCTTCGAAGTGGGAGGTCGTGCATGTAGGCGATAGTAGGACTGCAATAGGTGAGACTAGGAGACTATGAGATGTAGAGCTGTCCGTGGACGGTTATGAGCGAGGTTTTGAGGGAGGAGACGGTACGAGAAGAAAGGAGAGGAAGGTACATACAATTCGCTTTCGAGCGCGCTGTGCGAGGTCAAGCGTGTGGATGCTCCCAAGAAATATGAGGGACCGAGACTGAGGAAGAGCCTAGGATTAGGACACTGGAGATAAGGAACGGGACAGAGGGGCGTACTCAAGTGTATATTGAATCTATCGTCCAATCCGCCCAGTCAATCCAGCATGCATCCTGATACTTTTTAGTGCCGTACGTATATCTTCAGGCCTGGTCCGACTTGAGTTTTTGATTTCGCAGAGAAAGGAGTGGGAGGGAAGCATTTGTCGCCTATTCACAGCAAGTTCATAGAGAGCTAGCAAAGTGGCGTGGCTTCTTCTAGGAGGTCGAAGGAGTTGATATTTGAAGCTTGGAATTACAACCTAGTGGCGCCATCTTTGCCAGCTCGGTCGGTACTAGTTATTCGAGAGTATGGCCAGAGCTGAAAGAATCATCGGAAGTGGACGACGACGTTGACGAGAGAGCGGCTGAAGCAAGAGGGGCGAATCGGATTGGTGCGACGAAGCGGGGCACGCCACGAGGTCGTCGGATCTAAACCACGCGAGCCATCCCGGGCTGATAAGATTAACGATCGCTCCGTCGTCCTTTCCGCCGGACAAAAACCCGGCGCAGGCGGGCGCTCAGCGGTGTGGCATCAGCCTCAACTGAGGTGGCGGCGCCCTGTTTGGTCACTCTGTGTGCCTCTCTGGGGTCACTGACAGTCCAAAAGGCAGTTTGTCCCGTATAAAGGGCAAAACGAGCCTCACAATGTGCTCAAAGAGCGAGTCTGGCGCAGGCCGATTATTATTATTATTTTTCTTGTTCTTTTTCTTTTTGGAGGCCGTACCCGAAATCCGGAGAAAAATAGCCCCCGCAGGGAGGACGTCCGCGAAATCCGGACAAACTTTGGCGGTTTTGGGCGATTCTGGTCCGGACAAATTTTGGCCAGTTCGCCGAGGTTCGCGGACGTCCTCGCCCTCTATAACCGGGGGTCCTGTGCCAATGGAGATCGGTCTGACAGTCGCCTATGATTTCTCCACGCCTTATCTCCGATCAGCCATTGCACCTGCTCTACTTGTATGGTGGGAGTTGCACGCAGAATCGATTGCAACGGGATACATTGGTAATAACGTACACGGTGACTAGCCCCATGTACAATCCATCTCATCCATCATGGAGGTGGGGTCGCAATAGGAGAGGCAGCGCAAATGACCGCACTATAAAGTAGCATATAATGCTGAAGAGAGAAGGGCAAAAGCAGATGATGGCGAGGGGAGTAATTGGGAGTCAAAAGCCGCGATGCGTGATCGTGGCGTTGAAGGGCGGGGGTCGGAGGAAAAGACGACAGCGAAGGTTTAATCCTCACATGGAATTGGGAATGGATGTCGAAGAAGTGAGACTAAATAGCGCTCGGAGCTGTGGAGAGGAGAGGATGAAAGACTCGTACTGGCGATAGTGGTATTGCTCGGCACACAGGGGCGGGGTTTGCGGGCCTTCAAGTCCAACGGAGGGATATTAGAGTTTGGAATGGGCAAGAGAATAGGTGGAAGAGAAAAAGTGGGCGAAGAGCAAGTGGGCCTGTTTTGAGAGGACAACGACCTGATATTCTTCCAAATGATCGGGGAGGTCCCAAGACCGCAACATGTCAGATTGGAGCCGTGGTAGGCATATATACGTCGATGATTCATCGTCCCGAGTGGTGTACTTAAGTGGAGGGTGTGGGAGAGGAAGGTGTGTACAGTTTCACGTTCCAGAGCGTCAGTTTAGAGAGAGTATGGGGACATATCCCGAGGGAAAGAAACTGAGGGCGAAGAGCCTAATGTCAGTAAGACAGAGATAAAGAACGGGGGAGCTGGGCGCACTGGAGGATTTCGTCCACTGTCCAATCCATCCCGCACATCATATATCCGTCACGATAGTCTCCAACGGCATACAAAACTCTTGCAAATGACCTTCGCCAAGAAAGAGAGATATAACATGACCAATTCAACCTATCTGGAGAACACTGAGCTACATAGATGAAGCGTTTGGAGGAGGCATCTTCGCGGTAGTCGGAGGAGTTGCTGTTCGAAATGTGGAGTTTATGCTGTAGAACAGCCGCGGACCCAGTGGTGTGGCACTTGGGTAGGTATCCAACCCTTTTCAGAGAGGTTTTGAACAAGTGGATGGCATTCAGGCAAGGAGCAAACGTCGAGCAAGACCAAAGCAAGACGGATGTGGTGGGCGCGAGCGCGGAGGTCCACGGAGCTGAGCCACGCGAGTGATCCCGGGATGATAAGATAAGATTTCATTAGCACGCCTCTTTTCCCTCTCCCTCATGCTACGGTTCCCGTCTTTCCGCTCGTCCTCGTCCTCTACATACTCCTAATACCAAATTCTTAGATGCTAGCTTCATTATAAACTGAACCGCTTCCTCTGATGTACAACGCCGGCCTGTCCTGATTCACGTTGCCGCAGGAATCCATCTCCGATGATATATGCAGAGATATAACTTCTCTCGGCCATACCACACTCTACCGAGTCTACGTAATTTCTTTCGTTGATAACGGCTCTCAAGACTACCATACAATATGACCCATATCTCCCCCATAGGTATTGTACAACATACTAAGTCTAGTCCTATGCCCTGGCTGATTTGCTACTGCACTCTCTCCCTCATCACTTGCGTATCCGTCTCTTCAGAGCGCCGAGCGCACCTTTCGGCAATGTAAGACCACGTCTTAGACTTGTTCGGTAATATTATCAGCACCATGCGTCTTGATATGTGGAAAGTACCCTCACTTACGCTGAACCATCCTGGCGCATAGAATAAATGGAATCAATTGCCGCGCGGCGGCGATCACTGCTGATGGTCCGATCGCCACCATCAGCCGTCATAGCATACAGAAAGCGAATCAGTGTAATTTCACTTACGCTGGAATACCCTCCCGCATAGAATAAACTGAGTCCACCGACGCGCAGCGGCAAATACTGGGTTGACATGGGACCAATTTGCCCTCGAATGATTCTTTGTTGCCGACCGTTCTCTGAGTAAGGATCCTCCCTTGCAAGAGCTGACAAGAACTTTGTGCGTCCAGTGAGGTGATCACTCGCTTCCTTGACTCTACATAGTCCGTCGCGGGCCTTAGGTCGTGTATGATATAGATGCGTTATGAGTGCTAAACGTGCTGCCGATGTGACCTTCAGTTAGCACCATCGGTGCACGATTCTGCTACTTCCACTCTGGCAACTAGGTCTGACTTTAGGATCCATCGACATCGACGCACCTCGCGACAGCCCAATTTCTCACATACGACTGTTCTTCTCTAGGCCTGAAATTTGGCCCGACTACAGGAAGAGAGTGGAATGGTCCCACTTTTACAACGGTGCCACGCTTTTAAATGATATATACGAGCTGTCACCCGTCACCATCTCCCCATGAATGCCAAAGATCGCGGATCCTGGCGACTTCTTCATAAAAGAAAAGAAACTCGAGTCAGTGACGAGGGTCCGCCATCAAGGGAGCAGTAGATACAAAGTCGAAAACTATGATTGATCACATACCGTCACTGACTGTTCTTTTCTGAATGAATATGACGAAGGCAGAATAAACGACGCTAAGAATAACGGCCCAGCCAGTGCAGTAGAAAACTATGTCGACTATGATGGTAATATAAACGGTGAAGCGAAGTATTTCGAAAGTGCGATCCACGAAGTTGAACAGGTGCGGGACTCGAAGAAATAAAAACAACATGGCGAACGCGTAGAGTCCCCAGCGCCAGGGATGCTCAGACGCTGTACCATAATTCAGCTCATAGCATAAAGGTTCGCAGTATAACCTTACCATGTTGCTTCACCTCATCAAGCGCAACGAATATCACTGTAGGAGCTACATTCAGTACTGGACCCCTTGAGACTGACCAAGACACGTACCTTTGTCAATGAGTACTGGACTCACAAGTCCAGCCCGCGGCATCTCTTTGCGACGTATAAAGGGAGTCACGGTGATATATGCGACGTACACCTACGAGTTTACAATATCAAAGTATTTCCGTATTCAACTGTAGACGTCGAAAATAGCTGCTTGCTGGACGATGAGTGCGATGGATAAGGAGAGCTCGGTGGAATCGATGCATCCAGCATAGGAGGTTGGAGATGGTGCACCCAAGGCTGCCAGGTACTCGAAGTAATTTCTCAGCGCTCGCCACAAGAACTCTTTGCAACGACTGCGCATCATGTCCGTGGTGCATAGTATCGATCGCTTCTTTGACCAGAGCTCGCACACCGCACCGAAACCTCATCGAACTCGCATGGCTGACCAAACTGATATAGCATACTCGAGAACACAAATTGGAGCTGATGGTACATAGACGTCAGGGCCTCAATTCTGGATTCCACAGATCTCACCGTGAAGTTCAGGCGTGGTTTGTCCGATTTATTTCTCAGCTCTTCTTTGGCGACTTCTCTTTGTTCTCCGAACGGAAGCGGCAAGAAAGACACTCAATGAATTGGTTATCATAATTTTATCCCTAGTATACTTACTTCGAGGCGATTACTATAATCTCTGACATCCTAATTATTGCCACAATGGGGATGTGTACGATATATATTCCAACGCGAAATGCCATCACTTGTATTAAAACTCTCGAAGGCTCGACAGCCGCCATGCATTTGATATAGTATCGATCGTGATGAGCAGGCTCCTTACATACGATATTCAAATGCTCTCGGCGTTGATGGATAATACCTTGCTTCGTACCAGGGCTGAGGACCGACGTCTCTGCGCGCGAATAAATAATAAAACAGAAACAGTCCTAGATGAAAACCCCGGTCAACAGTGACGTAGAGAATGGCTAGGACTCAGCGAGTCGAATAGTTGATAAATCTGACAATACGTACGAGAAACATAATAGCCCGGTGCATTGAGGAATGCAAAGGTACAAGCGATGGCACCGATCATCATCACCAAGCGAGGAAGAAAGAATCCAACGTAGAGAAGCGAGGTAACGACAAGGGTGAAGAGATAGATGTTAAGCATGCGATCCAGTGAGGCAACAAGACCTGGGAAGTGAAATGGCTGTAACAGGACGGCGGGTAAGATGACCCCCGTGCCGTAGGGATGTTCCATAACTGCAGATACAGCGTTAGTAGTCCATAGATAGGTATGCGCTGACTTGACTCACCGAACATCTTCGCCACATATAAGTATGAGCGAGCTACACGGGACGTCGAAAGGTGGCGTTCAGTTGGTTCCAATCCAGGTCGAGTAACAGACTCGAAGAACCTGCAATTCTTTGCTTACCATGGTCTACTGCAATTACCATGAACCCAGGGAAAGATACCACAATGTACAGAAGCAGGATAGCAAGCAGGATAGATACATATATCTCGAAGACGCGGTTGAGGAAAGAGACGAGACGGGGGTAGTGGAATGGTTGCAGCGCGAGGACAGGTACGAGTAACCCCACGACATAAGGGTGCTTGGTGACTGTAATTACGATTCTAATCACAGAACGGCAGACAAGCACAGAGTCTACTTACCGCATATTTTTGCCTCGTCCAGGTAGAGATGAACTAAAAATGAAGTTCAAATGAGCATATATGTTTGTTTGTTATTCTCACGATCAAAGACCGAGATAATGAGAGATATACCATGATCCACGACGAGCGTACCCAGAGTTTGGCACCATTCTGAAACGTTGTCGTTCCACATCTTCATACTCCGGGTATTCAGATCTAGAATTACACTCCGTTAGGTGCTCGTAGTGCCGAAAAGTAGAGCGCGGCCACTAAACTTGTGGGGATATCCTGTGTATCTATTCGGGATTGCAGTGAGGTCGTTCGCAACTAGATAGTTGAAAGAAGAGGGTAAAAAAGAGGAGCAAAACGGACTCAGATGAAGAGGCCCAGATGATTATACATCCGAAGAAGCGATGAGGGACGAAGCGATGAGGGACGAAGCGACCCAACGAGCATGCAAAAGCTAGGAAGATCTTCTCAGCACTCGCCACAAGATCTTTTCAGGCATACGTCCCAAAACACTCGCGTTACCTTCGATGATCGGGGCATCCAGAAAATAATCCTCGCCTGTTGTGCATGGCCGACACGCACAGCACAGAAGCCACTACAGCAGGAGTGCGAAAACTTCTGAGGCTGGATAGAAGTCGTAATTCATAATGGGCATGCTCGTACCTGCTTGTTGTAGCCTGATCATCAACCGAGCCAGAAACGCGAGGATGAAAGTATTTTTTTCGTGATTGTCGTGAACCTACCCGAATATACGGATAGGCGTAAGATACGAGACATGTCACCCGCTGGGGTTCAAAAATCAAACGAGCCAGACTATGTGCGCTTAACGAAACATTTCTGGAGTTAGTCACTTGTCGTCATGCCACGGTAGTCGTTGGTGGGAGTTCAACGTTCAACGTTCATCGTTGATTGCCACAGCTCAACTCTCACCCGAGCGTTCGTAATAGACTTCTTCATACAGCTTCAAGCTTCATCCTCAACACCGTTCGTTCTCAGCTTTTGTACCCATCTACTCTCTCTGGACAATCAATTCCATTGTGCTAGATAGAGACTGGTCGGATATACCACAATGGCGAATGACGACGATGCGTCCATCCACCCTGCACGCCCTTTCTCTCGACACCCCACGGCTATCGAGCAACAAGCTGAGCGTCTCACTCGAAGACTGGGCATGCAATTCAACGTGGGGAGTACAAGAGTAGCAACCGTCAATACACCGCTCAAGAATCGTTCGTCACATCTATAGTTCGTCCGTCCCTCGCCGCACCTAGGCACCTTCTCCGTCCTCTTGATAGCTAAGACAACACATCGGTGAATAGTTTACGGGAGACAATCCCAGCTCACGAACATCAACGCCCATCCACTCCGGATCGTCAATACTGGGAATTCTTCCACTACTTCCATCTCCTCTCCGGTCTCTCATCCACACTCTCCACCTCACACTCACAATTATACTCCCACCTGCACCCCACCGCGCTGATACGACACCCGCAAAATTTTAACGACTGGCTCACGCTCATCGAGAGGATAGTCGCATTTCGGGGGACACCCGAAGGGGGTGGAGGATAGGTTAGATGTTTGTGAGACGTCGTTGGTGAGAATAGAAGAAGTCGACGGGGAGCTTGAATGGACGTTGGAAAGTCGGAGAAGTGTGGATGAGGGAGGGTGGATCAGAGATTGTTCGAAGAGAAGGTGAGTTCTACCTCTGGGCTCACTTGTGTGTATGTGTGTTGACGGACAGCGTTGAACTTGGCGCCTTTGGCCGATTGGCGTAGGGTAGATTGGTAGAGCTACATGATGCGACCGGCCAAATATCGGATTATTTGCAGGAGTTGGATCACGCGACGAGGATGCTGAACCATCCGGACGAATCGCTCGTCCACCAGACCAATTTCCTGTACATGGTCGAACGCGCGTCAATGTATGCATGGACTTTGCAAGGCTCACGTACGTCCATCTCCCTCCTCCTCGCTCTCCCTCAGTTCGTCCTTGCTGATAACTTTTGTCTGAACATAGCGCCACCTCTACGGAGCAGAACTCTCGCAATGCCTCCTCCGGTCCCAATGATGTATAATCGGCGCTATAATGCTCATCAAAATGCTCTTCGTTGGATCTTTGCGTGCACTCACGCAGTACACGACACGGCGATCCTCGGAGAAAGTATGCCCTCTTGACATATCACATCTATCGTACCCGTGTCGTACTACTTTACACCACACTACCCTCCAGTTTCTGCCTTGCCTTCTCGCTTTTCTTTACACCCTCATATCTTTTTCTTTGACTGATTGATCTCATTGTCTCCCATCTTTCTATCTAGCCTTTCGATCGTTATTTTCCATTTCCTGCTTCGATCACTAATCGCTATGCCTCCCTCGCCTTTCTGCTTCTCCCTCCCACTCTTCTCCCTTCTCAACAAACAATCTCGACGCAACTTCGCTATACCGGCCCCAACCTACTCCCGAATCCTACGAACGCTCCTACCGACTTCGTACGCCCAATCGACCATGCGCCCTGCGGACTCAATCGACTAATGCGCCAAAATCACTAACCAACTCACCAACGCCTGCGCTGGCGAAACCAACTAACTGATTGACCAACATACCGAACGTACCGACTGTCCACTGCCTTCCCACCAAATACAACGCACACACGCACGCATGCCCACAACCAGTGAACGAAACACTCACAGCGCCTACTCCGAATCCCTCTGCGACTGACTCTATGACGACAGCCGCCCTCGTATCCTACGCGGACAGAGTCCTAAAGCTCTCTGTGAGGTCTGTACCGTCTTGCTGGCGCTCGCGGTGTCGCTGCCGCCGACTCTTCCTCCGCACTTCCCACGGACTCGGAGTCTCGTTCGGATGGCGGCTCGCTCAAGATTGCGCTAGATCGTCCTGAGGGTGGTAAAGGTAACCAGAAGTGTAAGAATGGAGATAAGGGAGAGAATGAGAAGCAATTGGGAGAGTTTGGGATGAGCGGGTTGGTGAGGATGGTGCTACAGGACGCGCAGACGAGGTTAGTGTTCAAGGCGAAGAGGGTGAAGCAGCTCGCTCCCAGTTCTGGGACAGAGGACGTGGATCCTTTGGTGGTGTTGGAGAGTGCGAGAGGTGAGTCGGAAGATTGCTTTCTTCAATTGGTCCACGTCGCCGTTGCAGATTCCTCCCGATTTCATCGCTCCCTCATTTTGTTCCGCGCCCTTAGACTCGCACGAAACGGATCCGAAAGTGAAGGAGAAAGACACCCAGTCGATCAAGTTGGGCCAAAGCCAGACTTTCCAGCTTTCGGAAAGGACGAGGGAAGTGGATACCCAGTGTAAGTAGTGTCCAACGGTGAGGAAGACGGTGTGGGCGTGAGCCGATTATGTCAGTATGTGCAGGTGCGTTGTCTCGTTCGTTCGTTCGTTCGTTTCTTTTTCCTAGATTCTTGCGTCAATGGTCATGAGGCTGAGCTAACAATTTTCTCTGGTTTATGTTAGCGTGACGTGACATGGCGCAGACATGCTACCCGGCAATCATCGCAGACCTCGCACAGGAATCAGTCAACCTCGCGCCATTAAACTCATCAAATCGCATGCATAATCTCCTTCTTCGTCCGCATCTCACTCGAACTCGCACTCAAAACCTCATTCGAAATTGCAGCATCAAGATAAACGCTCCCTTTTATCTCCGCCACCGCCACATGAACTTTCACTTCCCATCCATATCCGCCCTCAACAACTCCTACCTCAGCCGTAGTAAACAAAATTTCGCCTACAATCGGACAGTCATAGGAGGCATGAACGGGCCCAGAAACGAGATCTGGGCGCGGTACTTTTCCTCGTGAGGTGTTTTTTGATCTTGAAGTAGATGGCGGTGGGGTCGGAGCTCATGACGAGAGGTTTGGATGCGGACAATAGGGGAGTCCACGATAGCGTTTAAACCGACGTTTAAGCGTGCGTTTAAGCTCGAAAGCCGCGCTGCGGTCTTAAACGAGGGCTTAAACCTGCTCAAACGCAGGCCTAAACGGTCATCGTGGATTCCCCTAATGGGATGGCAGGTGCGGGGACGAAAGGCGATGGTGGTGGGTTTGCCCTTGATGTGATGAACGCGAGTGGGCTCGTAGTGGATGGGGTCTTAGCGTTCGAGGTGTAGGAGGGCATGCTGGAGGGGGTGGCGTGACGGGTACGTCTCGTGCATATCTCTCAAATATTCATCTTTTTGCTTACGCAGTGGTTGGTGTAGATGCTTCCACATCGATCTCGAGCCGCACGTCTGCGCTCGTATCTCACTCGTTGATCAAGAGTTTGGCAATGCCGCGGGGCGATAAACATGATGCGAGACACGTACGTCCAATATCTTCTTTCTTTCTCCTCGCTTGGACGACATTTTCGAGGCCCAATATTTCAATGTTTATTCGAATAATCTGGCATTGTCATATCGTTTGGTCTGACGGTGATCGTGTGATATCATGTAGGGAATCGACATCGACCTCAGCAAAACATGCCAGGACCTCATCGTCTGCCACACATAATCCATGCGCTCTACATATTTCCCGCACACGCACGGCGTACCGCAGCTGCGTTCGTCCTTCTAGGCTCCTTACTCAACCCCACTCCCAACGCCTCTGCCACCACTACTTCCCGGTTACCTTCCTCATCCCCTTCCGATGCACTCGCATCAGGCGCAAAAAGGGAGGTGGTCGGCTCGATCGCAGCGGAATTCGTGGTCCGATGTGTGAAATCCCAGGAAGTTTAGGGAGGAGTTATTCATATCAGGGGAGAAAAGCAAGACACTGAGCTTGTGAGCGAAGAAGAGGTGGACGGGATGTTGGAAGAGCTTTTTAATGAGTGGGGTGCGGTGATGCTTGGTGGAGGTGGCGTTACCGATCAGACGAAGGTGGCGTAGGTATATTGGACCGTGCTCACGACACAGTGGCAAAGTGACTTATCCCGAACGCATTCAGCTTTCGCCGGTAGAATTACACCCTCTGGTGTAGTGCTTGTTTCTTTATTTCGGGCTTCAAGGCCATCGGACCGTATGTCTATGAGCATATTTTGCAGACACTGCGTCCATCATTCTATCGACACATCATTATTCGGTCTCGAGGCTCGGTGGCGATGAACCCTGCTCATAGGTCAGCCGGCATTTTTATCTTTTGTGACGGTTATTCAAGTTACCCCATAGGATGGTAACAGTGCGCGGGCCTGAACGATGCTGGCATACTAGGGACGGGAACGGCCTGGCTCTGACCTCGCACACAGTTTGAGTGGGTCATTGAGTTCATCACAGGCGGAATGCCCTGCCACAGCACCACTAACGCGGTCACAAAAGCCCTTGAGCTCTGATGGAGGCGTCGCTCACTTCTGCATTTCAAGGCAACAGGAGCGCTTCATTTGGAGCTCTGTATGTGAATATTATCTTGCGGCCTCTCAGGTACTCATCTGTCTCACAATACTTGGGTCCTCTGGCCTCAAACTTCGAAACTTCACTCTCAATCGACCATTTTACTCCGACTTCGTCCATAACATGCGGTTCCTTGCTACAACGATTATCGTTCTCGGCTTTCTTGCTTCTGCGTTCGCTCAGAGTGTGTTGATAGGCTCTCCCAGCGACGGGAGCACAGTCACCGCAGGCCAGTCGATCACTGTCGACGTCCTGAAGCCTGTACGTTGATTTTAAAGCTCCTGGAAGGGAACAATGAATGAGCATACCCTACGGCGATATCACTTTCACTCTTTCATACCAAATTTAGTCCAATGGTATTCATTTCAGGACTCCATACAAGGCAGCAAGGACGTCGCGGTAATCTTCGGCATGTCGCCATGCTCCGCAGCGACAAACAGCTGTCCAGATGCCGCCAGTTCCTTCGGACAAGTCATCTATGGCGCTCCGTACCACCCGCAACTCAACATTCCTGAGAATTCGACAGAGAGCGAGAGTTTCACTGTGCCGGTTCCTGTGGGATTCAAGGGCGATAAGGTCGTCTTGAGTCTTGCGCATGTTCTCCTGATTGGGGTAAGCCGGCAGACTACCACATTGTCCCATTATGTCTCGTCCTCGTTGCTGACTTGAGTATGTGCGTCGTGATGTATAGGTCGGAGAGTCCTCCCCCAATGTCGATGTAACGAGTATCACGCTCAATGTTGTCTGAGGGCCACTGTACTTCTCAGTTTCAGGTCATTGACTTAACCCATTCCATATCCAATGTTTAGTTACCATGATGCAAATTGTTGCGGCTCTCCCATCGTGGATAGGCTTTGGGACTCTCTCGCGACTCCGCAATGCGTCTCCGAGATCTACAATACCAGGACAAGGAGACTGCGTCAATTGTTTTATGCAAATATATCAGTTCTTGATAATTCCAATTCTCTGCATCCATTTGGGATGGCGGTCCTGACCATGACTTTCCATCGGCCATTTTATTCGCAGCGTGCAGAAAGTGGGCCACATGAAGGTCGACACGGCAAAACCCGACGCCCCGGATTGCAGCCCAAATCGAACATGATCAAGTGCGACTCCGGCGGATTTCACTCTCGTCCATCCCACCAACGTCCCACCTCTCCACTGCTATACTAGTCTCTCATCTACGATATATTTCTACCCTTGTACCCGCCCACGATTACGACTCCAGAATGCCTTTTCACTCGAACGACCTTGGCGAGTCTGCTTCTGGCCCTGCAGAAATCGCCTTCCTCCGCTCACAACTAGATCGAACCGCCCGTGAATCTGCACTACGCCTCAAACTGGTTTCGAGCGAGTGCGAGTCTCGGATCGAGCAGCTTTCTCGTCAGCACGATGCTGAAATCCGAATGCTTCATCTCGAGCACGATACGAAGATGGTGTTGGTAAAGAGGGAGGGGGAAGGAAAGGTAGAGGCGTTACAGTGCGCGCTGGAGAGTTTGAGGTGTCGGTATGTTGCAAATGTCGACAGGATGAGGATAGAATCGGATGAGAAGGTACGGAGACTGGAAGCGGAGAAGGATGCTCTAGCAGTTGCACAACTCGAGGCTCAGGACGAATGCAAGAGAAAGGACGTGGAGTTGACGAAGGTACATGCGGAAAGGGTCGAAGGGATCACAGTCATCCAATCTAAAGATGTAGAACTTGAAGAACTACGGTACGTTCTTCGTACATCTTTTATCTCGACGGTTTGTTCTTGACTTTGAGATTCCGCTTCTTGCTGGTGTTTGTTTGTAGAGAGAAAGTCAAGACCCTCGGAGCGGAGAACGTGCTCACGCAGTTTCAGGAAAGCGGGTGAGTGGACACCAATCCGATCTTTTCAACAGGTAACTAACAACTTCAGACAGCTTCAAGACAGGAAAAGCCGATGCGCAGGCTGGTTTTGGAATTCGCTTTGAGACTCGGGCTGTCAAGGTACGCCATATTAGTCAAATGTCATTCCGACGTGCAGCGGGTGCGCTGATCACAGTATAGAACATACCTACGGCTCCCCGCGCAATGATTATGGCATCTTCTTCGCCCTTCATCGTGTCCAGTTCCTCCTTCTCTAGATCCGCCCTACCATGTCCAGCGACATCTACGGCGGAAGCGGAAGTGGAGATGCCCACGGGTAAGATCCTATTTGCTTTCCAAGCACTTTTTGTTGAGCTCACTTCTTCCGCTCGTTGAAGTTTGCCTATCCGGAGGACCAAACCGTCCCGAGGTAGAGCCAGAGAACGAGGTTCGCGTCTTTGCTATATGCCGTTAAAATGTCCTCGAGGTTAATACGATCATGAACGTATCAGGAGACCATGACTCCTTCGTCTGATTCATCCTCCTCCTTCGCCCTGAGCGTGCTATCTCAATCTTCGAGCTCCTCCATAGCATCCTCAGCCGCGCTATGCGTGCCGTCTTCTGTCCTGCCTATAGAGGTGGCCATCGTTCAGACGCAATACACAGGTGCTCCACGACGGGTTCCGGCGGTCTTCTTCTTGACGGGCATGTTCGGACAGGAAATCAAACCTCATGTCAAGTCTAGTCCTTCGCAATCGGTAAGTTGTGGTCATTATTCTGGAAGGTAGGGTACACAGGCTGACTTTGCTCCGACAGAACCTCTTTCTTGCATCAGACAGCTCTCTGCCCTCTTTTATTCCCCACTCGAATGTGCACCCTGCGTCAGCGTTTCCCTCTTCAACCTCACCGACCAGTTCCTTCTCTATTGGTCAGCATGTATCCGAAATGTGCGGGAACTGGCAGAACGCGGCCAATGAGAACAACAAACCCACGTCAAAACCCTCACCTAACGGACAAGCTACTTCATTGTCCTCGAATGCCCATTTAAACAATACCGCCCGTTCCAAGCATGTCGCGCAAACTCTGCACCAGACTAAATCCCAATCTGTACGTCCTCTCGGTCTCGCAATGATGAGGAGCGTTGACTCCCCAGATTCCTACGTTATGACAGAAACCTTCCGCCATCATTCATTCCAACAAACCCTCCGCATTCGCTACTCTTACGAACGCCTCTGAATCTCTCTCGACATCGGCATTCGCATCGAACACTTCGCCTGTATCAAAATCGTCGACTCCTGCCAATGAGCAGCCCCTTCACACCAGCAATCTTAGGTCTCCGAGTCTCCGAGGCTCTACTTCGGGTATAATTAACACGCACGAGCTCAACGTAAGTGGTATTTCCATCTTAGGAAGCGTACGTTTCCCTGTTTACTCCTTCTTCAACCGATAGGCGTCGACGTCGTTATCCAGGATAGGTAAAAGAGCACATTCGTCTGCTTTCATGGATGAATATGTCTCGCCGGCTCCGCCGTTCAGTCTCATTGATCGTGTATGTTTTCATATCACCTATATATATAACAGTGTAGGCTGCAACTCGCATCTTCCTTTCCATAGATCGAGCCTCGGGCTATGCAATCGACTACGCTACCAGCTCGCAAGCGTCCGCATTGCTTCACCGGCGCCAACACTGACAGTGGTACTGTTCCCTGGTCGAAAGTAATTTTGAATCGTGCTAGGACGGCTGCCGATGGCTTGTTGGACAGGATGACACTCGATGACGACGTGAGTCTCTAATCTGACTCTGTGGTGCACTGGGGCTACATGTGGCGGTGGCCCTTGACATCTTGCGTTTTCATATTGTTTTCAGGGAGATGAAGAGGACGATATCGACCGCAATATTGTGAAGGCTGAGCAAAAAGAAGATATTCTCTCGTCGCCTGCGCCCTCTAGTCTTTACCAGGTCAACGAACAACGCATGGAAGATACGCAACTCAGGTGTTCTACCACTGTGAAGACGGAGACTGTTTACGATATCGGGCTACGTTCTTCTGCCTTTAGAACTTCGTCGAGGCGTAGATTCTGACTATCTTGGTCGCTCATCTCTCTTGGCGTCTGGTGTACTGTCTGGCTTTCCAACGTTCCTTGTCATCGTTACACACTATTCGGGATACTCACTTGATTCGTTCAGGCTCTTGTACTGTGGCTGGCTCGTCGTTTTTATAACCACCGTCCACATACTACATCTAGCCTATTTTGTCTCTCTCTTTGCCGCCGTTCCCTAGGCGAGGAACTCAGTATGGGCCGACATTATTGTACCCATGCCTCGGGCTCGACTACAGCTGTTGTGCTTCATGTTGACCGGGAAGATCATCGATCGTTAGTTTCAGCCGAACTAGATATGACGGCGCAAACTCAACAGAAGTAGTATACTCCGTCAATTCCTCGCTTTGTGTTACTTGGCACTGTTTGTGCGCCACACAACTTTTGTCTCTCCTTCGTCAGCTTTGTCAATGAATCTCTGTATCGTATATGCCGAACTACTACCACGGGTGGGCTCTGGATCTGAGTCCCCAACTGCTGCCTCCATGTGAAAAACGAACTTCACGTTCACGTCAGTTAGACTTGCATCGACGCCCGCGAGCTCCTCTGTGCTCTTGCCTGATTGTCCTCCCCGCCGTACTGGATGTTACGTTCGTGTTGTGACACTCAGAGATACCCATGCCCTGCCTATCTCATGTACGACATTGTTCTACACAATAAAGAACACCACTTAGCTTCGACATGCGCTCAATGACGTCGACTCTCTATGTTCCTAGGTCGAGCGAACGTCCTGCGACACTCTGCTCCGTTTCGAACTGAGTTCAAGATTATATGTGAATTACAGTGTACTACTGAGCTATGAGCAGGAAACCATGCTCTTCCTGGTTAAACGGGGCTGCGATGAGTGGCTGCAGAAGTTGAGATCACACCATGAAGTGTTCAGCTCGAGCTAGCTAAGAGGGACTTGGAGGGGCCAGAGTAAGGTCAAACTAGCAATGGGCATCAATCTTATCTTGATTTATACTATTTCTTTCGCTGAACTTTCGCTAGGCCTCTCCTCAACCAGTTGTGTCAACTTTGTGCATTGTATGCCCTAGGATCGAAGACGCAACATAAATACAAAGCCATATATTCCTCCCGGGCTCTACAGATCGCGCATAAGTCATTGCACTTCTTAGACGTGGAACCCGTTCGAAACAAGAACAAGCGAGAGACCCTTCGTATGAGTAGATTGAAGGATTTTACGGCCGCTGGAACGCAACGATTGGATAGTATAACGCCGTCTGGGCAGATACTCAGTTGGACCAGTGTCGGAGAAGACGTATTATAAACTCTCGCGTCTGAAGTATAAGTAAGTAGAGCTGCGTCCTGTGCCTACGAAGATCAGGGCAGGCCGAAGTTGAACTGTAGAGAACACGGTCCACCAGGAATATCGAGAGTGAGTACTAGTCGTATCCTCCCTATAGCGAGCATCTTCGAGGCGAGATGTGTGGCAGTCGTGGAGAGGTTCGAGTGACGATCGTCGTCGTCGAGGAAAAAATCGCCCTCTCGGGGCCACCTCGCCACCTCAATATTAATATCACCATGGCGTCGCCACATTGCGTCGTCCCAACCTCCGACCATCTTTCTTCGTCTTCACTCGCTGCTCGTCAAATGCACTCTTTTTCGTCCGTAACAAAATGCTGGCGTTCCACAAGACACAGTTGATCGGGGCTATGGACGACACCGATCTCTGTACGGCCAAGAAGAAGTTTTCTAGTCCCTTCTCTCGATTCCCCGTCACTTCACCCTCCTTCGTATCACTCCCATGTACAGACCGACCGGCCGAATGAATGACTTGCTAACTACCATCGCCCACGAGAGTCGGCTCCTGCATGATAGCCTCCTTCCACAACCTCACCTCCGCAAACGCATCCACCTCCTCGCACGACCTCGTTCGGTGCGTTCTGTTCATTCTCCTTTTCATTCTCGTTTCATCTGGCACGGTACTACGGCGTCGCTTCCGAGATATATGTGTCGCTCTTCTCCATCATCCTTCGCACCCTCTCCCTCTTTCATCCTCCTCACCTCGTCTTTAATCGATTTCATCCTTCGCACCACTCTTCATCCTTTGCACCCCTCCTACTTAGGTCGTCCACCACCTTAAGCTAACTAAAATCTCCCCCCTCTCACATTCACAACAAATCCAAACAGATCCGCATTAATAAGCCTCCTCGGCACCAAACACGTCGTCGGCCAGATATAACGCAAGATCTTGAATATGAGAGAGGTGATTGGGGGGCAGCAGACTGTTATGAACTTTTTGTATTAGAATAAAATATATATCTTTCTTACCTACATATGCATGAGCAAAAGAAAACAAAAAATACCCTCGCCACAAAGACGGCAGTCGAGGCAAATCAGCGATGGTTTGACTCGGTTGCCGGCCCGGCGATCTTACTTACGCCACCCCGCTCGGGCCACTTCACTGATCTCTATCGAGATCATCTCCTCCTCGTTCCTTACTCTCCTCTTCGAGTCACCTTTGGTCTTGTGCTGCTCAGTCATTCACCTGATTATTCATGTACTTGATTACTGAGCTATGTCTTCATCCTTGGCTTTCTATTCGTTACTCTTGAATGTTGCTTAGATGGCGCTGCAAAGACCACTACGACGAGTACAAAGTCTCACGGGAGGCGTATAAATGTGCGAACGAAACTGTTGAAACGCTGAAGAAGAATATTCCAACGATGGAGGAAATTTCTCGGTTCACTACTGTTCAAAAGTCGTCCTACGCAGACTGTACGCAGGAGTACTTGCAGGCGTTGCGGGAAGAGAAGAATGCAAGAGAAAAGCATTCAAGGTGTTTCTTTCCCAGAGGTGGAGGTCCTGTATGTCCTGCTTCATGGCCGGCATACTCTGTACTCGAACTCACGTTGATATATGACCAGTTGACAACGGGCACAAGGTATACATACAGACCTTGAATGGTTCAATAGCAAAGACGTGCAAACTTCTGAACGCACTCGGGAATCAGCGAAGGCAACCTCCGACATAAAGGTGATCATGACCATGAGCATGGCGGATATATTCCAGCGTAAGTGAGACCACACCGATTGATTTGAATTTGTAATGATTCACAATGTCGGTGACCTGACTATTCAGAACAAGCCGAAGGAAGAGCCTGCTCTCGCTCTTCATATGAATCTAGGGATGGAGTTCGGAGTCCGAAAGAACCACGGGTCCAAGATGCAGCTTAGGAAGGGAGAGAGTAGCGCTGCCAAATTACGGCTCATCACCATCCTTCGTACTATTGTTCCTCTGCACATGCTAAGTTCGTTTATTCTGTGTTGTACCAGTGCCGGAGAACACGGCTGTTCTTTCAACGATCCTTCTCGCATGCTACGCGCGATTCATGGTGCAAATACTGACATTCAAGTCCTTTTGTCTTCTCTGCAAGCTGCCCACGAATACGAAATGGCCATCTCCGATGATATCAACCACTCGAAGTCCATGATAGTGAATATTTCCAAGTTCAACCCTCTACCTTACAGCAACGCACACAGCCCAGTGAGGCTCTCAGGCCACGCCACCCCAAAAGCCGACCCCATCTAGTCCTTCCATCAGCCCATGGGCCTCACCGCCGCAACAGAACCTTCGCACAATCTCCACGATTGGATACTACTCTTAAGTATGACGAAGGCAACAACAAAGAACGGAGGCGAGAATGAAGAACGGAGGTATGACCTAGAACTCGAACGAAACCAAAAGTATGAACAAAAGCACGACCCATCACTGTCCCGTACTGCAGCACCACGCTATCAGGAGGCCAGAGTCAGAACAAACCATGCGTTGATGCATGCAGGGATGTATGCCTGTATGCTTATGAGTGCCGTCATCGGAGAGCTTGACTAGAATGGCTCATGGCCGAACGAATATCTCATTAGCACTAGCACAATTAAATGATGCTCTTCTCGGAGTAGTATATGGATCCAAGACTCAATGTCCTATACATAGCACAAAGCTCGAAGTATGAGGCGAAGCAAAAGCTCGATGTCTCATACCGAGCAAGGCCCATCCGCAGTCCGAGCTTCTGTCAAACTTTGAGTCTCGAACGAACGCTCAAACGCTCGGCCGCCCGAACGCCTAGGCGCGACTACGAACGCCCGAACACTTAAACAAAAACACGATCATATGCACAACAAATGCAGCCCGGCGGCCTAAGCCAGCACGCAAGCCACCAAGCCAGTCATCCAACCCGCCGTCGATCCAGCCCAGAGAGTGAGCCAGCTATCCGACGATGTCAGTTCACCACCGTTAATCGAAGATAGCCGTTCACCAGATACGATAGTGGTTCACTGGAGACGATGTCGATGACGATGACGATACGTCCGGTTCGGATTGGGTTCGAGCGCGTGCTGAGGCTGATTCAAGACTTTCTGCGGCGAAAGGCGACGCGTGCAATGTGTAGAAAGAACCTCGACCACAGGAGCAATCTCGAACACCGAAGAAGGAAAAAAAAACGGAGACGAAAACACGAAACACGAGGATCCAAGAAGAACCGAGAGGGACGAAGAAAACGAAACGCGAACACAAACACCCCTTCCATCGTCATACCAAGCAAACGAATATCAAAAGGGATCCCAAACAAATCTAAGAGAGAAACAAGAACACAAAGAAGCGCACAGTCTGTGTCAACGACTCGATTAGGGTTCTCTAGGTCGCGCTTGACTTGTTGAGACAAAGCTGAAGAGGTGGCTAAGGGAGGAAACAGACCAGAACAAGTCTGGGGATTTATTCGAGTGTAGCTACTAGTTTATATACATCCAGAGATAGAATAAACGAGTAAGCATAGATGACCCAGATGAATAAGTACGAAGAGCAAATAATGTCGCCATAGAAAGTGTCGACGAATAGAAAGGCAAGTGAGGGTCGTGGAGATTCGTGAGCGATAGGCAAATTGCACTGGACGCGGTCCTCATTCCACGTCTGACAGAGATTCTGTGCGGCATCTTCGGTGACGGTACGTGTCAAGAATTCGTTGCATTGTAGAAATGTATATTTCCTTACCTGAGGGTATATGGGATTTGGTGGTTCTGCCCTTGACGATGCTGAGCATCGTGGTCTGTGTATGGGCTCCGAGTATTGTCACAACCTCTCATGCTGGTCCACGTCGCAATTAGCGGCGTGCAAGAAGACAGCATGTCGGTCTAGACTTAGTACACCATTCACAAAATTCACATGCATTGACCTTGGCGTGGATAGGAATGGGCAGGACAGGTTTGTGACTGGAACCAACATTTTATAAATCGATGAGGAGAGGCTGAGATAGAACCGAAAGGAGGTGGCTAAAAGAGATGTAACGACCAAGCGCCTTAACACTGCTCCAAGATCGGGATACATTCTCACCACTCGCCACAATAACTTCAATATCACAGTGCTGGATCTATGGTACCATCCATGCCACCACGATCATATTTAAATTTACTGCTTCTCTGCTAGACCGCAGCCACGACAACTACACATTGTCAGTTCGTGTCCGCTATTATATCCGAATGCAAAAATGCAAACACCGGTGGCGCTTGAGCAGGTGTATGCAGTGCCAACGGCTTGGTACCACAATGACGAGGAAAGTACGTATTGCTGTACGCGGCAGGTTTCTCCGATCCAAATTCCCTCAACGATCTGCTAGGCACCCTCTAGCGTGGCAGCAAACAGGACATTATCTGGATATAAGCCGTTTTGTTCGGTGGCCTTGTGTCAGAGACGGAATTATGTGTGGGATAACCAAAGCCACATCTAACCGAACATGCTGTTCGTTCACCCCAACTATCCATCGCCTTCTCCAGCCTTACATCGAGAAGGCAAACCTACACCAACGCGTTCCAGAGCAGACGATAGAGCCACATGGGGGCAATGACATCAGACGCGGAGTCGTGAGAAGCACTTATGGACTACCTATAACTACTGTGAGATAACACCAATCGACACATCCAGCGCTCAATCGCCCTTTCACCGATACCATCGAGCCTTCCTTCCCCACCGAGACATTCTTCGTCCCTCAAATGTCGGCTCTATCGCATAACACTCCAGGCATTACTGATATGGGAGCACCTTTTGCAGACACAGACGCAGACATCATCATACGTTCCTCCGACCTCTACGACTTTCGCCTCCATCGTTTCATCCTCTCAAAAGCGTCGGACGCCTTTCGAGACCTCCTTTCGATTCCGCAGCCTATAGATTTGGCTCGTAGCATCGAATTGTCTGACGGCTATCGAGACAGATTGCCCATCATAACCCTATCTGAGAACCATCGTATTCTCGACGTCTTGTTCCGTATCATATATCCCGTCGATATTCCAAGTGTTTCATCATTGCATTTGGATGTCCAGAACTATCCGAATAGCCCATGGCGAAAATGTTACAGTGACGGTACCCGCATCAGCGAGTTATCGGATCTCCTAGACGCCTCCGATAAATATGCTCTTATAGCGAGAGTTCCGTCTACTTTCAGCTCGTTGCTACTGTCAGTGCCGAAGATAGGCTACGGGATGTATGACCTTGTTCACCCAGAGACCGTCTTACGATGTGCCTGTCAGTACGACTTGACACAGGCGGCAAACGAGATGGTGAAGTTGACGTTGCAGCGAATGCGCGCACAGGTCACGAATCATAAAGACCTCCAGGCGTTGACAGTGCCACAGTACCGCGCCATTCTAGACTATCGAGAGCAAGTCACCACCGCCGCAATTGAGACCGTCAGGCCTGCAGGCAAAGACAGGGAGATTCTGATCGATGGAGATAGATTCCCTGCGTGGGACTCGGACTGCAGCCCATCTTGCACTTGTCGACGACAATACATCAAAACATTGGAATATGATCCTACTGGCGGTGAAATCTTCCGCTCTCACGTACTCTCCCCATACTGGGTTCAGAAGTATCTCGATAATTGCGCCGATGCTTTATCAATTGTGCCTCATACAAAGTCTGTCAGGCATAGCGTTGCCATGGACCACGCATTCCGAGATGGCATGAAGTGCCCTCATTGTAGGCATCATCTGTATAGGCTGGATGAATTTGCGGATTGTATCGCCGCGCTAGTAGAGTCCAATATATCAAAGGTGAGTTTTGTGATCAGTGTATGCGTATGAACATCGTCGGATGAGCTTCTTCTCATCTCTACGGCTCTCCCACAGATACCGCTGCCGTTTGGGGTGAAGGGTCAGTAGCTTAGCTGACACCCGTAAAGGACAATTTGCATGAAGTACGTCGCTAGTATTTATATCCGAGACTTCCTTCCATTGTTCAACTGTAAAGTGCACTCACTGCATGCATTAGAAATCCCGATGGAGATAAATACATAAGGGGCACGAGGCGATACAAGACAAAACTATAAAATCCGATGCAAGAGTGCCGAGAAGCCAGTGCGGAGTTGCAGTCGTGCTAACAGATCGTCTGTGCTTGATCACAAAATGTGTTGGGTGTACTGAGTTCTGGAGAGTTCGCTAATGTTAAAACGTGACTCATTGACCGATCCTGTCGAGCTGACATGGTGGCATTGAATAAAAAAAGCATATGGGTGTTACTGAGACAAGAATGATATACAAATCGAGGGTCGCCAGCAAAACCAATGGTTGGTACATGTTGAAAATCAAATCCAACCGAGAAGACGTACCACAATCCCCGTCGTTATGCGGTTCTAACTGCCTGGGGGATTGAATGAAGACAAATATAGCCTTCTCCTTGCACTGGAAATGTTGCTGGAGAAGTCCCCTGCCCGCCCCTGGAAATACAACTTGCGGTCTCGTATGCACAGATGTCAGGGATAAGACCAGGATGAAGATGAGGGGGAAATCATGCAGAATGTCGGCTTAAATGTGTTGTTATAACTTGCTGTAGATGGACATGGAATATCTCGAGAGACATGTGGTGGAAAGGGGATGAATATCGTGGAAGGACAAGGACGGTGGACCCGAAAGACATAGCGTCTTAGATATAATAAGATATCAGTGTCCACCACTGAGACGTGAGGAATTCGGCGATTCGTATTTAGGAATATGATGACAATATCTCGGACAAATCTAATGAGGTAGTGAAGCAGCAGGTGGTGAGCAGAGCACTAAGTGCGACGATGGCTTGCTTTCATGTGGAAGTAGATGTGATGGTGATAGTGGGAATGGAGACCGTGAACCGGAATGTACATATACACTAATCTAAAGAGCCTAATATATAGGGTCAATACTGAGCGCACAGACCAGCCAGGGAATACAGCGAAAAACGATACCAAGTCCCCGAGACAAAAGTCGAGCGCCCTGAAAGCGGAATCAGACATGATAAATAACAGTGGCTCCTTGATGTACGGGGACAAAAGAGGGTAGAACACGCGAAGTCTCAGAGCAGATATGAAATTCCTCGAGGTGGAGAGCATCGAGACAACATTGAGAAGACCTCTGACAGTTGTATGGTCAAGCCACGAGGTCGACGGAGCTGAGCCACGTCGCGAGTAATCCCGGGACGAGCAATCGCCTCTTCTCCCACTCCCTCACGCTGTTCCCGTCTTTCTGCTCGTCCTCGTTCTCTACGTACTCCTAACACCAAATGCATACATGCTAGCTTTATTATAAAGTAACCGCCCCTTCTGATGTACAATGCCGGCCTGTCCTGATCTATGTTACCGCAGGGTGCAGCGTTCTGTTTCAGCCTTCGCTAGACGGGCCTATCTCTTTTTGCACCATAGTCGGGACCTTCGATGGACTCATAATTGCATAGTCAGTAACATAATCTGCATCGGTGCATGATGCTGACTGACTAGACATGGCCGTGAGGTGATGTGTCATTGTTTTCCGTTAATATGTGGTGAGAAAGGGACGGGAACTCTGCTTATCCGATGACACATGAAGATATATATCTCTCGGTCATAGCACACTCGCGGTATTCTACTGATTCTACGCTATTTTTTGGTTGAGAACGGTTCTCAAGTCTACCATATGATCTGACTCATCTTTCCCCCATAGGTATCATACAACGTACCAAGGCTATTCCTATGCCTTGCCTAGTTTGCTACCGCACTCTCTCCCTCGTCACTTATGTATCCATCTCTTCACAGTGTCGAGCGCACCCTTCGGCGATGGAAGACCACGTCGTGGACTTGTTCGATAATACTATCAGCGCTATGCGTCATATTATGTCGAAAGTACCTTCACTTACGCTGAAGCATCCTGGAGCACAGAATAAACGGAATCAATTGACGCACGACGGCGATCACTGCTAATGGTCCGATCGCAAGCATTAGTCGTCATAGCATACAGAAAGTGAATTAGTGTAATTTCACTTACGCTGGAATGTCCTCCCACATAGAATAAACTGAGTCCACCGACGCGCAGCGGCGAATACTGGTGTGACATGGGACCAATTCGCACTCGAATGATTCTTTGTTGCCGACTGTTCTCTGAGTAAGGATCTCGGTCCCACTGTCGTTATTGTCTATCGGAGGAGAAACCGTGAACGTTCTAACAAAGTCATGATCGTTCTCGGCAACTACTTGGAGCGTCTTCTTTCGGGCTTCCAGGGTGGCGAGGGCGTTCTCACATTCCACAATCCGCTCTTCTAGTCTATCCACGCGGTCTCGGTGTTTTCTGTTTCCTACCTCTTTAGAATCACGACTGTTAGTACAGATTAACTTCACCATAATGCAAGACTGTACCTCCTGCAAAAAATTTCTTGGTATGCTCTTCTCGTTCTGTCTTCTCAGCCCGTATCTCCTCCAAAACCATGCGCACCCAGATTTCCGTATCCGATATGATCTGGACGGTTGGAAGTTGATCGATTTCCACTTTTGAAGGGATGCTGCGACCCTCTAGGCGTTTATGATACCTTTTGTGCGCCGACTTGTACTTTTCATATGACTCCTGTTTCTCCTGACCGTGATCCTTGCAGAATTTGCTTCGGGGAGCGGCCTTCACATTACAGCGAGTACCTTTGTCCTCTCTCCATGTCTGACAGTTCTTCGACTTTACATCTATAGCCAAAAGTCAGATAAGTAGTGTCGAGCATCACTGATGTTCCACGTCTGCCTATGGCTGCAGATGTTAGGGACTTGCCTTTTTTCCCCATGATAAGCTGAAATCGCGTTTTGAAGAGAGGAAGGTGGATTGTGTCTATAGACGCTTAGAGGGTGCTCGACATCTCAATGAGAGGTATCCGAGAGTTCATGTGGCTGAAGCTGAGAACAACGACATCGATCTAAACCTATCGTAGTTTTCACAGACTTAAAATTGAACTATTTATGTCATCCAGGGGTAGCATATGATTACCTGTGAGCGGTTTTTAGTCCTGAAAAGTAGCTCCGGGTGATTAGGCCCTCCCGTTCGAACTGGAATAACCGCTACTTAGTAGTGGGTTCTTAGGTTGTTCTGTATTCTGCCTCCGTTTTGCAGTAGATCGACTTTTGTTGACTGAATGGGTGGCTGTGCTGGTCTAGCCCTCTCTGTCATTTGTTCCTCCCGGCTTTTTGTTTTTCGGCCCGTGCGCCTCTACAATTGCTTTTCAATCTCCGCTGCGTGTCTCACCGCTCGCCCTTGAATTTTTTCGGTGTGCGGCTCCTTCTCCCATTCCCTTAGCGTCGCCGCTCTCTGGTCATTACCTTGTCGATTTGATTTTGGTGCGTCTACAACAAGCGCTTTGCTCGACTGCTTTGCTCCAACTCTGCCAACTCTGCTCTTCATACTCTGTCGTCATGTCTGTGCGCTCAATCTCATATGCTTGCGCGTCTACGTTAAATCGCCCGTCTCCTGCCTCAGAGGAGGCGCCTTCATGCCCTTCTCCGCCCTTGTCGTTAACATTTTCTCTACATGTCACCTGCTGAAAGTTCTTCTTAGTCTTATCCATAAGTTGAAAGTCTTGCGCGAATCCACTCGCCCCTTCGTCGATTCTCCCTCGGACTCTGTCGCCAACATTACGTGGAGATCGATAACCTCGACGACGAGGAGTTCGACTCTATCACTATCGGTAACGCTCAGGCTTCTCCTCCAACACTCCCTGACGTAGCCATGGACGACTTGCTGGGATCCATTGACGAGGGCCTCGAGACCGACGCGGCCAATAGGCGTAGGAGAGCCGAGAAGAAGAAGATGGCTAAGAAGTAAGGCCTTGTTAACGTCGCCGCTAATGGCGGGCATCTGGCATTCTTTCTGAATTCTTTTTGGCGACGTATCTAACGCTGTACGTTCTTTCAAGCCCCCGTCTGATCTGTGGCAACTCTTTGTCACCCTCTATGGTTTATAATCTTTGTCAGGGCAATCACTTGGCGTCGCTGCCTCTTTTTCCCGTTTCTTGTGTTTCCTTTTTTCCGTTCTATTCATCATGTGTCCGACCTTAATTGCGCTCCGTGTTTGTTTCGACCTCGCAGCTACACTCTTTACTTATGCATTTTTGCGTTCTCTCCTTTGTACCATTCCGACTCTTATTGTTTTGTTGTCAATAGAAAAATGCTGCTTGGTCCTATTCCTTTGTGTGAAATTTGCCGCTATCTTGCTATCTTGTCAATGCTGCACGGGCAGGCGTGGCGGGCGTTGCCACTTGTGGCCCTTCCCGTGCTTATAATTACATGGTCGTTCTATGGACTAATCTCCACTATTCCACCGTGAGCGGCATCGTTCTCCCACGCTATAAATGCAGGATTCCTTTCCACCAGGCTGGTCCTTGTGCGCCACACGTTTTCGGCAGCCGCACATAGCTGCGCATGACTAACGCTACAACAACGTCTTCCCCACTAACACTAGCTCACGAAAGAATCTAAATCGATGAATTCCTAAGCTTCATAATCCTGAAAACTCCGATTGGCGACAACTTTAGTCAACTTCATGCTACTATCAGATTATCTTTGAGTGCTAAAAGTGCCACCGGTCTGAATTGGCACCGTTGGTGGACGACTCTAGTACTTTCACTCTAACAACTAGGTCTGACTTAGGGTCTATCTACATCGATGCTACTGAAGATAGCTCGATCTCGCATACAACTGTCCTCCTCGAGGCCTGACATTTCACGCGACTGCAGGAAGAGAGTGGAATGATTCCACTCTTATGTCACCCGTCTCGATTTCCCCATAAATACACAAGCTCGCGGATCCTGGCACTTTCCTTGCAAAAGAAGAAAATAACAGAAAATGGAGTCAGTAACGAGGATCTGAATCCGCCGTCAAGGAAGAAGCTGATACAAGGACGAAATATATGAATGATTACATATCGTCACTGACTGTTCCGTGCTGAGTGAATATGAAGATGGCAGTACTAAAATTTCAAGTACTGAGACGTGGGCCCACGCGTTTCCGCTAAAGCAATATTCCTGTATTCTTCTGTAGATGTCGAAAGCCACTTGAACGTTGAGAGATATGAGTGGGGAGGAGAAGGTGGGATCGATGCATGCAGCATACGAGAAAGGGGATGGTACACCTAAGGATGCTACGAGCTTGGAGTAATTTCCGTAAAGAGGCAGCGGTGATGAAGTTATGGGTGAAGGTGAAGGTCGATGAAGAGGTGACGAGGAAGAAAAAAGCATGTAACGTCGACAGTTCATGGTCCTTCATGGCCCAATACTCGATCTCGACGAATGTACGGCTGTCTCGGATTAGGATGACAACACGGCTGCAACTCTTACTGAACCATCAGCACGGCAGTAACCTGTGTTTACAAATCATTTATTATCTGTCTATTCGTAAGGAAGAAAGGATTGAAGACCCAACTCCAACTCGAATGAAGGGAAAAATCAAGAACAGCACACGACCACGGCCCACGACACGTCTCCGACACGTACTGCAGCTCGACCACTCGATCAATGTGAAGCTAATGTTCTGGCAATATGACACGGAGCGCATGCTCGAGGTGTTATGGAGCGAGATCTAGATTTACTACACATCACATGCGCTCGAAGGATCATACAGAGTAAGGCTCTTCGGCTGTTCAAACTTCGAGCTTCGTTCGAATTCAGAGCCTCGGATGAACACCCAAACAGGGATAAGAATGCCCGAACGTTCAACTCCCCGAAAGTGAATAAGAACGTGAGTTTATACGCAGGAAAATAGACAGCTAGACAGCCGTACGCGTCCAGGCAGTGCGGCCAATCAGGCAGCCTGTCCAAGTCAAAGCTAGCCGTTCGCCCGAGACGATGGCCTTTCGCCCGGGGCGATGTCCCTTGATCGGAGACGATGACAACGGCCGTTCGCCCGAGACAATGGACCCGATACGATGAGAATGACGATGCATCGAGCAAGATATTCGAGCATTGTCTGAGGTCGAGGCCGAAAGGCGACGCATTCCATCCGCAGAACCAACCTCTACCATCGAATAAAAGTGCAAAATGAAACGGAAATACTAAACGTGAGGATCGAACAAGAGCGATAGAAACGAGGTGCGGCGGAAAAAATACGAAAAGCAAGGACAACCAAAGTCGAGCCAAAAAAAGAAACGCACATTCTGCTACCCCCAATGACCTCCCTCATATGCATGTTCGAGATCTCACGCGATATCTTGCAGACGAGAAAAGAAAGAGAGGCGCAATGGGTGAAAGACGAAGGGCGAGGGAAAAAGAGTGGCGTATATATCTCAAAAGCGAAGCAAAATCATCGCACAGAATCGCCGTGCCGGCAGTAGAATAAAAAGACGAAACAAACGATGAGCCAGTCCCACTTACATTCGGTCGCGCGAGGAAGATGCTGCGTTTGCGGGGGCGAGGTTGTGAACGGAGACGATCATGCGTGAGGACACGACTGTTAGGTTCGATGGTAAACAATAAAGCAGTGAGCGATACGGAGGATGAAAACGAGACGGGGAATGGGGACGAGGAAAAGGGAGAAAAGAGGAGAGGAGGAGGATGAGAGGAACACACTAGAGAACTTTTTCTTGACCGTACAGAGATCGGTGCCCTCCATGGCCTCGATCATCTGCGTCTTGTGGAGCGCGAGCACCTTGTTGCGCACGGTGAAGAGCGGCATTTGGCATTCATATCTGAACTCTGTGGGACGACGTTTAACAAATAATCAACCATGGCAAAAGAGCCATACGCACCTTTGCGATCGGGGCAACAAAAAGTCTGCCCATGACACCGCACCACATACTGCCCAGCCGAATTCTGGATACTAAAAACTGAAACACCACGTCTTCTCCTTTATGACGAGCGTCTCGACGTGGAGGGCGCAGAAGGCGGCATCAGGGCTGGAGGAGGACGGATTTGGGTGTAGTGTCCGAAGAGACCCATTGTGAGTCGTTTCGATGTGGGTAATTGCCTTTGGGCGAGCGTGGAGGTATGGGAGGGTAGAACGCGAGGTTTATAGCGCCGAGGGAGCAACGGGGCGATGCACAAAGCGTTCGACCTAAACGTCGAGTGCCAGTTGAGACAGGGTCTGAATCGGCCGCTGTGCACACCGACCCCGAGCATTTAGTGTGCGCATTGTTTGGGCCTGCGTGGTGGTCGTGTTCAGTAGTTTGGGGAGAAGACAGCAGAAGCCAGCGAAGGCGAAGAGCGATGGTCGAAGGTTGGGACGAAGCGATGTGGCGACGCGATGAGCTCTTTGGATTGAAGTGGCGCAGAGCGCCGGAGTTCCATCGTACCACGTCGTATTCCGATTTGCATGACAGTCCTTCCAATTATCGTGAGACTACCTGAAAAGGATAGATTGGCGAGTAGATGTCCTAGCGCACCCGGAGATCTCAGTCAAGCAAGCACCGGTGATTCAAATTTCGCGTACCATCATGGTCGTGGGTGGCCTCTCCACGCTAGGTTTGGAGATTAGACTGAAGATAAACAACGGTGTCGATATCTTTTCGATTGTGCAGCTCAAGTCTCGTCAAAGAACTCTATGATATTCTGCCAAGGTTCCTGACCTCCGCCGCTCTTTCTCGCCGTCCTGAGACCTTCAACGGCACTGAAGGTGGTTATCCTAATGAGACTACGTCGGATAATCCTGAACATAATGCAGACACGCGATGGCGCTGTTGACGATCCCAAGGGCAGTTATTCTCTATCACGAGATAACTGTTGACACCAAAAGACGACAGGCATAACCGGATGCTTTTCGAATGATGGTCAGGTATATATCACTCCATCTCCGATGCAAAGTGACTGACATATCCTCGCCGCCGTCATATCTGAAAGACAGGGGCTCAAAGCATTTTAAATTCGATCAATCAAGACGCAAAATCATCCAATGATACCCGCAACCTCGACGACCACGAACAAATTGAGATGACAGTTGAGCTGAGAGGCAAGGGCCCGACACTGCTCGAAAGGGCGAAACAGGCACTTCTGTCGATGAGTTCATATCAAAACCCGCTGACAAGGTTCGCCAAGCCCATGGTATATCCGTCTGTAAAATATGGTGTTGGTGCGGCGAGCATTGCTTGGTGTCGCGCTAACGACGTCTAGATATGAGGAGAGTAGACAGAGTGTTGCCTGTGTCTGTCTGTCATCTGCACAAAACGATGCAGTCTCCAGACTCCATGTTTGCCCCATTCACTGTGTTCTATTCCTCTCCAGAGATATAAAATTGCAACTGACTGCCCTCTACGATCTGTGGTTGGGACTCGGCCAAAGCCACAAACATTTCTTTGATCCTGAAGAATGGTTCGGCATGCATATGGGCATATGCCCCGACCACGATCCATTCTTTATCAATGCTACACGAACCTTAGGACATGACGGATTCAAATCGCAACTCGTGCAGCCGAAACCAACGGACAATCAAATCTGGGAGAATTAGAGTGCGAGGAATAAATGGATGATCGACGGTAGTGAAGCAGGAAGTCTAAGCTTTGACTCGAATTCATCGTGTTCATGAGCGTTCTCGATGAACGGCAGAGCCGCTAGCGGAGTCCATGATGCACAACTTCGATGTTTACCAAGCTGGCTGAGTTCACCAAAAGAGAATCACGGAGCGGACGCAATTGGTGGAAGCGTACTGCGTGGAGTACCAGACAAGAGAGGAGCATCGAGCCATAAAATGGCCGTACGCAGGTGCTTACGCGTGTGCGTTGCCACAGCCAAGTGGCACCTCGATACGCCACCAAACAGCGGTGAAAGCAATCCCGGGGTATATCAAGGGAGATACACGCGAGAGAAATATAGCATCAAGGTCTATCATGCTAGACCTGGCGATCGGTGCATCACTAGGGAAGTGCCCATGAGTGTGGGCTGACGAGCGAAAGCGCATGAGACACCATCAAGGCTGAGACAGAGAAACTAGCAGCACTGGCAGTGCGCGAAGGCTGCCAGGGACATTCTTCTTCGTCCGCTATCTCGCCCCCGGGGCCCGATCATTGGATCCGGTTAATATTAGACAAGTCTGTTGTCGGCTGAGTATTCCACCTATTGGAACACGTGGCCAAACAGGGCTCGTCAGTCGATTCCTCAACCCCCGTACTTGTGCCGTAGTAACTTGGATGCAAAGAAAACACGCACGATTGGAGGACGCTCCTTCTCAAGCGAGACTTTGACTAGACCCGCGAGTGATGCGCATTTCGGAAAGGCTTAGAGATGTTGAGGGCGACGGAAAAGTTTACGTGATGGGAAGGCAAATGCGATGTTTTCCACTTTGATAGGGACATCGGACGGCGAAGGTGGACATCGTGGAGTTTCTAGAGAATCTGTCCGGAGGGTTTTACGCGACGACCGAATTAGCCACACTGATCGAGATGGACATGTACGAAGGGGGAGAGAAAAATGGAAAGGATAACCCATACCAGTGATGATTCCCTTCCATCGCCCTCTGCACGTTCTGACTTTACACGTAGGTCGGTGCCCACTCGATAATAATCCATCACCAAATCATTGATCGTCTCCGTCTTTACAGCCATCTCGACCTCCTTTCCAACGTTCTCGAGACCCCTTGCGACATCCGTTTCCGGCTTCACTTCCACCGCCTCCTCGCTGGTCCCCATGTCCGACTTCCACAGATTCGAATTCGGGTGCGGGACCTTCCCACTGGCCTCAATAGCTTCCGTTCAATCCGCCACACGAAACACTGTCGTCCCCTTTGACGTCGATATTGATCTCTGCGAGCTCGCTCATCCGGGCCACGCCCCTCGCGATGAGGGAGAGCTCAGAAGAGGATAGAAGGAAAGTAGCGATGTAACCGGTTTCGGGAGTGCAGAGACGCTCTGGTTCGACTTGGGTTGCGCGGACGTCGGTGTCTGAGATGCGGGTTCTGTCTGCGTGGTTGGAATAGGTACGATGATAGAGGGGGATGGGGAGGAGGGTAGGTGCGGTATTACATTTCCGTCAGCCATGACCATTGCGTTTACAAGTCTAGCAACCACCTGATGGCTTTTAAAGGGATGGAAGGCCAAAGAGAAATTTCGGAGAAGGATGCGTACCTTTCGCCTCATACATCACACTCAACGCATCGACTGCCTTCATCACCGTCGAGATCGCTCTATCCTCATCATCCGCAAAGCTACGTATCTTGGCTAAATCCTTCGTATTGAGCCGGTAATATGCGATCAAGGACAGTCGTGATGCACCAAGTCGTGAGCGAAGAGAGTGAGGATGCAGAGTGCCCGCGAGCCCTTGTCTGGCATGGCTTGAAGAGACTGCCGAACGGAGAGAGTCGAATAACATTAGTATAGCTAGTCATGCCCGCATCAAGGAAGAAATAAAACCATACGGCTCTCCAGCTCGAAATACATTTTGAAGCCGCCCATTAGGTCTCCTATAGCTGGAAGGGTTGGACAAGGGTCAGCTTGACGACTCATGTTCAAGTTTGGATGAACGCAATGAGATAAGCTGTGAGCATCGGAGCAAGAAAACGACGCCACCTTCAGCTATATCATTTCAACATATTCGCACTGTTCAAGGCCTAGTATTGACCATGGTATAATAACGAGTCAGTCGATATCGAGGTGCTGAGGTCGTGGTTGTAATGAGCAAGGGACGGGTGCCACTGTGTTGTGGCGTTCGGCCGAGAGCCGAAGGCTTTGGAAATCAACAGGTACAAACAACCACGTCGCTTTCATTCGTTGACTTCCTCGCGCTGTCTGAGACCCCTGTTCTATCCACTCGCTCACTGCGTATAACTGGATATCACACTCTAGATCCATGAGCTGCTCCCTTCAGTATGGACCTCGACGCGCTACCCTTGTGGTCTGACCCACGACCGGATATTCTTTTCTTGTCCTTTTCCTGCTTGTCAACCGACGCTCACTCGGCCTATGTCGAGCACTGGAAACTCCGAGAGGGATTCAGACCTGAATCGGGTCGCGAGGCTCGACCTCCAGAGAGATATCTTTGATGTTGAATTGACAGATGATACCGGTGAAGAAGACAGGCGTAGGCATCCACCCGCGGACTCGAGGGAAGGACCGCAGGGTAAAAAGAAGTTTACTGCAGAGGCTTTGAAAAATGCAGTACCGTTGTATTCATGCATTTAACTTTCCCTAACATTAAGAGGCCACCATGACTTGCTATTGGATATGCTCTTTCACAAGCAAAATACTAGGAAAGTCATCCGTCGGTGCTACTACTTGTCTTTCACCGAGCTTAGTGAATCCTAGGCTTTCGTACCACGCAGCCTTCGCAAGGATTGTCGATCAATATCAGGATTGAACAAGAATCCAGTAGGACAAGATATAGGCAGCTTACATTGTCCGCAGTCTGCGTAGACAGTCCCACCATTCTGTGCTCGCGCGCCGCCTGAACTAAGTGTCAGTCATTTTCGATGGCGATGTGACTTCGATGAACGTCGCACCTGGTCACAGACTGCATTCATGATAGATGTGGCGAGACCTTGGTGCTGCTCAGCAGGGTTGGTCGCAATGAGACTGACCACCCATTCCGTTCCGAGCTGTGGAGGCAATATTTGACTCAGGTTCACAAATGAAATACAGTTCACAAAGGAGACGCGCCCAGATACTTACATTTGGGCCTAGTAGAGATCTCAACCATTGAATATTGTCCTTCTGAAACTGATCAGCGGTGAGGATGTCAGTAGATTATAGCAGATGCGAGCATATCATGAACTTACACCCTCCCACCAACGTTTCGTTTCAGGGGATAATCCGTCCCAAAGCTCATAGAATCCCAGTTTCCGCTGCTCTTCGCTAGACCATAGTATAAGCTAGTGCAAGATCTGTCGTGCAAGGGAACTCACCTTCCCCAACAAGAGACGCCTGGCGGAAAGCAAACAGACACCGAGGAGATAGCAGAGGCATCTTTTCCGTCGTTCGCAATATAGAGCGAGCCTTCGAGCGCGCCACCTCGTAGCATAGAGCGGAAAAAAATGTCGGCAAGATTGAGATCACCTCCAATCATAGCTTTTAGCGCAGTATCTGTGAGAGGTCCAAGTTAGCAATAGGGATACTTAATACACTGGTGCATACACTGACCGCCGTCGTATGCGCGGATACAGATTCCGACCGCACAGTCAATCTGGGCATCTATGAACTCAGTTCGGTGCTCAATACGTCTCGGAGAGGTGGGGCTCACCCGTTGGATGCGGTACAAGGTATGCTGGCATGAAAGCGGGATGAGTGGGGACGGCGGGCGTGAACAAGTCACAAGAGCAAATACTTACCTTCGTCCGGTTAGATGGCACCGTTGTGAGCGGAGTGGCAACATCAGGTTTCTGCCGAGTTGCTCATGAGAGAATTCGGAGCAACATGCATCATCTTCTATCGCTTGTTCAGTCCAACACGATGTTCTGATGCACTGATACGTTTGAGCGTGGGTATGCATATTGCTTCCATGGAACACTCTTGATGTGAACTTATATCGAAAAAGAAATATCTAGAGCGATCTGTTAATCAAGATGGGTCTGACGGTCGAGTGCGATTTCTTCGTGCCTTATCTCTGATCGGCCCGTGCACCTGCTCGACTCCCATGGTGGAAGACGCACGCAAAATCGACAGCAGCAGGATACATTGGTAATGATGTACACCGTGACAAGCCAACAGGACCCAGGTATAATATGTTTTATCATGGAGATTGGGTCGGAGTAGGATAGCCGTCACAAATAGCCGCACCGTAAAGCAGCATAGAATGCAGACGAGAGAAGGGGAAAAGCAGTCAATGGCGAGTAGGTCTGAGTCAAAACCGCCGTTGAGGGGAAAGAATCGGAGGAAGAGACGCCAGAAAGGGTATACCGGTATGGAATTGGGATCGATATTGGGTGTCGAAGGAGTGTGACTGCAGAGCGCTCGGGGCTGTGCGTAGGAACACGAAGTGCCATGGTGTTTGGGGGCACAGAGAGATAGAAATTGTGATGCCTGAGCGGGGTGACATTAGGAATTGTAATAGACCGTATCTGCAGCCCAAAATATGAATGGGGACTTGAGAATATCAGTCTTTCTCCTGAAAATTTGAAAGTTTGGAGCGATAAAACAGGCGTGGAGCGAAGGTCTCAAATGGCGGTCGGAGGCCGTCCGAGCCAATCACAACGCGCAGACAGTGCGTTTCCGGCTTCCTACGACTTTTGAACGTCCAGCTTCGGTTATTTTCGAGTCTGCTGATAAAAAAGTGAGTGATTCTTTTGTTAAGAAATCTCTCATATTCTGGGCTGCAGATACGGTCTAATGTGCAAGATAAAACACAGAGGAAGAGAAGACGTGGTTAGAGCCGAGGTCGGCATGTTTTAACTTTTAAGAGGACGAAGACGTGACGCTCTTCGAAGTGGGCGATGAGATCGTGCATGTCGGGGAGACCGCAGCATGTTAAGTCTGGGCGCTGGGACACGTAGCGCAGTCTGTAATCTGTCGTCACAAGTGGAATACCCAAGGCGGATAGAAAGGCATGATTCGCGTTCGAAAGCTAGGAGCGATAGAACGTGGGATAACATCCCGAGAGCACGAGGGAGCGAAACCGAGGGCGAAGAGTGTAGGGTCAGTAGAGCAGAAATGAAGAACGGGAGAGAGCGACATACTCGAGGATTTCTTCTACCGTCCAATCCATGTGGCCCGTCGTATATCCGACCTGATAGTCTCCAACATCGAGCAAATCCTTGCTTAGGTTTTCAGGCCTTGTTCGGCAATGTTGTATGAAAGTAAATGTTCGGCAGCAGGAATGGGATGCATCCCATGGTCTATTCTACCCGTCAGGTTCAAACTAAACGAGAAACATGAAGCGTTTGGACCTTGCGTCTTGGTAGTTTGAGTTGCTGCTGTATGTACGAAACTCGGAGTTTTTGTAGATTGACAGCCGCGGACCCAGTGGCGTCACACATGCCATTTCATTTTGTCGAAGAGATCCGAAAGTATTTCCATTGTTAGCCAGCCATCTTCCGAGAGGGTTTGAGGAAGTGGATGGCAACAGGCACGGAGCAAGAGTCGAGTAAGACGGATGTTGTTCTTCTGACGGACTCGGAAGCAAGTCTAAGCAAGTGCGGAGGTCAAGCCACGAGGTTGACGGGGCTAACCCACGCGAGTGATCCCGGACTGATAAGATAAGATTACAGCAGCCTGTTCCCGCCTTTCCGCTCGTTCTCGTTCTCTACGAACTCCTAGCACCAAATGCTTACATGCTAGCTTCATTCTAAAACAAGTGAACAGCTCCCTCTGATATACAACGCCGGCCTGTGCTGACCTACGTTACCGCAGGGTGCAGCGTTCTGCTTCAGCCTTCGCGAGACGGGCCTGTCTCTTTTTGGTCTATCGTCGGGACCTTCGATGTAATCATAAGCATTGCATAGTCAGTAACATAATCTTTATCGGTGCATGATGCTGATCGAGTAGACATGGCTGTGAGGAGAGGTCTCATTGTTTGCTTTTAATGTGTGGCGAGAAAGGGGAACCTCCACACCATTCCTCTCCGTCATATTTTGTCCTCCATCCCTATCCTCAAGAGCCATTATTCCCCCTCCACAGCCTCCATCCACACCTCCTCCCGCGTTCCCTGTCGTTCCTCCTCATCCACCACCTCACACCCATATTCACACCTCCACCATACTGCCCCTATCCAAGTTGCTCAACAGTCCAAAGTTAGGTTTGCGCTCATAGACATGTCGGTCGCGCATAGCCAGGAGGCGCATTTCAGGGACCATTTGAAGCGGGTCGAGGATTGGTCGTGCGTTGATAAGATGTTGGTGGGGAGGATAGCGGAAGTCTATGGCAAGGCTAAGAGGACGGATGAGGGATGAGGGAGGTGGAGAGACGGCGGATCGCGCAGGAAGCTTGTCATGGGTTGTTGGAGGAGAGGGTGAGTCGCTGGTGGTTACACAGACATCCTATTCAGACGTGGGTGGCTGACGCCTTCGATTGGTTGGCGTAGGAGAGATTTGTCGAGCGACAGGACATGATCGGCCAAAGGCTGGATTCTTTGCAGGAGTTGGAGTACCCGAGGAGGATGCTAGACCATCCGGAAGACTCGCTCGTCCTCCAGACCGATTTCCTGTACGTGATCGAACGTGTCAACGTATGCATCAACTTCTCAAGACTCACGTACGTCCGTCTCCCTTCTCCTCCTCCTTTTTCTCTGTCCTCGGTTTGTCCTTGTTGCTAACCTCCATCTGAATGTAGCGCCATTTTCGGCAAGCGGAACTCAACCTCCTCCCTAATGTATAACCCGCGCGATGACAATCATCAATATGTTCTTCGTTGGATCTCCCCGTGTACTCACGCTGGGCCTCACACTTCGATTATCTAGGAGGTACGTTCTTTAGATTAGTTGTGTATATGTATCACGTCCATTGTACCCGTGCCACACTGCTGTTCACGCCACACTACCTTGCGTCCGCTCCCTTGCACCCCTCCACTTTATTCTTGTCTGAAAACGTTTATAGCGATCGTCGTGACACAGGACATCTGGTCTACAGCACTACACCAACTCTCGTACACTCGCTTCCTGTCTTCCCCCATCAACTAGCTCCGCCCCTCTCCTCGATTGAGCGATGAGCAGCATCGCATCTCAATCATCTCGCTGCTCTTTCACAGGTTCGTGTCCACTTCTCACATTATCATTTACCCGAGCTCTTGAGATCGTTGTTTTGTCTCTCGTGCATTGACACTGAGGCTGATGTATCATTCAGGATCGTCATACGGCGTGGTTCGCAACGCAGAAAGAGAGTTGGAGGTGGAGCGGCTGGGTCGTCGAGGTGGTACGTCTTTTCTTCACCTTTCTTCGTCATCCATTCCCTCCCCTATGTCAAACCTTGCAATAATTTCAGACATGCTCGATAGAATGGGGACTGACCGTGTTACTTTCGACGCATACTTTCCTCGTTGCAGTTTGAACGACTATCCCGAACGTGGATAATCGCACTCACGGATGCCTGTGGATACCTAGCCGATGAATGGACTGACGAACGAACGAACGAACCGACGTCTGAATGGATGGTCGTTATTTGAAGCAGCTCCGCACGGACGAGTGGGAGCTGTGTCGGTGTCCTTTCATCTGGAGCTTTAGTGCGTATCTCTTTCTTTCTTCATTTTCCCTTTCATCTTCTCGTCCTGTTTCACTTTCATTCTATTCTACATTTCTACCCTACTTGATATCTATGTATCTCCCTCTTCGCTACCCAGTCACGGTGTGGCTGCCATGTCAGCTGTTTGAGTCCGTGCAGATATGTCCCTTTTTTTGTTCTATTTTTCACTCCGAGGACATTTCGACCGTCTCTTCGCTTCTGGATCGTCTTCCGCCCAATTTTGAGCCAAAGAACATTATCTGCAGGGTCTTGTCCTCTGGCGCATGAAGGGACGTACGTAGAGATAAACGCCCATCTTTCGCGGTTTTCTGCGTCTATCGCCAGCGACCTTCGCAGACCTCACACAGTTGTCGTCTATCGCTCATCACCGCCTCCGCATTCCTCAAATCACAGCCATAGTCGCACTCACACCTGTACTCATGACCGCGTTCGACGTCGCAGTCTCAACCTTAATCACCCCGATTTTTTCTTCGCCACCGCCACCACCTCATCTGGCACGTCCACGTCCAACCTCCACACCATACCCGTCCTCAACAACTCGCGCAACAGCCGAAGACAAAAGTTCATCCGTGGTCGGAGACGCGGTGTATGCATTATCGGGCCGAGGAAGGGAGCTGCGCGCGATGGTTTTCCTCGTGAGACATTCCTGAAGGCATCGGAGCGGGTTGGAGGGGCTCATGAGTCGTGAACAGTTTGGAGGCGGATTGTAGGTCTCCTGTCAGGGCTCAAATGAGTACATGATGGGTATGCATTTGGCGGGATGGAAGTGAGTGGGGGTATAAGGGAAGGAGTTATTGGAGTTGGGGAATTAGGAGGGCTGACTGTGGCGTGAGCAGTACGTTTCGCACCACGTCTCTTGGTTATTGAATTTTTTATTTACCCGCATTTGATTGTATCCATTGACGTATATGCTTTCACATCGATGATGAGCCGCATGTCTACCCCAAGATGATGCGTTTTCCGAATATTTGGCAGTGTCGAGGGGCGAGGACGGTTCTGATGAACCTTTGACACCGCGGAGAAGCTACATGTTCGCGGCTCCTGCGGAATGAGATATGGCGGCGCCTAGTCCGGTATCGTGCGTACACTGCATATGTGTACTCCAGACTATTTTCTTCCCGAAAGGCGGTCATACTAATACTGATCTGCCGATAGTCTTCCTGGAGAATTTACGAACCCAAACCTTATAGTGAGCATCAGAACTTATGTTCTCCCGGTGATGAGGCATGGGCCATGATGTCCGAGGAGCGCCTCCGCACACTGGAACGGAAATAATCTGCGACCTTCTGGTAATGCACTATCAGTGGAGAATCCCGGGTCTTCAACTCCAGAATATCCGGTAGGTCGCACACATTCCGTAAGTAGGGCGTATTTCTTGATGTCAGCCATACCTAGACAAGCGTGTCCAAACCGCGCCTACGCATCTGGAGAAGCTCTCTTGTCTTCCTGATTCTGATGTCGACCCCAGAACTGTCCGTCTTCCATTCTGTGGAATGTGGCTCTGTTACCCGACCACCCTTTTTCAAATCGGGAGACAGCGGCTCGCCCTTCACACTGAGCAAGACTATAGTAGTAGCTGATATCATTCAATCTCACAGCCCGCTCCGTATGGCTATGCGTCTTCTTTCGTATGCAGCAGCCTGTTCAGAGATCAAACTCATTGCGATCCCCCGACACTATTCTCTTCCCTTTGAACGGTTGCAGAAACGCAACGGATATCATGCATCGAGCTAGCGCCAGCTTATAGCGTTTGGGCCAAATATATTTCCACGTCATCACTTCGGGGATGTGAAGCACAGGAAACCCCTTCAAGCGGCGCCGCCAATGCAGTGACCAAGGAAATTCATTTATAAGACATGCATGATCTTCACAAGGTCCGCCACCCAATGGCGACTGTCATGTATTCTCTTCTCGTTACGAACTGCACCGTAGTTCACGTTGCTGTGCTCATTTCAATCGTGCTTGTATACCGCAGGCTTTTTGTAGGACGGAGATCTTCTCTTGATCCGTTGCCCTATCCAGATGTATGTAATATACTAGAAGATCACAGCCGTAGACATAAACTACTTCCTAACGAACAGTATTCAGGAAGAACCGGAGTGGATATGGGGTCACGAAAAACGCGTTTATGACAGCCCTCCAGGGCAGGCGTACTTACGGTGGATGAAGAGTGTTGGGCATACCTACCGCATTCGTGCTGCCCTTGGTGTGAGTGCTTCCCTCCACCTCTTACATTGGCCACTAAGTTGTCAATTTGCTTTACCAGGCCCCTGACGTTGTGAGTATATTATTAGGGATAGCTACCTCTTAACGCTGCTCTGATATATCTTGAAGCTTGTTCTGGGCGATCCGCTCGCCATTTCTTATATTCTCCAAGAGAAAATTTACGACTACCGTGAGTGACTGATTCCTTTCGTGTGCATATCATACCATACTATAATATCGCTTCCTGTGCCCTAGACCATAGCGCTGTGGTACGCCCTAGGGTGGCTCGCTTCCTGGGAAAAGGCTTAGGTTGGGTCGAGGGAGAATCAGAGCATAAACGAATGAGACGTCTTGTCAGCCCTGCATTCTCGTCAGTGCTACAGCTACAGTTACAACTTTTCATCATTTGAGCGTTTCTGACCACTTTTTACAGGGCGCAAACCGTTAAAGACATGGAAGGCGAAATATTTCAAGCGACGTCTACGGCTAGTCTCAATAGTCTATGGTTACCTGACTATCGTTAACGTTTTGGATCAGGTCTTAGATGATCTTTCACAAGCAGTCGAGGACTCGGACGGTGAAATTGGCGTAAACATATTGTCATGGACAAATCGAATGACGTGAGTCTCGTCCAGCAGCTATTGTACTATTGTTTATGCTTCCACCGGACTACAGCCTGAATTCCATTGGACGCGTCGTACGTCTCTTACGTCTCGGCCTATGTCGGCTACCGTATAACAAGGTAAATCCCAGGCATTCTTGTACGATTTCGAAGCCGGGAAGAGCCGCGAGGCACAGCTTATATTGGACACAAGGCGGAAGTCGCTAACCGGTATTGCTCGATACGCCTCGTTCTTAGTACGCACCTTGGTTCACTCCCATTCTGGCATTATTGAGACCTTCCACCATTACAGACTCTGATGATGCTCAGGCGGTTCCCTGCTCTCAATAGCCTTCCTGTACCCGCCCTTCAGGCGCAAAGCCTAGTCACGACAACCATAAAGGTACGTCCCTTGACAGTTTTTGAGATTTGGAAGATATATGAATACTGTTATAGTCTGTCGTGGCCAAGGAGATCATAGCGAGAGGTTCTTCAACATCTGATCTCCGAACTCGAGGCAAGGACCTGCTAAGCAGACTCTGTAAGTACTTTAGGATCTCTTGCCGATTGAACCGGGAGATGTCTCACATGAATAGGAAGTGGTAGCCCATGATGAGCAGCACCTTTCAGTCGAGGAACTACATGAGCACGTGCGTGTAACTCGTCGTCTTCAAATTGTTGAAGTTACAAGCTGAAAGAGACTTCAACTAGATATCGACATTTTTGTGAGTGATTTCCTGAAATTGCCGCTCGAGATACATCCCATTAATTGTTCTCCATCCAGAGTTTCTGGACAGGAAACTACGAGCCAAACGGTCGCGTTCTCCATCTTCGAGCTTTCCCGTCACCCAGAGATCCAACAGCGTCTCAGAGAAGAGTTGGACACATCTTACCCATCTTCTACAGGCACGCCGCAGTCACAGCTACCTTATCTGGATGCCGTGCTTAAGGAAACGTAAGCCACAAAATATATTTCGATACAATTCGATCTCAGGGATTTCTCATAGACTAAGGATGTATCCTGCCCTTCCGTACATGGAACGTGTCGCAACTAAATCTGATAGAATTCCGCTTCAAACGCCCATCAGTCACGGTGGAGATCAGGCGCTACGGGACATTCGTGTTGAAAAGGGTCAGGTTCGTAATCGATAGGTGTACAGCGAGAATCAAAAGCACTGATTCTTTCCTCAAGACCGTCATCATCCCAATCATATCTCTTCACCGCTCTGATGCTATCTGGGGCGATGGAAGTGTCTTTCGTCCCGAACGATGGCTTGAAGCTTTACCTCATGAGGCACAGCGTCTTCCAGGGTGGTCCAACTTACTTGCATTCAGTGATGGACCCAGAGCATGCCCTGGAATGCGAATGGGTACGTTACTTTGTCGACAACTGAGCAGACAATATTAACGGCAGCTGTTTTAAGCGATATTTGGGTCAAAGGTAGGCTACTTTGAATTATTCTGACTTCGAATGGGTACTCACGTTGTGCCATCAGCTTATATTAAGCTCTCTTGTCAAGAAATATCGCATAGAAAGTAATAACTCAGAAGTAGTTCTCAGGATTTCGTCAAGTTTGCAGCCTTGGGTGATTGATGATTCGGACCAAGGTCCGCAAGTGCCTGTAACGCTGCACATGCGGTAATCTCGCACCCTTATTTTGTCAAATAATGATACAATATGATGACCGTTTCGCCAGCGACGACTGAAGTGGCTTGGTGGTCCTAAATGCATATCATGATTGTGTGGACACAAGGGTTGTTTCGCACTTCGAAATCAGCGTGGCGACCGATTTTGTATCAATCCCCGCACCGACTTTCTACTCTTCTGTGAACGATTGATTCCTTGTCTACCGATCGCGGTCGAATGATGCACTTGAATGGAATGGGGTAACTGTGAATCATTATGAGGTCCTCTTTCATCTTCCAATTCGTCATTTGTAGAGCTCCCGGGGAGAATCATACCTTACTAAAGCTTCCGTAAATGCTGGGGTTATTCTACTGTCCGGGTCTTCTGAGATATCTAGGGCAGATAGGATAGTCGCGATTGCAATGAATACCGAGTTCTCCGCCAGAGATTTACCCGGACAGACTCTTCAGGATGAGGGTTTTCAGCTTTTATGTTCCTCTTTGTCGCGTGAATGATGCGCATATTACATTGACGAACCTTCTTCCAAATCCAAACAAATAAGTGGAAGGATCGTCCGTTGCTTCGGAAGGGTCGATAAAACGTTCCGGGATGAATTGTTCTGGATCGTACGTGTCGCTGTGCCTCCTTGTGAGCGCCCTTTATTCGTGTCAGACCGCGGATAGATATGGGGAAAAGTCTTTGTGCTGACCATGCATTAGGAAAAACAACAGTATTCTTTGGTATGAAGTATCCCATGTACACATCGTCATGGTCCGTACGGCGAGCGATGCCTAAAGTGATGTCAGATAGAATTGATAAAAGCGTAGGTAGGACCGTTACTAACCCAGCGGTAACACAGGATGCCATCTAAAATAAATCACCGCCATCATTATGAGCAAATATTAACGGGCAAATAAATGACGAACCTCATTGTCTCGTTGATGACAGCTGCTACGTATTTCAGCTGTGTCTTGTCCGAGACGACGGGAAGTCTATGTATCCCTATAACCTCATCGACCTCCTTTTGGGCTTTACGTTGAGTTTCGGGATTCATTGCCATTGCCATCATGAAAGTAAGGATGGTGGCGTAAGTCTGGTTGAATTGCTGGTCAGTAGTATAGTGAATACATCTGTCATAAACCTACCGTTTCGCCGCCCGCTGACAGTCCAGTTCCCGTCAGTGCGAGACAAAAATTCTTTGAAAAGACCCAAATGTTATGCCTACCACCATATAAAGATCCAGTCGCCCACTTAACGGAGCTCTCAAAAGACGCGAAATCGTTACGTTGCAAAGTCAATAGTTCTCGAGTGAGAGATGGTGCAGCGATATTCGTCATCTACTCGGGATTGAACGTCCAAAATCAAGACTTCGATTATGTAGATGAGCACACACCATCTCTCGTTGAACGTGTTCGAAGGGTTTGGTCACAAGGGCTTCAATCATACTTCTCCCATAATGTGCTTGCTTTCGAAATGGCAACCACGAAGGAAGATGCTTCACTACCACTGCAAAGTGAGTAAACTGATATCATACGCGCTCGTATAAGACTTACTCCAAGGCAACAAGTCACAGATGAACGCTCCTGGTACCATTGCGTCTCCCACAATTTTCATGGTTTCTTCTGCCTGAGTGACATACTGATGTACATCAGGAAATGATACCCAAAGAAATATAATACGTGCTTACCTCATTATTGGAACCATCGATGTACACACCGTATACCACAGAGAATATTATGCGCTCCGCGTAACTACGAAAGGTAAATGTGACTCGTCTAGGAGTTTGTCTTTTCGAATGAACTCCGACTTACAGTCGTACATTATCAAAGAATCCTTCGGGGTTTGTGAGAATACCAAGCGCCAATACAGAAGCTAGGTTCTCCTGCACGATGTGATACTTTCTCACGGCAGATGGGTTCAAGGCAACGTGGGCGAGCTTTCTCTGCTCTCGCCACTCACGCCCGTACGGTAACATCGGCATGCTCTAAGGATGACAGTCAGTTTCGATATATCCAATGATGACGCCCATCTTGTCACAGGGAAGGACGGGTTTCCCCCACTTAAATCTACCTGGAGGTCGATGAGCAACGTCATCAACAGGTCAGGTGTGGACTAGAAGACGAGTCACTGCCCCTATGACAAGCTCATGATATGTGTCTTACACGATCCAATCCCATCAGTTCTCCTAAAACAGTCAATACCGGCCGATGAGAATAGTTCTCCCCTCGCTTGTCGAGGAGATCTGTTATGGAAGTCATTGTGCTGAGAACAAGGATGCTGTTCCCTAAGCCCCAAAAGAAGATAGGTTCTCCTGCACGGAAAACATCAGTACAAAAGTGGAATCACTCGAATACATCATTCCAAACCTACCGTAGTCACGATGAAGCTTTGAGAATAATTTCCATGGTCCCGTGTTCGGAATAGTCATGATATTACCAAGGACGGGTATTGCGGGCGGACCAGGAGGATAATGATGGGCACCAGAGTTGTCTGTGTTCCTCTTCAGTATGATTCTGAGCATCAAAAGTGATACAAGTAGAACGAGAAAGGATAGCATATAGTTCATGATGCGCAGCGTAGGAAGATGGGCGTAGGGTGAAAGGGCAATGCAAGGCAAGCGCTTCATTATAAAGCATACTTTATTAAGCCGGAAGTTTCCTGCCTTCCGCGATCATATCTGCTGATCTGAGAGCAGAGGGCCGCCCGCAGTCACAAGGATGCGACTCCTCGGCTCTTAAAGATGGAATGGGGACACTTCGGACACCTATTTCCCACGCAACACTAGAACCGGGACTCGAGAAGTTCCATATGATGGGTATCATCCATCAAGTCATATTTGAATAAAACAGGAATTGCGCTGCAGTGTATCGTACTGAAGAGGTTGACCCGTTCACGACACTTCAAGGTCAAGATCGCTGACTCGGACATGCTTCTTCTTCTACTATTCTCTTTTGGGTGCTCCATCTTGGAACCTACCTTGTATCATGTATACACTTTATATCTATTCACCTTGACTGACTACAAGACCATTTTTATTCCGATTGTAAGGATTTTTCTATCGACTTCCCTTCCAATAACTGATTTATCCAATAGACGGTTTTCGCCTGCTCTACAGCTCCCATACATTCGATCTCCAATCTTTTCCATGGAAGCACATGGATATGGATGCACCTACTGATGTGTAATGTCTCGAATCAACTGAGAGGGGAGCAGGAAGACGCCGTGAATCGACCATGGAGACCACTGCCGTCGACCCGGATGACCAAGAGGCAAGCCACGACGCTCCGGTGGGCTATGGTGGTGTTATGCCTGCTCTACTCTTCCGCCTATGGTCACCGATTAGCATACGTTACTGTCGGCCTTTTCATCACAACATACGTATACGACGATCTAGGGTTCTCTCAGAGTCCGCTCGGAAAAAGCTTTTGTAACGTTGGTGGTTATGCGACTTTCGAGATCGGCGCCACAAAGATCATGGGTAGGTCTTATTTTTTCACGCTGAAGAAATGATCTCAAAATAACAGCCTACTATCATTTGCGGAATAGGTGCAGAACACGAGCTAGACACTACCTCACTTGCGTCCGTCTTTCTTAGCGGCATGGTGATATTTACTACTATCCAAGTACAGGACTATCCCGACATCGAAGGCGACACAGCGTCTGGTCGGGTCACCTTTCCAATTTATGCACCCGAGTTCTCGCGATTATTCACTCTGTCATCGATCATTATCTGGTCCTTCGCCTTGTCATGGTTCTGGGATATCGGCATCCTGAGTCAGTGCTTTCTCGCAGGATTGGGAGTATACGTCGGTGCTCGTTACTATCTCCATCGGACACCAATCGCGGATAAAAAATCATACAAGCTCTTCAACGTAATTATTTCTCGTTCTAGTACACTTTATCAAATGCTCAAATATTTGCAATTCGGTGTTATGTCAGGTTTGGCTGGTGCTGATACATCTTCTTCCACTCCACGCCCGCATCCGTGTGTTTCTCTATTAGATCATTGACCTCCGGAACCCTGTTTCCTTGTAAGATTGATCGTGTTCAACTCGAAGTGCAGCTGATACCATTCCTTGTCTAGGCCACTGGAAATGTATTTCCCTCTTATCGTTGGAACCAAATTTCTGGGATTCTGAGAGATGCCGGAGCTAAAACGCACATCATGCTGGTATATTTTTGTCCTTGTTTCTCGTTATCAGTGCACATTTCCATGTAACTTATGCTTCCCCAGATAGCTAAATAACACATCGGACCAAGGCTAGCGAGGAATAACAGTCATTGTGACTTGGAACATCTTACATTACATGCTGTAATTAGACAGAGCGAGTCTACAATACCCCGAATGAATCTTCCTGCCATATCTTTTAATTCAATTATCTGTGGTACTGTCAAATGGATCGAATAGCAAGCGCTTGCTGTCCTGCCGAGATATGAATTTACATCGGAACGGTTTTGGAGCCCTGTCCGAAGACAGAACATAGAATGAGATGTGAAGTAGCGAAATAAGTGAGAGATACTTACGGAGTAAATCCTTCCATAATCTCCAGCAGGGGCGGGTATGCAATCCCATCAACGATCTCCGGGGAAATTTTGAAGACCATCAGAAGGCGAGTTATGGTAATAAAAAGTGTTGTATCCGCGAAATCCACTGCGGGACACCTTCTGTAGACGACGTGTTCATACAGCCAATGATAGCATATCCAGAAGATAGTGATCTACCTTCGTCCAAAACCATAAACAAAAGAGCGGGGATCGGGATTGATGTCTTTATCGGAGTTGAGAAAACGTTCGGGACAGAATGTTTCTGGCGATGGATAGACGTTAGGATCATGTAAAATCGACCTGAAATATGTCAGCCAAAGTCCATTTTCTCTCCATAGTGCTAAGATGGCTTACCACAGGTTGACGAGGATCCAAGTCTTCTTGGGAATAAAATGTTCTTCATATTCCTCCTCTTCGTAGTTGCTACGGTGTATCACGGGTACGATAGGATTGAATCGGTATACTTCTCGGATAAGTGCATCCACAAATATGAGCGATGGGCGGTCTCGACAATTTGGAAACCTATCTGTGCCGACAACAGACAGAATTTCTGCATATGCACGGTCTTGGAAATCTTCATGGTTTGCCATGAGGACGATAAAGGAAAGAATTGTACCTGACAACTGAAGAAGATCTGAGAACTACAAGATAATTTTCTCGCCAAGTGCGTAAACTTACCGTCTCTGTCCCTGCTGGAGTCAACGGTGTGTGTAAGTGTCACAGAAATGTCGAATGTAGGACCAGTGTCATACCACTAAACAAGCTCCCCGCGGAAGATATAACAAGTGACTCATCGATACATGATGGATATAGCGAGATGTTGGTCAGAGATTGTTTAACAAAGGACGTGTCCGCTTCATTTTGGTCCTAGGGTAAAAACATCAGCATCTCCAGTCAACTGTGAGATGCAATAATTACTATTCTCTGTTTTACGAGCGCAACAGATTCATTGAGCAGGCGCGTGAACAGCTTTCTTGCATCAATGGCGTATCTTTTGAAACCAGCACCGGGCATCCATGCCGGTACCCACATAACTATATCGTACATGATTCACGGACTGCTGCAATGATAAAAGCTACCAATGTGATGGAACGTACGAGCTGGAATACTGTTCACGGCCCATCGGCCTGCCTCCACAGCTTTCCCAGTGTGTCGCGACACCTGGGCCGCCATTTGTAGATACTCGGGACTTGGCTCGTGGCCGTAAGTAAAGCGTCCGATGAGTTTCTGTATATTGCTGAAATAAGAAAAGTTTGTGAGAAGCGGGATAAAATATGTTATGATTACAACTCACGCTTCAACATGACCGTAGAACCGTTCCGGAGACACAATGAAATCTCTACAAAGATCATCCGCCTGGTAGTTGATGAGTTCCATCCACGTGGAAGTAACTTCAGTCAGGCTAAGGGCGGAGTGAAGCAGGGTTCGCATCGCGATGAGTCGCTTTCCGTAGTACGTGAAGCCAACATTGTTTTGTCTACCCATGAGCTCGGCCATAGGTATGCGTGGCCTGCAACAAAACGATTTCTTTCCTATCAGAAGATCTCGGATTACTGTGCGTCCGCTGACAACCATCATTGGGTGTGGTGCCGTGGACAGTGTGACGAGAGGACCTTGAATGCCTAGCGTTGAGAATGAGGAATGCGAAGAGATATCAATGTTTCATACCCGATTCTTTGGACCACCGTGAGTAAGCCATCCACTTGCGTTCATTTTCATGCACGTTGTCTGGCGGCCCTAAAATTTCTGCAGTCAGTCCCACTCAGTATTTGTTCCAACATAATATCACGTACCAGGCGGAAGCGAGAGATTCCGGATATCAAAGCACCGTTTGCATATCCAGCACGTAACTCCAACGACCGTAATAAGCGATATTATCCAGGCGAATGGAAGATGCATAGTGAAGAAATACTGGGATGAGCGTCGACGAGGATTGGATTGAAGAGTATACTTGAGGGGCTATGCATCCTACTGAAGCTCGTTCTTTTTCCCTTCTCGGCCCGCGACCAGCATAGGTCCTGATGTCTGTTTTCGATGAAAGGATCGTTTCAGCCATTGCGGAGCCATTACTTGTGGAGTCTTCGAATAATCAAAACACCGGGTTACGCGAGTTGCTGATACTGATTCAGTTGTACGTGAACAGGTGTGTTTCTGGTGCATCCATATCGAACAGCATCAGCGGCTCGCGATCCTGTACCAAGAAGGACCAGACGCACTAGGGATCATGAGCTATGATTGGGGCCTTACCGCCCACGAGCGCTTCCGAATTGGTATCGATATGTCGTATCTCTGATTCAGACTAACCACATCCTGACCTCTCTCAGTCCGCCTGGAGATTCTCACTCAGATAGTAGACCAAACCCGAGAACAGTATCATCCCAGCCAATGATGATCACATTCTGCGACAAGTCATAACAGCACTGATCATGACATAAGACATCGGCTCACAGGTCGGGTCCGCGGGGTGTATAGTCTGGTACAGATTCGGGGAAACCTGGTATGTTCTCTGCGTATGGAATTCCATCGAAGTCACGTCTTTAGTGCGGATCTCCCATATATCCTGAGTGTTTTCGGATGATCTCACGCCTCGAACAGCTGGCGCACACCGGCACAAAATTACTTCCATATCGATCTATTCATAAGTTTTCACTGCTCGCTCGAAACGTCTTTCTCAGCCCCGGCCTTGATAGCAGCGGTTGGTCCCATAATACTGCATTCACCGACGCAAACAGTTATACAGGGAAACATAATTACAACTGACAGAATAACAAGAAGTTGTGGGTACAAAGGGAGTAAGACGGTCATCAAACATGTCCATCCGTCTTTCGCTTAACGGTCCGCGCAAACAGAAGGGGTATATCGGACTTTCTACACGACCGACTATAATCACACTTTCCACGTCCCCTTCCTCTTCACCGTCATCTGCCTTGATATCACCAGGCATCCGACCCCAGCCAAGATGACCACCTGTAAGCACGCACAACATCGTGTCAGGAACAGTCAATATAGAACGGTCAATACGCGTGAACGAGTTGCACATACCGCGCTAAAGATGACGGGCTTCGTCCAGGTGTTGTACTGAGGCGGTTTGAGCAGTGCCCCGGTGATGGGTGTTCCGGTGAGGATTGCAAATCCGCAGACAAACATTGCGATACCGATGCGGGAGCTGTTCGTCACCCCGGAAATCATGAATGGGTTTCCAAATCTACGGGTGGAGAGAAAGGAAAACGGGTAACCGTTCAAAGGGAACAACTTACCCAACTTCGTGAATTGACCTCGAAAAGTTCGCAGTTATCGCTGCCAGAAGCGATATAACTAGAAATCCAAGCCCGAAGAAGCATCAGTTAATCGAAAACATGTGAGTTCTTAGGCATTATTGGACGCACATGCTCCACCGAAGAATCCATAGACGACTGCGAATGTGAACATTCCGCCGACACTTGTGGCGCCCAGCATCGCAAATACGAGCCCGCCGGCGATGGTAGTCATCGGGATCGCAACTAAAACATCATTAGATAATGCAACAGAATCTAAATCAGTATCGTGGAAAATCAGAATGAGAGAGGAGACGGCAAACCGTTCAAAGGTCCAAATTTATCGGATGCGAAATTCGGAATTGTGCGACCAAAGATTGTGGACGCATTGAGAACCGTCAACTAAAGCGTTGAAGACAGCTATCAGTACATCAGAGAACACTCAGGCAGACGGAAACATACCGAGTAAAAAGCAAGCTTTTCGTCTACTCCGTGAAGTACCGAAAACAGCTGGAGATAGAAGACTGTTGTGTTTCTATGTAAGCTAAAATTGGATACCGTGCAAATTTGGTCGAGACTTACAAGGGAAGAAAAGCCCCCAAAAAATCAGGAAGGCTCTGAAGACGTGGCTAATGTTCAGCCAGTGAGCATGGCGGATACAAGGTAGCGACACGCACCCAAAGACACTGATTAGGTATGCGACATCGGTCAATATGCTCTTCAACGGTACCACAGTATCAGGCGATCGATCCTTTTTGAGGGGTAGCCTAGGCTTCATAATCAAATTTGCGATGATCAAGAGCCCGAGCGACAAGAAAGCGGCAGCCCTGTATGAATATGTTCATCATCGAAGCCAGTGGGAACAGTATGACTGAGACCAAACAAACCTTATTCCCCACGCGAACCCAGCACGGCCGTTGATAAGCTTGTTGAGCATGATAGGGAAAATGACACCGCCAAGAGAGGAGCCTAGGAATAAAGGAAGATAGATGGGACACTATGCTGATGCATTAAAACATGTATATCCAAATGCAATGCTTACCCGCAAATATGAATCCCATAGCAAGTAATCTCCTCCGCCTAAAGTAATGCAATGGTATCGAGACAGCAGGGATGATGACTAGCCCCATTCCGAGTCCCATACCAATGGCCTGCGACAGAAAGACTTGGTAGTAGTTATGCGGTTTGGCAAGTGAAAGCATGAAGAACCTAAATTTCGAGCAATGTAGGTCAGATGTTAGAGACGCACGAACCTCAAAAGATGAGACGAAGACACCGTACGAGAAGCTGTATAAGACAGTTCCTGAAATCATAAGAAGCCTGAAATGACCTTCGTCGAAGAGTTTCCCTGCGGGCAGGCCGACAGCAAAATCAAGGAACAGCTGAGTGGATCCGATCCAGGATATTTGCGACGCGGAGTGTTCATTTAGAGAAATGCGCTGAGGACACAAATCCATCGGAGCATCAGGGCGTGAAAGAGCGAATGATATAGTGAGTCACGCACAGTGTAATAGTCTTGAAAGACTCCGAAGGAGAGGGCGGCACCGAATGAAGAAAAGAGAACAAGAGCACTGTAGGTACCAGCGTGATAAGAAACTATCTACGAGCTGAATTAGTTCGAAAATCAGAGCCTGCGATATTTACCCTCCCAACACGGTCAACCATCCGTCGCGACCGCCTTCAGGAAAGTCAGAGATGAGCGCAGAAGCGGGCGTTTCTCCAGAAGGCCCAGTAGATTCCAATCCTTCTTCAGCTTTCGAGATACTGGGTGGTCCATGGTCAGCGGCGGTATCCTCAGAGTTCATGGCGTCACTATAGAGATAGTCAAGAGTACTGAGGAACTACGGTCACTCCTTTCACGACGAAAGTAAAAGAGACGTACAGGCGAACGGATGAGAGACGCGAGGGTGGGGGAACAGAACCACGATGAGGAAGAGACACGAGAGTGGGGGAACAGAGCGTGGACAAGACAAGAGCGAAAGTCGACTGACGGGGGTGGGCATGCTGCTTCGGTCTGGAAGCATGGCGAAAGGCGCGCATACCATGTTCTGGTAGGTTTACTCCCGAATAGCGCCTCCGGCCACCTTCTAGTAGGCGGGCGGTATGGTATTGTCTGTGCACATCGTCCTTTCGCACTCCCGATCCGCGGAGAACAGAGACATCATGTCGGAAGAAGCGATGGGATGGAAGACTTATGAGCGGTACTTACTTGATCAAGCTCCCGAATGAATCTTTCGTGTCCCACGATGGAGCAGCTCAATGCGGCAGGGCGCCTGAGGCCTGAGGGCTAATCTTAGTAGTAGCTTGTCATTGGGGGATAAGTACCAGTCCTTCTTGAATGTTGCGCTCAAGCAGCAACCCTAAAACGATAGATGTATCACTGGGAGCAAACACTTAACATAAGTATTCATGTATTCTCACACGTTCATACGCGACGAGATAGAATGGGAAGATCGGAGAGTGGTGTCCGCATTCGGAGAGACACTCTGTTACCGAACCATCACAAGTTGGAGATCCCTGTTCTGCGATGAGATTGTTCGGACTACGCGAAACAGTGTGAACAGCCTTTCCCAAGACGCTCGAATCCTGACTCCTATTGCCGTTGTTGCGCAATTTGGGTGTCGGAACCACCGTGGATGATGTTTCAAATCCTCATCATACGGTACGTCCCGTCGTGAGGCTGTAATGGTCTAGTGCGAATCTAGCCCAGACATTCCGAACCCAATCTCTGACAATGGTGAGGTTTATAATTCATCGACTCTCCCGGGATTGGTAAAGTCTCTTCTCTAACAGAATTTTTAGATGAGTACCTCTTTAACTAACTACGCTCTTCCGGACAGTAGGATCGAGGTTGTGCGGTGCGTATGGGCGTCCATTATCCTCTTCACATTTCCGATGTGACTAAGAACTCTTGTCATATGTGATTATCTAGGCTTAACCAGCAATATATCAGGTTCAAGAAACTTTTCGGACGTACCGGACCATTTCCGACAACTGTCGACGTTGACGGCATCGACCATGTTCTCGAGGTTGCGGCCGGAACATGTGCTTGGACTCTGGATATCGCACATCTTCAAGAAGTCTACACCCGCCTCCCATCGATGCCATCATCGACTCGTCCTGAGTCTACGTCAAAGCCAATTCAGTTGTACGCCTGCGATATTAGCACAGATAAGTTTCCCCCGAGGGACGTGACGGATGCGCTCGGTATCAAGACGTTTCAACAGGACGTTACACAACCCTTTCCCGACGAGCTTTACGGAAAGTTTGACCTCGTTCAAGCGTTTATGCTTGTCGGTTCTTTAACAGAGGCTGGGTGGAGGAGGGCTCTGGAGAACTACCGCAGACTTCTCAGTAGGCTAATTATCTCAATTTACATCGTACTGCTTCGCTGCTGACGATCTTTGATGTGCAAAGAACCCGGAGGGTTTCTCTTCATGCTCGAAACGGATGTGGCCCTGTATTCAACGAGCCTCCCACCACCACCACCACCGCTTTTCCCCCTTGACATCGACGGTGTTATGGACGGTCTCACGTGGATTCACAGTGCGAATCGGTTGTTCACCGGGTTCAACATAAACCGAGACCTGGTTCCTAAGTGAGTCCAACGGCAAAGTCTAACCGGACTGTGGCATTGAATTTCACTCCTAGTATATCGTCCCGGTTGCCGGCGCTGTTAACGGAGCAGTCTCTCAACATCATACAAGAAGCTAAGGCTATCTCACCGGTTGGAAAGCTCTGCAAATTATACCGCGCGTTGGACGGCGCAGATTTATCTGATGATTGGGATGACTCTGTTCAGGGCACTCGGGATGTTTTTCGTGGATTGGCTCAGTCAATGCTTAGAAGAAGCATGTTGGAGGTACCAAAAGGAACACCCATCACGACTCAGGAAGGTCTGAATGAGCTTCTCGCTTGGATATTTCAGGGGTTGGAATCGGATGGGGCTTGTCATGTGATGACACAGTGGATAATAAGAAGGAACTGAGGCGAATAGAGCAATTGATCATCTGCTCTCCGAGTTCGGTTGGGTCTCTGATACTCGTGAGATGCTCTCATGGTACAAGTACGGTGGTGCCATGAAACCCGCAGAGCACCTTGCCTCAATAGAAAGGAAAAAAAAAAGCGGAATTTGACGAGCTTCAGGAACCAAAATAGAAATATTAGTGAGACGACCTACAGTCAATTACCCCGTGGTGGGCCAGTACCCCGTAATGGGTCACCTACTGTTTACGGCGAGGGCTGGCATCGAAAGGCCAAGAATGCTATGATATCATACTCCAAAGCTTCGAATGGGAGCACAACTCCACCATATGAGGCTTCGAGCGCCCGCATTTGGAAGGTGACCCATTACGAGGTACTGGCCCACCACGGGGTAATTGACTGTAGTGCAAAAGGCAACTTAACTATCATCCGCTGGGTAACAGGGGTCAACCTTCTCCTTGATGGAGCTCGGGGCGTGTCGAGGGCAGAGTCGATGGGTCTTATTCGATTGGCGCCCAGTTGACAGATTGCGTCTCACGCTGTTCTATTTCCGTGAAAATGCATAGGAAGTTCCCTTTTCTGCACGGACCTGCGAACCAGGACCCGCGCGTGCTCTTTGGGATTTGCGGGGTTTGTGGCCCTTGCTCGAAGTTCTCGAGCAACTCTTGCATAATATAGGAGTTAACGTATTCTCTGCATAAAGCTCATATTCATTGCTGAAGACTGCGGTGCAAGTGCAGTGCCACTCAGTTCGATATATTTATCGATGTGGCCAAATAGCTCTCACGGGCCTGCTCAGTTATATACCTCGTGAGTCCGACAGGAGACTTTATACGGGCCTTCTCCGGACGGTTTGCAAGATGACTGGGTACATATTCAGACTGGGGACAAAGTTCTCACCGACAAATGCTATGATCACACTCTAGACAGCCTGTTGCCTGCTTCCACAAAGGTAAGACAGCAGATTTGCCAGTGCTCGGGCCACACATACATATGCATATGACGAGAGCTTTGCGCAGTGATAAACCTGTATGCCTCCTAATAACCGTACACCAATACCCGATTATTCTTGGGAGGCTACATGCTCAGCCTTATCGTACCAATATAATTGTCATGATTATATACGCCGACTTGGCTGCTGTACCCAATAATTTCGTCGAATGCATTGGTATGGCGGCCGAGCTGTACGGCATATTATTCATGCATACCACCACCTCAATCTCGAGTAATTTATCCTCAAGTCGCACTGGCTGCGGGCCAGCTATCTACATTTATCTGTGATGTTGTTTCGGAGTCAACGAACCCATAGCAAATTTCCTGCTGCGATCGTTGTGTGTCTCTATCCGAGTCCTGGCTGCCACACGAGTTCCCGAGCTCCTCGACGAAGTGTGGCACTCGCAAGCAGTTGCCCTTCCGTTCTCGCTCAGAACCTGATGCGAGCTGTCAGTTGGGCGTCAATCGAATAAGACCCATCGACCTGCTCCCCGGGCGTGTCACAATTACGATTGCCAATGTCGGTGGAAAGAACAGATGCTATGAAATGTGCACGCCACCGAACGCTACAGGGTTTTGCATATGAAACCGGAATGTCGCGCGTAGAAAAATTCTGGGCGCCTGAGCCAAACAAAGCCGTAAATGGTAAGCACTCTCGGCGACGTTTCGGCAGTGGCGCACCTCAGAAACACCTCTCATCTCTCCGGCCCATATCGTTGTTCAGAGACCTCTCGATATGCTCTCCAGTGCTTGAACTTAGATCTTACGGAACTCCGCCCTATAAGAGTTCTCGCCTTCATCATGTATCCTCGTGACATTGTTTTCGCGATGATCAACACGTTCGGTGTTCCAGCGGTTCCCAACAACATTGCACCAACATCAACGTCGACTTTTCGCTCTAGTAGCCGCAAGGACAATCGGGTCTCAGCTCGTGCTCCCGGACACGCTATCTATGCGACAAAGACAACGAGATTCTGAACGCAAGTACCGGCATGACTGAAGGAATGTTTTTGTAGGAAGGAAGTTTGATCATTTGCGTATGTCGGAAGGGTACGTCCTTTCTTCTCTTTCATCGCATACAAAGCCATTGGACTTATTCTAATCTTTTCTGTCCATCGTTCCCCCTTTTCCCCTCGTAATTGAGGAACCACCTTGTCCGTGCTCCAGAACTGCTCTGCGACGTACTAAAACTCCGCGCACAAAGCATCAGGACTGGTTAACCGGTGCGTATTCGGTGCGCTTTCAATTGCGTGTGTCAGATTTCTGCTTCAGTACAGTCAACATGACAAGCTGATGCTCCCGGTCATCATGCTCGCGATGCCCTCCCGTCCCACTGTGTATGTCTCCGAGACATATGTGTCTCCCTCCCCTCTTTCTTAGTACAGCCACGTAGTATTTAGTTGGTATTTTGTTCATCCTTTCACGAGTCTCGAGACGAGATGCACGTATGGAATGGCTGAGTGGGGTCACTGAGGCGTATCCTATGGTACCGGAGGAAGTCGAGTCTCGAGTCGTGTGGAATGGCAGCCCGCACGTCTGCGCCTGTTATGTTGAGGGTTGAGGGATTGTCTCGTCGGGCTCTTTTATCCCGGGTCTTTTGGACTTATCTGCTATGTACTTCAGTAGCAGAGAATGTGATCACAAATTCAAACCTGTTGAGCACCTTTCAGTGGGCATGCAATGTCGGTACGCTCAAGAACAGGGGCATACCTCGCTGGTGCCACACGAATCCTGCCGAGGAATGCCGAGAAAGTCTGCCGTTTATGGCTTTGTTTGGTTCAGGCACACACGATTTTTCTACGCGCGACATTCCGGTTTCTTATGCAAAACCCTGTAACGAGAATCAACGTATCTAAATTTGCACAAGGTCATTCGAATATGGAAGTCTATTTTGAATCGCAGCCGAGCCTGGAGTGTGCGGAGATACTGAGTAATAAGCATGGGAAGGCGAGCACTGGCGAGCAGCGGAAGCGTTACCAGGACGTAGAATCAGCATCTTTTTTTTGCATCTTCAGGCATAGTGCCGCCTCAGGGTTTCCATGCAGCCGCTCGAGCGTGCGCCGTGCTGTACCATGATGGGTGCTTTGTAGCGCCGTGGGCCTTGTTGAACCTTATTTCAACATCACACTAAGTATAGTGTCGGTGAATCAGCAAAACATGACGTTATACACTCCATCAGACGTTCGTCCATAGGACGCCGCCTTCTCTGCACTGCAGATGTAGTGACACTACCAAATACAACGCGTTCCGAGGTACCCGATCATGGCACGTCAGGTTGGTCCACCAGCACAGTTAACCTACTTTCCGAAACTTAGTTCACGGCACGATGGTGCACATACCTGCCCCACGATCTGGCCCAAATTTAGACCCCCTGAAGCTACTCTAGCTTCCGGTCGTTAAAACGATATAAAAACTTTGCACTAATATTCTCGTGTGCGCTCATTGATTGTATGATCCCTTCCAATTATATGTACGACATGGCGACTCATTTGATGATGAAATATGGAACGCAAGCAGTGTCTCCGCACTTATTGATCCTCGAGCGGTTGACGTTGCGATTGACATATCACGCAGAAAATAAATATTGTTCATCACAGGACTGATATCGGAGCGCCTGTGGGGTATCTAAAACGGTTCATGATGCGTGGCAAATATGCCGATATGACTTACGAGGCAATCATGTTGGACAGTCTGGGCCATGAAGACGCTCGAAATCTGCGTGTTTATGTACAGGCACTGGTAAAATGTACTCCATCCAGTATATCGGTGTCAAAAACCATCAGTTGATCCAACCCTCGGTGTCTCGGGGCACTCGAAGTGCGCCCAGGTATTTAAGATCCCCACAACGCCAGGATCGTGACCCTCAACTCCGCCATGTCGACAGAACCAGCAGAGAACCCCATCGTTGTCAACTTGAGTCCTACGTATGGAGCTCTTCTCATCGGAACTGCTTTTGCATGTGCTATATGGGGCGTAACAAGCACTCAGGCGTAAGCAATCAATTTATTTCTCACTGCAATTTCGATAGGCAGCTCACATTTGATTTAAAAGATTTATTTACTTCTCCAGGTACTGTTTTATTTTATAAATCAATCTATCCTCTTATGAATAACATTGTATCTAGTAAAAGTGCTCAGAAAGACAGCAGAGTCATGAGATATTTTGTAAGTGTTACGTTCTATGGCGCCCGATTTTTCGATATTCACGGCAGGTGATTGCGTAGATGCTTTTATTGGTGTAGGTTATTACGAGACTCTCGCCCAAAGCCTACTAACGTCGGTCGCGAAGGATTATGGATACTGTCAACACGGGGCTTTGTTTTACTGCTGGTAAGCTCTTGCCGTGAGGTTCCCGGAGATATAACGTGAATAATCATACTTGGTGAAAGTCTGGGACATTCTCATACCACAGTATGGAGCTATCGCTCCGCTATCCAGAATAACAGTGTGAGTGTTAATCGATTCACTGGCGTTTTGGACACTGAATGATTGGTACTAGAGTGCTGCTGGTACGTAGCTTGTTTTCTCGATATGTACGCTTCGACTGAGCGTTTCACAGCATCGTATATGGATAACAGTAAGTAACTCAGATATGTGTACCTTCCTGATCTATTAAATATTAAAAAATCATGACAAATAGATAGTGATCACCGTTTGTGTACAATGTTTCTTTCTTCGTCGAGTCTTTGTATACTCCGGAAATCGCGGAGCCTGGCCATATTTTCTCGCACTGTTGGTAAGAAGCTCAGCTTCCATTCTTCCTCAGTGATACGTTGTGTGGCTGAAACACCGGTTTCTCGCAGTGCATACTAATCATATGGCAAATAGGTGGGTACATGTTGTTCAATAAAAGATGGTCCTTGACGTATTATACATATATAGCTGCCGTTATTAGTACGTTCAACACCTCGCTTTCTTTATCCATACACTATTCATGAGACATATATATAGTCTACCTGGCCATTGCGTATGACCTATATTGTCTTCCGGTGATCACGACGTCATCTAACAACACTCTAGGTTCACGGCTTCGTCGTTGGCTACCCTTTCGCGACCTTTTATGATAGTGAGTAGCGTATTTATGCTCCACATACATTCATCAATCTTCGAGTTATTTGCAGGACGTCGGGATCTCTTTGCGCGGAGCAACGACTGTGGTGGACACATCAATCAGTTTGTCTATGTTCTACCTCCTCACACTGGAAACTCAACCAGTATTTTCGCGGTGAGTTGCCGCATCTCCTGTGATTTCGTTCATCGTTAATCAAGCTTATTTCGATTGGAAGCACACGTCAGATGGTTAACAGACTCACTAAGGTTGCAGTGATGAGTGGTGTCTTCACTACAGTTTTCTCGATATTTGTCGTTAGTTTTGTGAGTAATTTCGTCTCCCTGTTGTGGTAGAAGACGTGATTGAGTCTCAATTCCAGATGGCTGCAAGACCTTCAGACCTTTTCTACACCATATTTGAGACGCCGCTGACATCCCTTTACGTCTCGGTACTACTCTCGAACTTGAATGCAAGACACTATGTCCGAGGAACTAGCGACATCAACTGGACTTCCCAAGTCGAGTTCTCTTCTTCCGGTGGTCAAACCGTCCGTTTGAATACTCTTAATCCACCTACGAGTCGCGCTCTTACCTGGGGGAATCGGAATCTGAAGGTTGGTATCCGAGACCTCTACTTCTGGAGCACTCACGAACCATCCATTTGCGATCGTTAGGCTACAAAGGAGCACGCCATTCAAATTCATACCAAGTCCGAAACTCAAACGGATGGTCCGAGTGGAAGCTCCGTCGATGTGGACGCAGGGTCTTGTTCTGTGAAGGTGAGTTGTATTTATTTTAAGTGTAGTATCAGGTGCTGATTTCATCGCCTCAGAATATGCCCGAGTCTGTTTGAATCAGTTGTTCTTTCGGGAGGTAACGGTTATATCTGTAGGCATATGCTGTGGGCCGTTGTGTACACCTTGGAGTTTCTATATTTATTGTATCGTGTGCGATGACGATAGGTTTGCCAATTTCATCGTTGCTATATTTATTCTGAAGGTCCGGAGAATGTGCGATGCGATAACCATGTTACGCTCGACTCGGAACTACGATAAGGACAAAATCGAAAGGCCCTGTTGGAACACGAAGTGGGAGGAAGGGATCTCCATTCGATCAACCATACGAGTATATTCAGAGAAGCTCTACTGGTTTGGTACATCATGTAGGACAAGATTGAAGCGTCTTTCAGTTGAACTGTCGAGGCCATTGCCCCCCTCAAGGGTCTGACGCTCGTCGAGCCGTTTCGAGAACGGTAATCGACGAGGCATGGAAGAACACCACATATCAGGACTGAAGTCAAACTGGGGTGAGTATTTCTTCGGACGCATCAGATGAATGTATGAAAGTGATCCTCGGAACCATATAATTTATGCCTTCTGGTCTAGGAAGGCGATATATTTACTCATATTCCTCGCAGAGGCGCTTCGCGTTGACGCGCATATTACCTTGCTTCAAGGTCCTTCCAACCCCCGTAACCTGCAAATCCGTTGCCAAAAATAAACATGTACAAACAAACGATGTGGCGTGGCGCCACACTGCGTGGTGTCCTAACTCCAGTACCCTTTCACAATGTACCTACTCGACTCCATATCGCGACTCCGCAACCAAAATTGTTCTGTGCCATTTCGTGTCGCGCTACTCACTTTGGCTCTTGGTGGCTTTTTGGAGATTGTCATCCTTTCTCGCTGTTTCGCCGCGCACGTGATCATCGCGTCGCACAACACGTCCTTTGGTTGATTGTTGATATCCCACCGTTCGCGTGCACGGAGCCGTCCGGCCCCCCCCGTGCCCTGTATATATATCTCCTCTGACTCCTCCCGCCATCCTTGTCGCTGCTACACCCGCTGCGGGGCTGTTTGAAACGGGCTGCGGCTCTTGCGACCCACCCAAATTTCCTCAAGTTTTCATGACATCTCGGTCTGAGCCCGCGATCTTTTGACTGTATAGCATGGTCATATGATCAGCATTGGTGCGTTCTTTTCTTTCACTCCGCGCCTTTTCGTGTTCGACCCCAATGACGTCGTGTCCACGCTCGAAGGGTTGCGGTTCTGCCGTTCATGCCACCACACGACGTCATGGATCCTTGTATTCGTCTCTTGTTGTCAAGCGTTCCTCTGTTGCACCTCCCTTCTTGGCGTGGATTTATTGCTATACGATATGCTTGGTTGCGTCTTCGGTATGTCCTTGCACTCATTCCATATGAACAGAGTGGCCCTTTCTATGATCTGGTGTGCCCATGCGAGTCTTGAGGTTCATTACCTAAGCGCGGATCAAAACCACGCGAGTCCCCGGAACTGTGGGGCCGTCATCTCCCCACAGTTGCGGGGACACATATCGTACTCCGCTCAGCAGTCTACATACGCTGCTCCCTTGCCTTATCACTTCTCGACGTTCTGGTTAATCTTGGCTTAGCTATTCTCCATGTTTTCTTTTTTTTGGGTCTGTCACTGTCACCGTTGAAATGACACAGGGTCCGCCTCCCTCTGAAAAGAGGGGTGCATCGTGCATCATTCTGGCGATGCTATTTACGGTACGACCCGTCTCTGATTGACTATGTGTCTTCGGGCAACGATGTCCTGTGGCCGAGAAGCCTCGGCCACATCTTTTCGTTGCCCGAACGTGCTCGGGCCTGGACCAGCGTTCTCAAACGTCCGCGCATCCGTTGCCCGTTATCTTCCATAATCATGTTTCACTCTCCGCCCGCCGGTTGTGCTGCAGGACTCAAGATTAAGTACAGTCGTCTCATGCTCGCCTCGTGGTCTTTTTATCTTCACTCACGATTTGCGACAAACCGTAAGCAGAGTGTTGGGGTACGTCCTCTGCATGCTGCCAAAACTGGGCTGCCTGGTTGCGGGAGCGCCACCGTCCTCCTTTTGTGTTGCGCGTGTAGGTGTTCACGATTGTTTTGTAGGTGTTGGCGGCCAACGCGTACCATTCCTACTCTGCGACATGGTCAGTCTGCTCCGCGCTTGTGTGGTTCAATCGAGAATCACCGACGCGTTTTCACTTAGACTCCGATTTCCTGTGAGCGAACATGTTGCGCTGTTCACCCGCTGGACACTCTGCTGGGCGCCTCGGTAACTTCTGGTCATGGTCTGCTTGCATTTCTATATCTCTATTTCCTCAGTACGTTCGTTGTTTCTAACGTCCACTTGATTTATCAGGCATTGGTCTCATGCATTTACGTCTATATCTAGTGTTCAAGCGTCATGCTCGTGCTTGTCTGAGGGTCGCTGCCACTCCGTGCCTCGACTTCTTCGGTCACGGTATCCCACCACCTTCTCGTCGCCACATCCATCGCCTCTAACCGGTCATCCTCATCCAATATCGGCGGTTTATGGGCCTGCAAGAACATAGCGTCATCGAAGTCCCTGAGTAGGCGTATGGTCTCTCGGCCGGCACTTCGGGACAGTGCAACATAGAGATTGAACAGAGAAAGCTTCCCTCGAGGTACACGGCCGATGTCCACGATGACGTACGGGATTGTCTGACCTTGGGATCGGTAGTCCGTGAAGGCATACGCTGCGGTCATAGGGAACTGTCGTCGGATAACCTTGCGGGTTGTCGTCTTCGCCCCTGTCTTGACCCGAATTTCGAAGGCACGAGTCACCGGTTCTATGGGGATAACGTGCTCATCCAGCCCCGACAGTCGTCCCGCTCGTGTCCTGTCCAGCCTGACAAGAATGTATGCAGGCATATGCTGCAATGTCACCGTGTCGCCACTGGCTACGCCGGTCTCTCCCTGATGCAGCACAACACCCACCACGGTGCCCCTCGCTCCGTTCGCAATGTCCAGGTCTGTCTCCACGTTTGTCGTCACCATCACTTTCATCCCTATCGCGATCTCCACCACATCCGGCAAGCTGTTGCGCTTATCCTCTCGGCCCGATTTCAGTCGCCTCCTCTGCACTTCGATTTGCTCCTCCAACGTCAACTCCCTGCGCTTGCCTCGGTTGCTAATGGTGTCGTCTGCTCTCACAATGTATCGTCGCACACGGCTTCGACGGCAGTGCTCCGCTATCGCTTGCCCATTCCACTTCTCCCTCACTCCATGCCGTGGCGTCACCAGGCCCGCGCTGCTCCATGGCTCTGATTTGAAGTCGGTTTCTATGCAATCAGGGTGCGAGACGATCTGGCGGCGAAGCATTGTGAGGTCCTCTTGCCGTACTCGTCCGAATCTCAGGTTTCTCAAGAACTGCCGCCACACAAGATCTGTTACTCTCATCTGCTCTCGAAGAATGACGGTCTCCCGGAATTCGGCAAATATGGCGCGTCCGAGTTGGGCTTCGGTGGAGTCATGCGCGGGATTGGCAGGCCAGTATAGGGCTTCATGCTCGCCGCCCATAACAGGTGGGAATTGATGGTGATCTCCACAGAGAATTACACTGATTCCCCCGAAAGATTCGCTAGACGCTGCTTGGCCCGCCTCTTGTTTGGCTATGCTGATGTTCCTGGACAGTTTCGCGAAGAACGCCTTGCCTAACATGGAGTATTCATCGATGATGAGGTATCGTACGTGTTTGAAGAACAGCTGGAGTTTCGCCTTGGCTTCGGGACTCATCGGAGTTTTGCGCTGGCTGATGGCCCCCAATGTATGTGTGGTCTTGCCGTTAATGAGGGAGGCGGCGATGCCAGTGTATGCGCCTTTCGCCAGCATCTGCGACGACTGCTTATCCTTGAATCTCGCTGTAACCGTCTGGATCACCTTCGATTTGCCTGTGCCCCCCTCGCCGGAGATTATGAGTCTGAGTGGTGGAGGTGCCTTCTCGTTGATTGTTTGGTTAAGATGCCATGCGATAATGTCGTATGCGCGCCGTTGATCAACCTTCAGCTCCGACACTTGTGCACTTTCGAGGGCCTCTTCACATTCCAGCTGTTCACGGAGTGTAACTGATGCTCCGTCGTCTCCGAGGGTCATCTGTACGTCCGGTTGAGATGCGTTGTTGAGAACCAGGACGTGGTCTGTGGACTGCTGCGCTATGTCGGCCTGCATCTGCTCCCGCCAAGCCTCTAACCGCTGAGTGGTTTGCGCTGTGGCGTGTGATATTCCCTGATCCGTGAGTGCTCCCTGGCCATCTCCTTCGTGTGTTTCCCTCCCTTCACTGAATATCCCCACCATCTTAGCTTCCCATACCGCCTTCCTGCCGTTTTGCGCCTCCTCTTCACTCCTATCCTGCGACCGTAAACTCTCCAGCAGCTCCGTCGACGGCACCTGCCCCACTGGCTCATGTCCAGTGTCCTCTCCAAGTACCTCCTCCTCATCGGTTGAACGGGGCCTTCGCGACCTCGCCTCTCGGTTCTCCTTCGCCGCTGTTTCGCACTCGTGGAAGTACTGGAAGCCACTGATGATGCGCTGCACATACTCATCGCATCCCGCTTGAAACGCATTGAATGCAGCCGCCCATGTCTCGTTGGGACCTTTCAAATCAGTGGTAATGTCGCGCCAAGGTTTGAGAAGCGTGAGCATGCATGCGCTGTAGAACTCGACGATCTCCGGGTCATCGCTGCGTGGAATCGTGTGACCTCCGATGAAGTTGGGGAGGTTGTTGTGGCCCACAGTACGCAGAATGCGTACTAGCGTGCTGTGCTTTGGGTGATCAACAGTGTACTCCACCCGATCATTGCGCGGCCGCCCTCCCTGTTGGTTGTGAGTCTCCTGTTGTCCTTCAACTTCATGGGGTTCGTCGCCGTTAACGGCCTCGCTCCGTTCCCTTTCGTACGAATGCATGGTAAACTCGATTAGATTGAACCCTTGCAGGCCTTCTCCTCGGCACTGGTAATCCATGACCTGGGATTTGGAGTACAGTTTACCCGTCGGGCCTCCCGCAAGCGTGGTCATCTCCTCAGGACCCTGTCGTGATGGGTGAGTACATGGTTTGCGCATTTCATTTCGTACTGGACTTACCTCGTCTGCGTCAGCTGCGTGTTCGGCGGTTCCACCAACAGTCGCACCCTCCCCATTTTGTGCCTCAAGTGGGCCTGGATCTTGCCGTGCAACTCTGTGGGCTGCGTAAGTCGTTTATCAGGTAGTTCTGGGGAAACCATGAGCTTACCGTCTCCCCGGCTGCTTAGCCAAACTGGGGTACGCCCGCAGGAGGGCTCCCACAAATGACGACCAGTACAACGGCGAATAATGGTGCGACTCCTTAGTATCTCGCCATCCCATAAGATATGCTACTACCATTGGACCAGACAGCTCTTGTTGCCGGTTGATGGATTGCACGACGCGCAGGAGTAGTTTGCGTTGATCATCCATCAACGAGTCTCGATAGTCGGTTCGTGTCAGGTGGTACGCATGCCCTTGTGCCATGACGGCTGATAAATTGTGATAGTGTCCTTGCTTCTTCGCAGAGTAGCCGGTGATGTACCATGTCACATTCTTCGTGTCGTGTCCGTTCGTGATGAGCTTGCAATCGTTATTGCATTTGCAGTTGACGGTGACGGCGGGGTTCCATGCATTGACGTACGTGTATAACCTTTTTGCACTCCACTCTCCATTCTCTTTGATGTAGTCCTCCTCTGATCGCTCAAAGGGTGCGCCCCGTTTGCAGACATAGACCCCATCTTCGTTCGCGTTCAAGCACCGCTTTCGATGGCACTTGTGGACTTGCTTGGCACGGGCAACCCGTAACTCTACGTCCTTGATCTCTTCCTCGTACGAGACGCTGTCGGGATTTGGCGGGCGGGAGAACGCGATCTCCTTCTCGTTCACGATGGCGTTGACGGATTCTGCTGACTCTAGACCAGGGACGTGTGCATGGATGGTGTTCTTGATGTAAGCCCGTATCTTCTCGCGGAATGCTTCTGACCTGAGGAGTTCTTGCATTTGGTGCGCTGTCGGGGAATATTTGAGATACATAAGGATGTGCAGATGTAACGTTCCCCGCCCCTGTGACTCCACTGTACCAAAGTACGCGGCCAGCTCGCCGAGGACGCCCATGCCACTGTCGACGCGATATCCGGCTGTGACAGTGATATTGAAGAGCGTTTGGAGAATGGTGTTGATGATGAAGTGGAAAAACTTGGACGCCGCCCATGGATCCTCTGCGACGTTCTGTGATCGTCTATCCTGGCTGGGTCCATCGGTCGCGACAAAAGCATCCAGATCAATGTCCTCTCCGGCAAACACTTGGGCGAGCGGGTCGTGAAGGTCCGATGGATTGATCGTCATCCAGAGTGTCGGCGGGCCAAGCATCACACTCGTTGACCAGATTTTGCTGCGCAGTTGGTAGCGTTGGGCATCTGACCCTTGGACACGGGTTCCCGCCGTATGGAGGTGTTGACGGAGGAGTCGTACAGATGGATCAGTCTCGATTTGACCCAACTCTTCCCGCCTGACCGCCTCTCGCAGCTTATCTTGGGTTATGGTCGCGAGTATGTGTGCATCTCGCTCGAAGTCCTTCCGCCTCATTTGGATCTTGGCCGATCCGAGGGCCTGCCGCCGCTGCTCAATCCCGAAGGCGAGGAAAGGGAAGCTCTCATGTCGTCGAAAGCGGCCGTCGTGGTGCTGCAGAGCCCACTTGACGTGGTCGACAAACGATATGGATTTCTCGCGGTCGGCCTCGATACCGCCCCGCCCATAAGGAAACAGAAATGGGTACGCCTTCTCCCAAAAATTCCCTGCATTCGGGTTGTACGGTCGATGTTCCCCTTTCAGAGGTCGGCCAAAGTCGCTGACAGGTTGTCGACTGTATCTGACGCTATAGCCCCCTTCGCTCCCTTCTTTCCACAGGTTGGCCAGCCCATAAAGCATCAACTCCGTCGGGGTCACGTTCGAAAGCGATGTATCGACCGCACCGGAGATTTGGAACGTTGACGGTATGACATCGGCGTCTGTGACGAGGTACGAGAATGTAGCTGTCAGTTGTGTATTCGCCTGATATATCGCAGAGAGCAGACGTACCTGGCCCATCATCGGTATCGCCGCCCATACCAGGGGACTCTTGTCCTCCTCCTGATCCCTCTGCAACGTCTGTGCGACACACATTCCGTACAGATCAGCTTGGGTTCGCAAGACATGTACACCGTGCGACTTACCATCTACGAACTCATCCTCCGCAGGAACGTACCCCGAATTCTCCTGCTGAAGAAGACCTAGGTCATCGGATTGCCGAACGTTGGCCACTATAGAGTCTGGTACGTCGTCCTCAGGCAACTGCGCGAGATTCTCTTCGCTGATCTCGATGTCTCCATAATACTTGGGGTTGTTTGCTTTCAGCCATAGGAGGGCGTCACGAACGGCCCATCGACGGACACGAAACGTATTGTACAACCAAGACTTCGTGAGCTTTCCCTTTGCGATAAACGTCACCGTCATCACTGAGGCGAGGATCGCAGGTGGTCGTGGCATAAGCTTGCCCGCTGTCATGGCGGCGATTCCGTGGATGTCTTGCTCGAACGTACTGACGGTGCCACGCATGCCTCGTTGCACGTTGTTCGCTGAGATGCCTTCTGATTTTTTGGGCCACATCTTGAATACAAAGACACGGGGGTATAAGAGGGCGATGAGGAGCTGCTCTGGAGTGGTGAGTCGACGAAGCTCGAGGGGGATGGTGCCTATCCATAGGTTGTTTGCGAGAGAGTATTTCGGGGGGGAACAGCCCGCAGGTGTCTTCAATCCTCGGAGGCATTCGGCGCACACGTTCGCACCTGTAACGACGCCATTGTCGTCTCGCACCAATCCTGTGCATTCGAGCAACAGGCCGTCGGTGAGATCGTGAGCTGAGTGTGATATGTCTGGCTTGGGACGGAGAACGTCTGCATTGGGAAGGTTACAGAGGTCGATGGCGGTCAGCCCGGACTCCTTCACGAGTTGGCGTCGGGAACAGACGGCGCATGTTCCAAAGCGAACGGCGTCATTGCATGTAGCGTTGTAAAATCGACGATAGCACTCGTTCCGTTCGTTGTCGGTGGGAAGTGACATAAACCGTGTGGGATCATGAACCGGCCGTGCATATGAGTGTTTGTCCGTCTTGGGCCTGTTAAGGCGTTGCGTGCCCTGTTCATCGTCATCCCGCCTCCTCTTCTTACTCGTTCGGCGAGGGGTTTGGGCGTCTTGGATGGCCTTGCCCCTGGTACAGAGCTCTTGAACGTCGCTGGATGGCGCGGACTGGATAATGGCTTTGATGAGGAGGTCTTTCCGCCGCTTTTCACTGCGGGCGTAGAGGACGTCTGAGGATCGAACATATTCTAGGAGGTCGTTCAACGTCAATTCGTTCAATGCAGTCAGATCCTGTGGAGAGGGTTTGGGTGGAGAGATGTCCATGGCGATAATGATATTCAGTGAGAAGAGTTCTGAGGTATGGTGAGAGTCGTCGTCGATGAGGCGGATGTCCCAATTGGGCTGAGGCGGAGTGATCGAGTCCGTAAAATTTATAAAGGTCCCCGCTGTTTTGAGCGCGCTTCAGGTCATCTCTTCTCCTCCTTTGTCGCTCCGTGCTCACACCACGAGCCCTGCCTTATTTGCCTTTGTCTCCATCCACTATGCTGCGTCTGTTCAAAAGTATGTCTTCCTTGGACCACGATCTGAGTGCCTGCTGACGCCGATATCGTTGTGCGGGCGGTCTTAAGGATGTCGTGCTTTCTGGCGGACTTTGCAGCTCCGTAGGCGACCTGCGTCAACATCGTCAAGCCCAGAGTGTCGAACGTCACTGGACTCTGCCCAAATATCCGGGGCCCCGGTGTACCCTGTCCCGGACACCCCACTCTACGATGTTCATATACAGCAGTACATCGCCGAATATCAAAATCGGGGCACTTTACACCTGAACGTGTTATTGTGGGTTGGAGACGTCTCGCAGTGGGTCAGTACCCTTTGACTTCTCGGTCTCTGTTCCTTGACGTTCGCTCCTCCCGACACTGACGATGGTCACAGGCGTATACCCCTGCGGAGTCCGCTTCATGGTCCGACGACAGCGGATATGAAACCTCTTCGAGTGGGCCACCTTCTCTGGCTAGCCTTTCTGTGTCTGCTTCTGAGAGTAATGTAGTGCTCGACGGTGATTCCGATTGACCTGTTCGGATCTTCATTCTATTCAATGTTTGGGATTGTGAGGAGACGACATGTATGGTTTCACGGTACATCTGCTTCATTAATCGTTACTCGCCTACCCCCCTTCTCTGTCACCCACGCCCACGCTGCACCATTATAATATCCTGGCTGTTCCCCTTCAATAAACTCTAGGGTTAAACAGCGTGCGTCAAAAAACGACCTGTTCCCGTCGATCAATCGTGTCATGTCCGGTCCTCTTGGCCCACTACCACGCTCCTCACGCCAGAAGCGCATCTGGAAACCTCGGAGGACGATGAGTGACCAGCGTTGGTGCGGTTCCGCAGAACCAACGGGGTACGGTTTCAGGTAGCCAATCGTGCGTGCGTGGAGTGTCAATCTCGGGTGCGCGATGCATACCGAGTGCGCAGTAATGATTGTCTGCTCGATGGTGCAGGTACTATAAGCGAGAGGTGTCGACGACGGGCCTCGTTCGGCTTCGATCACATCGACTCGGCGACCACGTCGGTCTATAAGGTGGGTGACAGTCGAAATGCCGTGTTGACCGTGGCGGTGCTCATGTTTGTGAATGTCTGTCGACAAGGCAGTGGATGAGAAAATCTGCAGAGTACATGCGACAGAAAGGGAGGATGTTCTCACCGACGTCGTCAATGTGGGGTACGTCCCCAACCCCGGTGTCATGTTTGGCCTCACAAGCGCGGAAATATTGCTGGCTTCCAAAGAACTCCAGGAACCATGCGGCGTTGTCCGGGGGAACATACAGCGAGAGTGTTCGATGCAGCACTGGGCGATTGTGGCGTGCGTGGAGGACAATGTCGAGTGCGATGTCGCCGGAGATGAAAGCACCGAATCGTTGCATGCCGTGGCGGAGGCCATCGGGATTGGTGACGTAGTGTTCCTGATATCCACGGACCAGGATCTTGAGGTATCTGACCACGACGGCTCGCAGCGTTCGAGTAGTCTGCGACAACGAGACAAGATCATGCAGTGTCACGAATTGGCACAGTTGAAAGATAAGATCATAATGATGAATAAAGCCCAACATGAACATGTCGAGGTCGATGTAACAAAGGATGAAGGGGATACATAGTCAGGACTGAGATGGAGGCTATCATAACACAGTCATGGGTCTGAAGACCAACGGGCCGAACGTGAAACTTCCGATGGGGGGTCACAGATACTGGGTGGCGGGATGTCTGTATTCATCGTGGATCTCAGAGGGGTTCAACGGACGGCAGGAATGAGCACATACAAGGGGTTATGGTGGTAATCATACGCGTTCTGGACATTCCGGACGACGACAGTGAATTCGGTGGTTTGATCACAACAACTGCATTCATCGCCACCCAGGTTCCATTGGGCCATGCGGAATTGGAGACGTGGAGGAGGTTTATCATGAGCATCGGAGTATACGATGACCAGAGACCCCCGATCTCCGATCATGCGCGGGCGGTGAGGGCAGTAGTAGGACGACTGTCGCGATCGCTCGAGGACCGGATGGTTTTCGGCAAATGTATGGGGCTCCAGTCCTAGGGCCCTGCTCTCGGCAAAGATCTCCGTCATGTCGGACCTCATTGGATTGATGCATGTGTGGCCATGAAGAGTGAGCTCGGGATAGGCGATGAAGATGGCGTTGCCTGTGAGTAGATTCATGGAGTGCGTTCCAGAGGTGAATGGAAGGGGAAGTGTCGCTGTTGCTTGGGCTGCAACGAAGATGCAGATTCGTATTCCGTCTGGGCGGACCAGCCGAACGATTAGGACATGTCCTGGGTTCATGGCCTCCGGGATGGCTTCATCCCGGTTGACGATAAGCTCGACCGCAAACTTTTCGTTATCTTCTAAATGGCGGACAAACGTATCGGCGGGATAGCCTCCGACTGAGCAGAAAATTTGGAGCTCCTGGGATGGGGAACTTTTTTCCGTATGGGCGGGTGCACCGAGGCGAGCGATGGCTAAAGCCACATCCCCGGCAATCGCAGAGCGGTATCGGGTGAGCATTGTGCGCAGGCGAATCGGGTCGTCCACAAATCTGTGGTTTTATTTGGCAAAACTCAGGGTCACAGAATGCGGTGATGATCTTTGGGCGGACAACTGTGTTTACCTTTTCAGTTTCTCGTTTATCGTGTCCTCTAAAAAACCGTTCACGAGAACACGCCATCCTCCGCCAATGCCTTGCATGTTTCGAATATTGCAGAGGTCGAGGCTTTGCAGGATCGAGTGAGCGATGCGGCTCCACTGATTCATGCTGTGCTCGGACAGGTCTACGTGATATAGGAGTTCAGATGGATGTTTGTCATGTATCTGAGACATGCTCACCTGAGCCGGGTGCAAAAGTCATTCTAGCAGACGTAGGTGGCCTTGAATCCTTGCTACTCAACGACTGAACATTTGAGTTATACGCACACATGTTGTGATGAATTATACACAAGTATTGAGGAGCAGGGAAGTTGCACATCATACTATTCGGAGAGGCGCTCACTGGCGGGCACCGTGCAGTTCGGGCGCCGATTGGATTCGGACTATTGAAAAACTCTGACTCCGGGGAGGCCTCCTGTCTCTGCTCGTTGGGCTACGCTCTCAGTCAAATTTTTTTCGCCAATGTTTGTGGTCCCTAATAAGCGACCGTTGAGGGGGTTCAGGAACAACTTGCTGATTCCTTCTGCCCCTCGATATTCATCCTCGCTCTCACTTTCTCCATCATGCGTACCACTCGAAGGTCTGGGGCCACCCATGGTGCCGCACCCTCTTTACCCGACCAGGTTAGTGCTCTGCCGCTACCAATTGCATTGTATCTCTTAAGGTTAATTTCATTCTCTTCCAAAGACTGCTCTTAGCACGAAGGACGACATTTCTTTGTCTCCTTTGACAGCGGGTTCGGAGTCTGAGGTCATCGACCCGCGTATTGCATCTGTACGTGCTGAGGTGAGTTGTCTGCAGGTGTGTGTACCATACTGTGCTCGATTGTTGACATTGTAGCCTTGGTCGGTCCAGGGAGATTTGCCGACTGCTGATTCTGCTGCCGAAATGGCAATGGGAGCTCCCCTGGTCGGTGGCGTCTCTGGTATGTGATCTCATCCAACTTTAGGTTGTCATTGTCTTATACCTGCTGTCTCAGCGGGCGGAGGGGATGCCCCGTGTGCTGATGCTGGACTGGTGGTCCCACCCCCCTTCCCAGGCGAGTCTATCCCTTGTAACATTTTTCACTCTCAACTGACGTCAGAGTGCGCACAGGTGTAACGGCGGAACAGAGTCGCATACTTGAGGATAGTATGGATGTTCTCGCCAACGATGAGGCGGCGATACGTGATGCCACTGAACGGTGTGTGCTCCACCATGGGATGGATCGATTTCGCGCATACTTACTGACGTTACCTGAGTGCAGCAAAGTAACTGCGGTCGCCACCGAGGGCTTTCGAGATGAGGCTCTCCCAGTCGCTCAGCCTGTCATGAGCTCGGAAACGCCCTCTACCACGTACGTGTCGTCTTATGTGTCGCCACAATCCTCATTGTGTATTGCTCATATGTCGCCTTGGATCGTGCTCAGGTCGGGTTTGGATCTCGTGGACGCTGCCACCGCTCTGGGAGATTCTTACCATTATCTCGGCAACGTTCAGTACAATTCCGAAGGACAGTATGTGTTCCACAAGCGGTCAGGGTACTACAACGTTCTCTGCGTCAAGGGCGCCGCCAACTCCCCTTCCACGGATGGTGCCGTCATCTCCCTTGTCGGCATGTTCAGCGATGCACGTTTCTACTTCGTCCCCGATGGCGGCTATCGCAGGCCTACGGCTTTCACCAAATGCCTGGCTGACGCGAAAGGCTCGGCGACCCTGGTGGCGCCAAACGTATCACCGTTCGACGCCCATTGGAAGATCGTCCACGAGAACTTAGGGAAGTTGTCCGATGCGATTGCGACACCCGGTGTGCCTTTTAAGGGAGCTCTGAGTAACGACCAGACGTTTAAAGTGACGTACAGGCCTTTCATGGTGAGTGATTGACTTCTTTATGTGAGGATGTTTCTGACGTTTGGTGTTGTACAGAAAAAGGATGGCTATGTTGGGGGCACTGATGAAGGTGTGTATCGTCGTGCTTTATGTTCATCTCATGTGTCCAGGGGCGATTTCCAGAGCTGAGTGTTGACATGATTCTTTCAGACATTGACCCCGCGCTTCGTCTGGAGAACATCCCCGTCTCTGGCGATATCGCTGTCGCCGAGCTTGCCGCTATGAAGGCGACCCACGTCTTCAACATACTCCCTGCATACGACGTCGACGGTGATCTCATTATGCCCAAGGACTACGAGAGCCGTCTCAAGGGCGCTGTCGTCGTCATGAGCGCCACCCTCAAGCACTACGACTTCACTGCGCGGGCCTCTAGCCCGGCCAGCAACACATTCGTGGCGGACGTCGTCAAGATCAGGGTGCTTGTGCCCCCCGTAGAGTTGGTGGCGGAGCAGGAAAGGAAGCGTGTGCCGGCGAGGGACACAGATTTTATGGGTTCGTCGTCGAAGCGTGTGCGTACGGCGTAAAAGTGACTTGCCGTGCGACAATCGTGGTTAGTCCGTTGATGTTGTGAAATGTTCGTGGCTCAAAGAAGCTTGATTCGATCTCGGTTGTTTCTCTTTGTTCGTGCGTTGTGATCTTATTACGCTACTATGACTGGCCTATAACTAGAGTGGGAGAGTAGAAATTAATATTAGACTTTTGCTCTCTCGTTCTCTACTCGTGTGTTTGGTATTCTGTTGTGCGGATGTCGTGTCGGCCCGCTACGGCCCCTCCCCCAGCAAGGTTGCTGCTGCCGCAGGTAGCGCTCCCCCAGTCTGTACATCTTTCCGCATCTGTCACAAGTATCACACGTTGCGCCACGGCTTCTCGCGGACCTGCGCCCTCGCCATTGCTGGCATACTCTCCGTCCTCTCCTCTGCTCGCATCAGACTCCATCATGTCTTTCATTCCCCCGCCTCATATTCCTACCCCTCAAGGGCTGCATTGTCCAACCTTTCAACCACCTCCTCTAGATGGTACCCTCAGTGTCGCGCAGATTATTGAGTACAACGCTACTCACAGCCCCAAGCATAGAGTTTTTGTCTTCCTGAACGATGATGGAAGTATTCGGACGATTTGCTACCCCGAGGTTTGGAGAATGGTAACGAGAGCGGCGGGCATTATCGCATGTCATATCAATCGTGCCCACGATCGTCTGGCTGCTCAGACTCGGCTTCCGGGGCAAGGGGTCACTATCGCCATTCTCGCTTCTGCAGGTACGGTAAATGACGCTACAACAACATTCTCCTCGGTATCTCACGCGCAATTACAGATACTATAAGCTACTATTGTCTCCTGGTGGCCATGTTGCGTCTCGGAGTAATCCCATTCCCGATCTCCGTTCGCAATTCGCCACAGGCTGTGGCAAGCCTCATCCATCATTCCAACGCTATGCAGGTTTTCGTCAGCCCTGACGATGCCATGAACGCATTGATCGCGTCGGCAAACGAGTTACTTGACTCGAAGGTGGAAGTTCTAGAAATGATCCAATTCGACGACGTGTGCGATGACAAGGACGGGGATAATGAGGCTGCGGGAGTCGCGTTTCCGATGAGCTTCGACCTTGATAGCATTGCTATATTCTTCCACACTTCGGGTACGCGCATTCATTCTTGCATGCCTTAATTGACCTCATGCGTTTTTGCTTCTGTTTACAGGCTCCTCTAGTCTTCCGAAACAAGTCCCGTTCACTCATCGCGCACTGCTCAGGATTGGAATGAGCCTCAGTACGTTCGCGAACCTTCACCCTTAGCGTGATTAACACAGGCTTCGACAGGTTTCGGAGAGGTCGACCTTTGTGACCATGTATTTGGCATGCACGCGAATCCGTTCTTCCGTAAGACGCATTATTCGCAAAGCCGGATGTATGTTCAACTTACACGAAAGTTGTGAACCAGATGTTTTGGCGGTTAATGCCATCTGCTGGGTCAGTCTCTTCTTCTCGTCCGAAGTCAACGCGACTAACGAACATTGACAGAGCATGTCAGGCGTGGTTTGTGGCGTTTTTCCGCCTTCGCGAACACCTCTCGCAGCGACTCCTGAACGCTTCCTCCATCATTTGATTGGGACGAAAACGGATGTTGTTCTATGCGTTCCGGCATTCATCGAGGTCAGTAACACATATAATTATGGCTTCATTGCGAGTATTACCTCATCCGTGCTTGACAGGCCTGGTTCCGCGATCCTGCCTCTACATCTGCATTGAAATCATTCCGGTTTATCGTAGGTTACTTTTATCTCTCTCGAAAGTGTTCACGTATGAAACGAAAATATATATTATCGGCATAGATATACGCTGGTGGTGGACTGTCCAAATTCGTTGGGAACGAACTTGTACGCTCGGGTACGGTACTCATATCCACATACGCTTGGTGAGCTTGTCATGTTACTCTGGACTTTGGTATTTATGCATCGACTGATGTGCTCCTTCTTTGGCAATAGTACGGAGGCCTGCAATATAAGCATGGGCATACCTTCCAAAGTTCTTTCTGACGAATGGGAATACTTCAAATTCTCTCCACAACCAACAGTAGAACTGCACGCACAGGAAGGGCCTGGAATGGACGACGTATTTGAGTTAGTTGTCGTTGTAAGTACATCTGTACCACCGTGTTATAGTAAGATTATATTGATTGAAATGAACAGAACAACGGGTACTACTCAACGAACGTCACAAACTGCAAGGCTGCCAACGGAACCCCTGCGTATAATACTCGGGATCTTCTGCAGCGTCATCCCACGAAGCCCTGGTTGTGGAGAGTATTCGGGCGTTCCGACGATCAGATTACGCACTCTAATGGCGAGAAGGTGACCCCTTCTCCATCTAGATCTCCCGTTCGTCTTCTGATACTGCATTCGACAGACGAACCCAGTGCCCTTAGGTAGATACCAACGCTATCAACCCTCGAGCCAAATGGGTCTTGTACTAATTGATAAGCTCTAGAAAGTATGCTTATGCAGGACCCAAACATCGCCACAGCTGTTATCTTCGGTCATGGCCAACTTCACTGCGGTGTACTCGTCGAGCCAGAACAACCGTTCGAAGCCGATTCACAGGATTCCGAGGAAGTCATCCGGTTCAAAAGCATGATTTGGTACGGTGGTGGCTACGATTGAATGTTTAAGCAATCTCTAATCGTGCTTCAATATGTAGGCCTATCATCGATCGCGTGAATGAATTTGCACCAGCCCACTCGCGAATTTTTAAAGAGGTGACTGCCTTATCCACATAACTTCCCCGAGATAGTTTACGAACGACTGAACAGCTTCAATTTAATAGATGATACTGGTGTCGAAGTCCTCAAAGCCCATAGAACATACTGCCAAGGGAACAGCCCGACGCCGTCCGATGCTCGAACTGTACAAAGAGGAGATTTCGGCTTTATATTCGTCGTTCGCCGACAGTTCGCAGAACGATATCGCTCCGCCGTCACGCTGGGGTGATTCTGAGGGCCTTGAGTTCGTCAGGAAACTGGTGGCCCGTGCAATGACTACGAAGCTCAAAGATGACGAGGACATCTTCCAACGAGGATGTGACAGGTTCGTTTTATGTGTGCCACGCAACTTCACTGGTGAGCTGACGACATCTCTCAGCTTGCAGGCAATGTATATCCGGAACGCGATCGTCAGAGCTCTACGCAGGACGACACATATGGATACGCAACATGTTCCTTCTGACTTAGTCTACAGCCATCCGACCATATCCTCTCTTGCTGCCGCCATCGACCCAAAGACTCTCGCTACCCAGCGAGGACATGTCGTTGACGATAGAATTGAAGTGATGACAGCTATGGTCGAACAATACTCCTCTCAGTTCTCCAGACAACGCACCGTAAACCCTGCGGAAGACGATTTTCTCAGCGACGATCGTGTGGTTGTAGTCACTGGCACGACAGGACGCCTGGGCAGTCACATCCTATCACAGCTCCTAGCAGACACGTCGGTGATCACCGTCTATGCGCTGAATCGGGGACCGCTTTCGAAGATTCTTCATCGTCAAGAGGCGGCGTTTGACCGATGGAAGCTGGACGGAAGCGCTCTGAAGAACTCGAAGCTCGTACTACTAGAGGCCGACCTCTCTCGACCGGACCTCGGTATTTCTAACGACGTACATGCCGAGGTTTGTAATCTGCTGAGTATAATCTATCTGACATACTTCTGACACGTACTTTTGCCTGGACTGCTAGATGATTAAACGAGCCACGATCATCATACATTCCGGTAAGAGTCTTCATCGAGCAAGTAGTGAGATATGCTTATGAGATGGAGTAGCCTGGCAGGTCAACTTTAGGGTCCCTCTCACTGCTTTCGAGCAGTCTGTCGCGGGCGTATGCAACCTCGTCAATTTCTCGCTTGGTACTCCGCGCTCGGTTCATCCGAAGATACTATTTACAAGTTCCATCTCTGTGTTGAGCGGCGGTGCGCGTTCCCTACTACGTACGAAGTCGAGTTGTGGCGCTTACATTCGTTTTATTTGTGCGCAACAGCACCGTCTGGATCAATCGTCAGAGAATCAGCCATCACAGACCCAGTGACCGCAGTAGGAAGCGGTTACGCGGAAAGCAAGTGGGTGGCCGAAACCTTACTTCTCAAGGCTGCAGACGTACTCGGTGCTCGTGTGACGATTGTACGAGTTGGCCAACTTTGTGGGGACCGAGCTCAGGGCGGATGGAACGAGACGGAATGGGTCCCTGCCCTCGTGCGCAGCGCACAAGAACTCGGCGTGTTGCCATCCAGGGACGAGGCAAGTCCTTCCTTATTTTTTCCCCGAGCAGATTATTCTGAACTATGATTTAGAAAATCACTTGGCTTCCGGTAGACGTGGCCGCATCTGCGCTGTTGGAGATGGCCGGTTCAACGGAGGCGATTCTACACCTCATTCATCCCTCACCCAGCAACTGGAGTCTCTTCTCCGATACTACTTCGGCGATTTTAGGCATACCTTCTGTTCCGTACCGGGACTGGATTGCTTCCCTGCAGAAGGCCTGGGTCGAATCATCGGACTCCGACAAAGCGATGACCAACATCCCAGCTCTGCACCTCGTCGACTTTTTAGCGGAGTATACTGAAGCGGCCAAACTTTCTGTAGAACGCGCTACGGTCGTCTCCCGGAGCCTGAAAGAGGCGAGGAGATTAGATGAAGAGGATGTGAAGCTGTGGGTTGCGTATTGGAGGAGTAGAGGATTCTTGAAGTCTGACGCTTCCGCGCCTGCTGCTTGAGAGGATTGGTTTTCCCGGGATGTCTCGTATAATGCTTGGCTGTGTAGTGCAAAATACTCGAGTACGTAGTTTCGCAGATTTTGTTGTGTATACGCGCCGTGGAATAGAATCGTATGTTACGGATTTCCGTCACATCATATCAGCCCGGCGCCTAAGGATGAGTGTGGCGAAGACTTTTGTCGCTTGGCTTTCGCTAGACGCCTTTTCTCCTCGCAATTTCTTACCTGTAACTAGAGCACACAGAAACTACATTAACGAAAAGTCCAACATCGAAATCCAGTACAGTGAAAAAATTAAGTGCATGCGAGCAGCGAGACGGTAACAAGACGGCGTCAGGAAGGCGCGTTGTGTTTTGACCTGGTTTTTCGAGCCGTTAGTGACTGTTGTGATGCTTTTTGAGTTTCAATGAAATTCCCGCTACTTTAGTAGTGGGTCTTACAAGAAGTATCGTTCGGTTTTTGGCTTGTAATGCGACGACCTTCCCTATATGGTAGATGCTGACCAATTTCTGACTCAGCTATCCCGCCTGAGTTCGCCACACTTCGTGAACGTCCGTTTTGTCAATCTACTGCTAGTCCAAGTCATGACAGAATTGTTTCTAGAGTATTCATTTCTGTTCATGTTTTTAAATCGTAACCTCGGCAAGGTGTGAAGTGTGACACACATGTACTATGTTTAGGTCACGAAGCTGCTGGGCGAAGCCCTGCAGCGGCAGTGACGGTCCCCTCACTTGCTGGAGCAGTAGCACGTCATGCATACTCTTCGGACGTTGCTAAACAATTCGAAACTATGAGATCAATTGAACATCTTATGCTGCTCGTGGCCAATATGTTAGACTGGTACTTACATTTGGAGCAAATATAAGTAGCGGGACCTGCCGTTCAGCGGCCTTACGCCTGCGTTATACTCAACAATGAGAGCACGGTGAAGGTTGGAACGATGTAAGTAGTAAGTTGTAGTTAGGAAAGGAATAAAACGCGAGAAGTTCGTCGGGGGATGCCAGTGGCCACATGCCACATCCCCGACGGGTGCGATAAGATTAGATTATCAATCAACGCGATCCAGTTGCGTTCAAGTTGCGTCTCTCCGCCTCTTGAACCTCAACGCCGTGCGTTTGCCGTGTATTCTTGTACTTTTTACGCCCATATATGCTCTCTTCAATAAGAATTATCAGTAAACTCAGCCGTGCTGTTCAAAATTTTAACCAATCGAACACAGCGAGTAACGACGATGCGTCCATCCAACCGTCGAAGGGCCACCTCACGCCCTCTCGTTCCACAGCTCACGGATATCGAGCAGTAAATTGTCCGTCCCACTCCAGGGATGATGATCCAAAGTTCCATTGGGAGTGCCTGGAAACGACACGATTGTAGCAGTCGCGAACGCTGCTCTTCATATGCCTTCGTTACCGTTGAAGGTGCGTCCCTCTTTCGCATTACCTCTTTTTCCATAACTGATGCTGCACACCTGTGAGTAGTTATAGTAGAGGAATATAGCTCACGAGGATCAACATCCCCCGCTTTGAGAAACTTGGGCCTCCATTGCGATCGTCAAGGCCATACACTTACCCTTCCACAAGCTCCGCCCGATTGCTCAACCTCTCCTCCAACCACTCCATACCCACATTCCTACCTCCACCCTACTCATACTGTCCAAACGTTGCAACGGTTCCACGATTGATTCCTGCTCATCGATATGTCGTTCGCTCATAGCCGAGAGTCGTATTTCCGCGAATGTTTGAACGAAGTCGAGGAATGGCTGGGTGTTCGAGAGGTGTTGGCGAGGAGAATAGAGGAAGTCGGTGGCGAGGTTGAGTAGATGCTGAGATGGAGTAGTACGGAGGAAGAAGGAATGAGTCTGCAGTAGGTTCGTCACAGGTTGTTGGGGGAGGGAGTGAGACGTTGGTCGTTTCGTGGGTAGATTGTTTAGACATGGATGACTGACGCATTTGATGGGTTTGTCTAGGCCCAGCTGTTGTAGCTGCTGGATGCGGCTGGAGTGAGACGGGATCCCTTCCAGAACGAGAATGCCGAACCTTTCGAGCGACCCGTCCTTCAGACTAGTTTTATGTACATGGTCGAACAGGTCAACGTGTACATAAACCTTTCAAGGCTCACGTACGTCCGTCTCCTTGTTCTCCTCGCTTTTCTATCCCCTCAACTTGTCGTTATTGCTAACTTCCGTCCGGATGTTGTGCCGCTTCCACGTAGCAGAACTCTACCTTGTCCGCTCCCAGCAATGTATGGCCTGTGCTATGATGGCCCGCAATATGAAACTCATGAAGATGTTCTTCGTCGAGTATTTGGACACGCTCATGCAGGATACCCCACGGTGACCCTCGGAGACTAGAAGGTACGCCCGTTGACATGACACTTTCATAGTACCCGTGACAGACTGCTCTACGCCACACTTCCCTCCGCTTTCCTTCTAGCATTCTCGATTTCCTTCACGCCCTCGTTATTTTACTCGATCCCGTTTTCTCTCATCTTTTCATCTAGCCTTTTAATCGCGTTTTATCCTTTAGTGCAATATTCGTTTACCGATCACTAATGGCTTTCCCTCCCTCACCTTTCCGTCTCTCCCTCCCACCCTTCTCCCTTCTCAACGAACAATGTCGACGTAACTTCGCAATACAGACCCCAACCTACTCCCGAACCCTACGAATGCACCGATCGGCTTCATATTCCCAGTCGACCATTCGCCGAGGGCACTCAATCCACCGACGCACCCCAACTCACTAACCAAGGAACAACGGCTAGGCTACCAAACCAACCAACCGATCCTTCAACACACCCAACGTACTGACTATTCACCTTCCCACATAAAACAACGCAAAGACACACGCATCCACACGACGACCGAACGAAACACCCACAGCGCCTACCTAGAACTCCTGTGCGACTATCTCTACGACGATCTCCGCCCTCGCATCCTACACGAACAAAAGCTCAGAGCGCTCTGCGACGCCTGCACTGTTTTCAGGCGCTCATGATGCTTGGTGTGCCTTCGAGTCTCTCCCTCGGAGTCGGGGTCTCGTTCGAATGATGGTCATCCCGGGGTTGGCGGAGGCAACGAGCATGGTGCAGAACGGGAAAGGGATATGGAGAAAGGGGAGGAACAGCGGGCTGTCGGGGCTAGTGTTGCAGGATGCACAGATGTCGAATGGGCAGAGCATGATGCAGATTGAGATCATGTGGTTTGTTCCCAGGTCTGGGACGCAGGTGGTGGTCTAGTGGGTGGGTATCAGAAAGAGAGGTGAACGGGAAAGTTGACCCTTTTTTCGTCCAGGTCGCTAATGTTCCTCGATTTACTCCTTCCCTCCTTCTTTTTCGTTCTGTTCCACGCCGTTAGATTCGCACGGAACGAGCCTCATCGCAAGAGGAACAGACAGAGAATCGACCGACTTGGGTCTAAACCAGATTTTCAAGTTTTCAGAGACATCGAGGAGGTGGGTACACACGTGGTGTCCGACGGTGAAGAAGGCGGTGAAGGTGTCAAGTCAGTTATTTGAACTAGTGCCGGTGCGTCTTCTCCCTTTGTTGGTCACTCTTTCTTTTTTCGCGCTTGCGTTTATCGATGACTATGGGTCATGAGACTGAGCTGACAGTTTCTTCCGGTTTATGTTGGCGTGGCGTGACATGGTACAGGCATGCTGTCCCGCGATCCTCGCACAGCAATCAGTCAACCTCACGCCTTCAAACTCATCAAATTACAAGCATGATCTCCTTCGTCGTCAACATCTTGTTTAAATTCGCGCTCAAAAACAGGAACGGGTACAGAGATGAGACTTGGACGTGATACTTTTCCTCGTGAGCTGTGTGTTGATATTGAAGGAGTAGGCGGTGGGGTCGGAGGTGATGACGAAAGGTTTGGATGCGGACAATGGGGTGACAGGTGTGGAGACAAAAGGCGATAGTGATGAGTTTGTATTTGGTGTGATTAACGTGAGTGGGTTTGTAGTGGATGGGGTCTTGGCGTTCGAGAGGTAGGAGGGCTTGCTGGAGGGGGCGGCGTGACGGGTACGTCTCGTGATATATCTCTCAAATATTCAACTTTTTGCTTACGCAGCGGTTGGTGTAGATGCTTCGACATCGATGTCGAGCCGCACGTCTGCGCTCGTATCTCAGTCGCTGATCAACAGTTTGGCAATGCCTCAGGGCAATATATTTGATGCGAGAGACGTACATCCAATATCTTCTTTCTCTCTCCTCGCTTGCACTATATGTTCTAGGCCCAATATTCCCATGTTTATTCGAATAGTTTGGCATTGTCTTATCGTTTGGTCTGACGCTGATCGTGTGATATCGTGTAGCGAATCGACATCGACCTCGCCAAAACATGCCAGGACCTCGTCGTCTTCCACACATAATCCATGCGCTCTACATATTTTCCGCACACCCACAGCGTACCGCAACCGCGTTTATTCCTCTAGTCTCCTTACCCAACACCACTCCCAACGCCTCCGCCACCGCTACTTCCCAGTTACCTTCCTCATCCTCTTCCGATGCACTTGCATCAGGCGCAAAAAGGGAGGTGCTCGGCTCGATCGCAACGGAACCAGTGGCCCGATGTGAGAAATCCCTGCAGTTTAGGGAGGGGTTTTTCAGATCAGGGGAGAAATGCCAGACACTGAGCTTATGAACGAGCAAGAGGTGGAGGGGATGTTGAGAGAGATCTGTAACGAGCGGGGTGCGGCGATGCTTGGTGAAGGTGGCGTTACGGATCAGATGCAGGTAGCGTAGGTTATATTGGACCTTGCTCACAACACAGTGGCAAAGCGACTTATGCCGAACGCATTCAGCTGCCGCCGGTAGAATTCCACCGTCTGGTGTAGTGCCTCCTTCTCTATCTCGGGTTTCGATGCCATCGGACCATGTATCTATGCACATATTTTGCAGACACTGCGTCCATCATTGTATTGACCACCATTTTTCGGTCTCCAGGCTCGGTGGCGATGGACCCTGCTCGTAGGTCAGCGGGCATTTTTATCCAGTCTGGCGGTTAATTAAATTACCGCATAGGATGGTAACAGTGCGCGAGCCTGAACAACGCTGGCTTAGCAGGGATCGGACCGGCCTAGCTCCGACCTCGCACACAGTTTGAGTGGGCCATTGAGTTCATCATGTGCGGAATGTCCGGCCACAGCATCACTAACGCGGTCACGAAAGCCCTTGAGCTGTGATGGAGGCGTTGTTTACTTCTGCCCTTCAAGACAACAGCAGCGCCTCAGTTAGCGCTCTTTCTGCATATATTATCTTGCGGTCTCTCTGGTACTCATCCATCCCACAATTCTCCTGTCTTCTGGCCTGAACAAAATTTCACTTCCAGCTGAGGATTTTACTCCGACTTCTTCCATATTAACATGTGATTTCTCGCTACCGCAACTACTGTTCTAGGCTTTCTTTCCTCCGCATTCGCTCAGGGTGTGGTGATAGGCTCTCCCAGCGACGGGAGCACGGTCATCGCAGGCCAGTCGATCACTGTCGACGTCTTGAAGCCTGTACGTATCACTTAAAGCTTGTGGGTGGGAATAACGCATGAGCAGCTCCTACCGCGCTATTCGCCTTCACTCTCTGACATCGGACTCAATGTAATAACATTTCTTTGTCAGAACTCCATACAAGGCAGCAAGGACGTCGCGGCCATCTTCGGGATGGCATCATGCTCCACAGCGACAAACAGCTGCCCCGACGCCGCTAGTACCTTTGGCCAAGTCATCTATGGCGCTCCATACGCCCCGCAACTCAACAATCCTGAGAATTCTACGGAGAGCGAGAGTTTCACTGTGCCGGTTCCTGTGGAATTCAAGGGGGATAAGGTTGCCTTGAGTCTTGCGCATGTTGTCTTGATTGGGGTAAGCTGGCAGATTACCACACTCTCCCGTTATGTCTCGTCCTCGTTGCTGACTTGAGTATGTACGTCGTGATATATAGGTAGGAGAGTCCTCCCCCGATGTCGATGTCACAAGTATCACGCTCAATATTGTCTGAGTGCCAATGTGCTTCTCAGTTTCAGGTCGCTGACTCAACTTACTCCATATCGAATGCACTGTTACCACAATGCAAATTGTTGCTACTCTTTTCCATCGTGGTTAGACTTTGGTTGGACTTTGGGACTCTCTCGCGACTCTGCAATGCGTCTCCGAGATCTACAATACCAAGAAAAGGAGACTGTGCGTCAATTGTGGACTACTTATACAAATATTTCGGCTCTGTATAATTCCAATTTTTAACATCTATATCGGATGGGGGTCCCAACCATGACTTACCATCGGCCTGCTTATTCGCAGCGTGCAGAAAGTGGGTCGCATCGAATATCGACACGGCAAAAGCCGACGCCACGGATTATATGCCAAAGTCAACATGATCAAGCGTTGAATAAGCGCAGACTCTGGCGAGTTTCACTCTTTTCCATCCCATCAACGTCACACCTCTCCACCGCTATAATAGTCTCTCATCTGCGATATCTTCTAACCCTCGTACCCGCCGACGATTACGACTCCAGAATGCCTTTTCGCTCGAACGTCCTTGGCTCTGCTTCGGGCCCTGCAGAAATCGCCTTCCTCCGCTCACAACTAGATCGAACCGTCCGTGAATCTACAGTACGCCTCGAACTAGTTTCGAGCGCGTGTGAGTCTCGAATCGAGCAGATTTCTCGCCAACATAACGCTGATATCCGACTGCTTCATCTCGAGCATGATTCGAAGGCGCCCTTCCTTCGTTGACAGATTGGTAACCTCACTGGCGCCACATCTTGGCAGCAAGCGGGCAAGGAGGAGCACGCAGCCGGTGAAGCCGAATACAACGCAGCTCAAGCTAAAGACTACGTCGATGGTGCTACGGATAGGCTAGAAGGGAAGAAGGAGGTGATCGTTGGCGCCATTGTGGGCGATAAGACGCAGCAAGTACAGGTGTTTGTCTTCTATCGACTCTCTTGCTCTCATGACTGTCGTGGAGGAGTTGCTGTTATGGTCTTTTTACAGGGAGAATGCTGACGAGTCTTTCTTCTACGCAGGCAACCTGACACATGATACTGGCAAGGCGCAGATGCAGGTGAACGAGCCTCCGTCGTAATGCCCTTCCCTCGTGACTGTTCGACCTGTTCGACATCTCATCTGTCCGTCTCTATGATATCTTTAAACTACGGCCCTCTATACTACTTCCCCCAATCTGTTCCCTATTAGCTCGTAATATGAAGTGAGCCTCACTGTGTACCGCCACTATACCTAATGTGATCTTCGCGCACATCGAGTGAACTCGACAAATCACCTGACACAAAAGCTCTACTTGAGTAGGTAATTGCAGCGCGGTATGTATCAATCAAGTATAACGCATGTGAGGTTTCTTTCTTTATGGTGCTTCCTCGTATCCAGACGCAAACTGTGGGGGTTTCAGAGGTTGCATAGTTAGCTGTTGATGAGTCAGGAAGGGAGAGGGAGATTATCTATGGCTTCACATGCCGAACAATGGCCTAGGATATGTGGCGAAGGGCAAAGAAACCGATCTTCCCTCAGCTGGACACAGAACACATGAAAAATTATGAAAAATAACTTGTCATTGTCGAATTCGACTCTTCCAACTAAAGCACGATATGGAACGGAACAAGGCCCTTTCGTCCGATAGTGAACGGTTCGCAATGAGCAGCCCTGCTCGATCTCGTCTCGTTGCCATCACCAGCGGGACACATTATGCCTCAGTCTCGCTCTCTCGCTCCAGTCCCATTTATTTCCCAACACAGAAGTTGAGAAAGAAATCGACCGTCTCACCCTCCGCGTCCGCCTTCAGATGCATCCCGCACCAGGACTACATGACGTCACAGGCATGCTCGGCATCGACACCGGGAACGGATAAGCTGAGCGGTTTGACGTAGCTCCCATTAGTGAGACTTACGATCGGCCAGAAGTCCTGAGTACGCATAGATCAAATGAGGTGAGCGGGAGAAGTTCAGATTGCGGTACGAAACCGGTGTGATGAGGGTATAGTAACCAAAGAACGCGAGGAGGTGTAGGGAGGTTCAGATCTGTACGTACCTGGGTTATGTTAGCGTTAGGGTATTGCTTGGCCGTAGCGGTAGATGCAACTGTATATGACAGGGAATATAGAGTCAGCAAAAATGAAGACACAGTCATGGTAGTGAGATCTCCGACTCACCGTCATAAAGCGAGGACGTGAAAGTGCGCAGACCCGTGGTGGCCATGTTAGGAGTGACGATCAGCTCATACTTACCGATGTACTCTCGAGCCTTCGTTGTGTTAGTCAACGGCGGACCTGTGACGAGTACGGCAAGAGAAGAGAGAAGAGGGAGAGCATGACTGAAAGGGACCATAGTAAAGATGGTGGTGATGGGCGACAATAAAGCAGGGAGAGTTGACGTCTTATATATCGTCGCTCTAGGGGCAACATTATACGGTGTAAGCGAACTCGGAAGTCCCAAGTGAGTAGAACAAAACGAAACGCGGAGATGTTGATGAATAAAAAAAACTTGTGACCAGGAAATTTGAGTCGGTCAGTATGACATACACTCGCGAAGGCCTCTCCTGACGGAGTCAATGTATTCCTCCCGGGCTGTACAGATCGAGCATAACTCATTGTACTTCTTAGACGTGGAACCCGTTCGTAACAAGAACAAGCGAGAGACCCTTCGTATGAGTGGATTGAAGGATTTTACGGCCGCTGTAACGCAACGATTGGACAGTATAGCGCCGTCTGGGCAGATATTCAGTTGGACCAGTGTCGGAGAAGACGTATTATAAACTCGCGCGTCTGAAGCATAAGTAGAGCTGCGTCCTGTGCCTACGAGGATCAGGGCAGGCCGAAGTTGAACTGTAGAGAACACGGTCCAGTAGCTTGAGAAGAAAGCTAGTGGGTAGGTATTTAGAGCTAATATTAGCGCGTGGAGAACGAGACGGAACGGAAAGATGGGAGCAGCATGAGGGAGCGTAACCACCCCGGTCATTGCGTTCCCTTTCCTCGAGATTACCAAGCCGCGTAGACTACAAGACACCGCGCGCATTGGCGAGAGGATCATAGAGTTGCAAGAGAGGAAGCAGACCAGGAGGCAGCGAGCAGTTGAAAGTGCAAAAGATGAGAGCGATCGGTGAGAGTGGGAACTGAATCTTATCAGCCCGGGATGGCTCGCGTGGTTGTGATCCGAAGACCTCGTGGCTGAACCTCCGCCCCATTCCGCCACACCAAACCGTTCGTCGCTCCCGTCGACGTCGTCGTCCACCTCTGATAAACTTGCCTGCTCACTGCTTTTCAAGTAGCAGGCGGAATGCCTACTTTCCCAACTATCCCTCAATTCCTCGTTATTTCCTTTTCCACAATAAAAGATAAACCCAAATTAGGCAGTTAAAATCCAAAAATTCCCTCAACCAATCTATCTGAATGATGTTCTGGCGTATTGAGAATGTCATTCAAAAATCATTCCACCCTAAAAGTCGTATTAAATAAAAGTGAGGCAAATACTAGATCAGGGACATCATATTCCGGTGGTTTTTCCGCATTCCCGCTTCCTCCCTACTTCATCACCAGAGTTTCCATCTTTCCAGTTCCACCGTTTAAGTCCCATTTCCTCCTCTTATATCCTTTGCCATTCATCTTCTGCCTCCAGTCTCATCTCGTTCAACATAGTCCTCACATACTTCCACCGCTCCATCTTCTCTGAGTCGGA